TACAGATCATGCCGCTCTACAGTACGCCTTGCGGGTTTAACAACCATCAGGGCAGTTGTCCCGATGGTTGGAGATTCTCCAGGACTACGACTTTGTCACCACATATCGTAAGGGCGTCCGCCACACGAACGCTGACGCCCTGTCACGGTTGCCACCCACTTCGGAGTGTGCCTGCCTCTTGGGTTCGGGGCGTTGTAGGCCCCCGAACGTGGCCACCGATTCGGTCTTCGTGGCCGCCGCCGATGCGCCTTCGGCTTCGGGTCCTATCGAGCAAGAAGGGAGGGATTCGTTGCTGGGGTTATTGGTTGCGGAGTGGGGACGCCTCCAAATGGAGGACACCTCCCTCCTCGCTCTGCGCCGTCGCACCGGGGGGGTTGGTCCGGGGGTGGAAAACGTTGACTCGTGGGGGTTGTTCCAAGGGCTTTTAATGCACTGGGACGGGAAATCCCGCCGCCAACGGCTCGTGGTGCCTGCAGCATTGAGGGGTAAGGTGGTATGGGCTGCGCATGAGCGGCTCCTGCACTTGGGGGTTCACAAGACCTTTGCCATGCTCCAGCTCGATTTCTTCTGGCCGGGCATGGCAAAGGACGTGGGGGATCTCCTGGGGTCGTGCACGCAATGCGCGCAGCGAAAGCCACCAGCGAGGGGGTCCAACCCTCCGCTGCAGTCCATAAAGGTTTCCCGGGTTAACGAGCTCGTTGCTCTGGATATTCTCGGCCCATTTCCCGCTACACCCAGGGGAAATAGGTATTTATTGACAGGGGTCGAATACTTCACGAGATGGCCTATGGCCTGGCCTCTGGCCAACCAGTCGGCAGCAGCCATCGCGGAGGCCTTTGTCCAGGGCTATGTCCTCGACAAGGGTGCTCCGGAACGGCTGCTGACTGACCAGGGTAAGAATTTTTCGGGGAAACTCCTCCGCGAGGTGTGCGACCTCTTGGGTACGGAGAAAATTCGGACCTCCCCGTATCACCCACAAACTGATGGGATGGTGGAACGGCTGCATCGGACTATCGCGTCCATGTTGTCCCAGCAGGTATCGGAATCCCAGACAGATTGGGACCTTCGCATTGCCGGTGTGTTACAAGCCTACAGGATGGCTCCCCACGCGGCCACCGGATTTTCCCCTTTCTTTTTGATGTATGGCCGCGAGGCTAACCCCCCTGTGACGACCCAGCTCAAGCTCTCGGCGCCTCAGGCGAAGTCTACCTTGTCCGAACACGTTAAATTTAACATCGCCAAATTATCTGAGGCGCAGGAAGAGGCCGTGCAAAATTCTGAACTCCGCCAGAAGGCGAACGAGAGGCTTCGGCTGGGGCGGGTACATGTGTTCAAATGGAAACCACTGTCCCCAGGTGCCGCTGGCGACCTCGTCAAAGTTGGTACGGCCGTGGCGGGGGCCCGTGGAGGTCGTACAGGTCTTGCGGCCGCAATGTGTTCGCGTCAAATGGGGGAGGCGTCGGTGGTACGTGCACCCCTCAAGGTTGAAACCGTTCATTGCGCCGCCCCGTGGTTCACACACACACACGCATGGCCAAACGTGTGAGGGGTCCGCCGACTCCCCGACGTCGCTGCTCTCGCCTAACCTGACATCAACTGTTCCATCTCCAGGTGCAACAGGAGTGACGGGTCCATGCTCGCCAACCCCTTCCGGGGGGGTCGGGGGTCACTCGGCTGCGAATCCAGACTCTCTCGCACCCGGACCGTCAACAACCGCCACTGAGCGTGCCGGGACGGGCCCTTGTGACGGGCCCGCCGCGAGAACGCGCGCCAAGACGCGCAGACTATTGTGAAGTCGGCCGTTTGGGGGCCCTTGCGGACAGTGGGGGGAGACGTCCGGAGTGTGTGTATATATGTTGGGTTTGGGGAATGGGGTATTTATTCGGGGGGGTGCGTCGGGTTATTTTTTTTCTATTCCTGTTGTTGTCATTGTTCTTGTTAAAATTACGCGAGGCACACACGGTTTTGGGGTGGGGAGCACCTTTATTCTGATTTTGTTGCAGCCGGGGACGGCTGCGAGCTGTACAGGGGGGGGTGATGTAGAGGTGTAATTATGCATGGGCACAGATGGATAACAAACACAAGGGGCGTGGTTAGAGCCGTACACAGAGGAGGTGCTCACACCGACGTCCGCACTCATCCCCCACGGGCCCCTCCCAGGGGGGCCGAGTACTATAAAAGGTGGTGAGCCGGAGGGCTCGAGGTCGGGTATTAGCTTAAACCAGCGAAGACGGAAGACCAGCTAGAATAGGCCCCGGAACTCCCCTGGCTCGCTGTCCTTGTCAGGGCCGACCAGGGCAAGCCGGTGGCGTGGCCCCGAGAGCCCAGACTGACGTTCTTATAAGAGCCGGTCTGGATACTCAGGGTGCCGGGATCCCAGCTTGAACAGGGCTGGGATAGGTAGCCTCCCCTAGCTCCGTAGTGGAGGACTCGGGCGTAGGTTAGCGGGGTTAGATGTTGTGTCTCCCTGTAGCCGAGTGAAGGGGACGATACCCCCTTAAGTACTGTGTGTACCCGTTACTGTGCACAAGTTGGTGTAATAAATAAGTGTGCCTCCGACCCTGTCGTCAAGCCTCCTACATACTTACTACAATAACTTGCAGCTCAGCACACGGCAGATGCCTGCGCAGCGCGACTCAAGACCTCCTCTTGATACCAAGATCCAGGATGGTCATGTCTATGCGCCGCTTCTCGGTGGCAGCCCCAACAGTCTGGAACGATATCCCTCTGCACATTCGCAGCATCACCTCAATCGCCTCCTTCAAGAGAAACTTAAAAGCTCACCTCTACAATCATGCTTTTGAGCGACTCTGAGCTTGGCTCCGCGCCTCTGAGTTGCGGCCACTACGTCTGCAAATTTGCGCGCGTTACAAATTGAACTATTATTATTATTATATGACCTAATTTTATGCAATACTATGCAGCTTTCTTCCATCGGATCTATGTCACCCGCGAATTTCAGGTTATAGGGCTATCTTAGGGCGCATTAATTGACACTTCTTTATTCTCCATAGATTTGTTCACAACATTGTGCTTTTAAATTCGTCAACTTACTAGAAAATAGCAGTTCCCTACATTTCTAGGAATTCCATGTAAAATATATAATAATTACAATAACCAGCCGAGTGTAACGTTGACTTTCATTAAAATTCAAAATCGTTTGCCACACCGTTGACAATGAGGCAGTGCTCACCCCCTGCTTACCACCTATGGTGTGGGTGAATCTATGTTCAGGTTAACCACTGCTCACTTCGCTGAAAGAATGACTTATTTTATCCACCCCAGAGGGACAGAGGGCTCAACTGAACCATTAATGAAATTTGCAACTTCCAATTGTGAAAGGTGACACCTGTTGTCTAAACATGCAGTGGGTATCATGTGTGACTGATATAATTGGGCATGGTTGGTAATGTTGAGAATTCTAGATTTGAAGCTTTCGTGACTGCAAGGAGACATATTCTTAGGTTTTTTCGGTAAAGTCACGTAGGTAAAACATTAAAATTAATAAAAGTAAAATAAAATAAAAATCACGACGTTTCGGAGGCAACACAAGCTTCCGTCTTCAGGTGGAACCGCCACAGCCACGACAGCTGTATCAAGTAAATGAGAGATTGCAGGAGCTACCACTCCGTTTATATAATGGTTGGAGAAGGGGGAAGGACCAAGTACAGCACACTGTACTTAAGAGGGTGAGCCTTTGTTATGGAGAGGTACGGTTTGTGACTCAACCTGTGACAAGGAGAAAACAACTGAACATGGTAAACCTGTAATAGTTGTCTGTCAAATAAGATTGGCCAAATAAGTGTAGTTAAATCTTTTTTGCATGGTTAATCACATTTTTCCAATGATTACTCAGTTTGTAACCATCATCACGGTTGAAATTATGTCTGTGTTTGTATATTTGTATGGCTTCGTGTACAAACCTTTGATGGTAGCCAGGAGGTTTGCAGAGAACCTTGGTCTCGGAAAAGACAATTTCATGAGAGCCCACCGAGTTGTAGCAATGATCGGCAACGGCCGAAGAATCAGTTCTGCCGTGTTTCAGATCTGACTTGTGCTCGCAGACACGATCAGAAACATGACGTTTCGTTTCTCCAATGTAGCAATCACCACAAATGCAACTCAATTTGTAGACTCCAGGATACTGTAAGTCAGGAACGACATCCTTCACAGATGGAATCAGATCACGGATTTTATGCACTGTACTGAATCGGACTTGGATCTTATGTTTGTTTAGAATTTTTTATTACTACGACAGTATTATTATTGTTTCGTGTGAAAAATATGGTATGTATTTTTCAAACAGATTTGTATGCACTATTTAAATGTAAAAAATACAGGTATTTTTGGGTTAGATCGCGTAAATATATGTGTCGTTAAACCCACCACCACCCAATACAGCCAATTTAGTAAGGTGTGTCACGTAAACAGAACATGCCAATTCGTTACTAGCACACCACACCAGTGTGTTGGAGAGCCAAGCCACAACATTTACAATCTGAGTACGACGTTTCGCCAGTAATTACAAAAAACTTAATCAGGCGGCAGCCAGATTCGTGGAGAAATCCTCCTGATTCGTTCCTTAAATAGAGGGGTAGATGTGATGGCATCAGTTGTGAGCCCGTCTTGAGCGAAGTGGGGAGGGGGGGGTGAGATTAATGAATGCATATAAATGACAATGGGTATCGATTGCCGGTTGAGTTATTTACATGGTAATCATGCATGCGCATTATGCAAGCCCATTGTTCTTGTACCTCCCGTCAATTGTGTGCACTAAAAAAGCCGTACCTGTTATTGTTCAACGGTGGCCTGTATATACATGCATTTAAACAATGTATTATTTGATGATTCGCTTCCAAGCAGCACTAAGTCTGTAGCTATCCGAACGGTTAAAATTATTTTAATTCTCTCAGTTTCGATACATTATCTAATTAGTCTTGGCCATTTAAATGTCTATGCAATAATGTTGGATTGTTCATAATTCATTTATTTTCTTTTAGAAAAAGTCCTTTGATGATATCTACCAATCGCTATTGCTTATAGCACAAGTACAAAGTCAGAAATCAGTGCCAATTGAAGAGCCTGTCGCACTGAGCTCAAAAAACATATCCATCGTAATGCAAACTGTTTCCGGCACCACACTTCTCAACGCAAGCTGGCAAACAACGGATGGGAGCAGCACTTCGCTCATTGTGCATGATCCGTTACCTTTCATCAGGCAAAGGGGCAGAGTGAATGTCATGGTAAGAATTTATGGAAAAACAAAGTTATTGTACAATTTCTCATCACCACAATACTTACAAGAAGCCTTAATGGATAGAAAATATGTGTATGCGTGTTGGTGCCAATGGAGCGAGAACCCAAGTGTGTGATGCACAATGTAGTGCGCGGTGTGAATTTCCTCAGAGCACATGTTTGGTACGACCTGCCATTTCACCTTCATATTTTTAATACAGATATCTTCTCTTTTTAAGGTAACAGCATTCGGTGAAAACCCATTTTTGTGGAATAAAGATTCTCCTGTAAACAGTTCAGTCGTCAGCTTCAAAATTAGCATGGCGAAACAAGTAATTAATACCACCTCTGCATTAATAAAGTTGAAAAATAAAATAACTGTAGGGCAGAAGATTTCATTACCTATAAATACAAAAAATGGCACAATGGAAAGTAAAGCGTTTGCCACTGAAAGTAGTGGCATGCCCATTATGTTGGATATCACTTCAACCAGTGAAATTATAAATGAAGCAGAAATCGTTGTACGGTTTGGAAAACAGCCGGAGTCTGATCCACAGCTTTATGACTACCGCTTCGCTGCCAACTCACAATCATCAAACAGTGGCAAACTGAAAAAAATAAAGAAAAGGGCAATTGATGCCAAACAGAAAAATAATACGGAAACGACACTTCTCACTTGGCCTTCATTTTTCATCGCTCGTAATTCAACACAGCAAGGAGCGCTGTACATTGCTCTTTTGTATACAGGTAAGCTTTTCATTTGAACTCAATACAGCGCCAATTATTTACGGAACAAGTACAGAATTGCAATTGTCACACCGATCATATGCATGTTATTTTGTAGGTCGTAACTACACACTCATTAATCAAACTGTGGAAGTGACTATACGGCAAATTTCTTGCAAATGGAGGTACAGCACCAGTGACAATTGGAACTCCTCCTTTACAGAGGTATGTTAATAAACCTTTTGTCACATTTATACCTTATTTAATTGCTCACAAATACCACGAAGAGGTCGTAGACAGTGCCTACCAACGTGCTTTTCCCAGTGGACCATGAAGAAACACGATAACCAGCCACCAACAGCAATTGAAATACGTTGATGTTTATTTACATCGCACCACGTCTGCAATGTACACATGGTTATTTGTGGTAAACACTTCAGGAGCATCAGCTGCCCCTCGTTTGCATATTCGCTCGGGTTATTAAAATATTTACAATTTATATATTTCAAAATGGGTTAATTGGGGGATGCCTATATTGGAATACATATGTATGTGCAGTGATCTTGAAATATATTTTTTCTGAACAGGTTAAGTCCAACTCCAGACGGGAGGTGACGAGCTGCGTAGTTGGCAGGAACGAGACAGGTGGACATTTGGACTTCATCCAAGAAAACGTCTTCGTCGCAGCAGAGTTTCTGACGCCAAACATGATCGATTTTACAACGGTGTTCACAAAGTTCAACCTGGAGACAAATGGCGCCGTTTTTGCGACCGTCACCATCATGGTCTTGCTCTACATCATCGTGCTGCTGTGGGCGAGAAACCAAGACGCAAGAGACGCACAGAAGGTAACAGTTGTAATTCTGTTTTACTCTCTGTGGCAATTTCATTCACCTTTCTTTTTTACGCGTGTATTTTTTTTCATTCAGGAAACCCGTGATGAATATTATTAACAGCAGCATTATATGGACAGTTTGCATTCGAGGTGTAAATTATTCACCAATTTAATACTGATGCTTAAGGTCATGGTGCATGTGTAATAAAGCACTTCCACGACAACTGTTGACTGGCGCCTTTGTTTATTTTAAAGACTGCACAGCTCCGCTCTCGCTCTCCGGATGGCTTCCCTCTCTCGCTACTGCCGTGACGCGCGCTCTCCCTCTTCCACCGTCGCAGCGCGTCTCTCTCTCTCTATCCACGCTCGCCGCTGGCTGGCGGCGCGCTGGGAGGAGAGAAGGCTTCGCTGGCAGAGCCCGCCACGTGGCCGGTGGCGAGTAGAGGTAGGCGATGATGCAGTCCGGACTCCAGGCTCCCCACACCGACCCCGAGTCCTCTCACTGCCTTCCCTTCTATTCTCCTTGGCGGAGCAAGCTCCGCCTCCGGACACGCCGCCTCGTAGAATCTTCTCGACTGTTCTCGCACGTCCTCTCTAGCTCTGCCCGTCACCTTTGGCTCAGATGTATTCCACAATTCCCATTGGGTATTAGTTATCCAGTGGTGGCGTATGCAGATACCCCTCGTCGTCCCCTAGATGGCGCTCTCTCATTACATCACCCCCCCCCCCCCCCAACGTGATGAAAAGACTAGCTGTCCTGGCTATGAATGAACCCGAACAAGTAATGGAAGAGCGACATAACCCCGGTGGCAACGAGCACAAGAGCATACATAACAAAGAAGAGCGCATGAACAACAATGAACGCAAGAACAAGAAATTAAGGCGAATACCCAACACCGGCAAAGGCACATATGGACGTTAACGAAATCGGGGCGTCTTTGAACGGGTCCGCGACACCGGACCATCCCCTGCATCCGTATCCAGCCCTGTATGGGTTGGCTCAGCAGGAGGCAGGGCGGTCAGGGTGGTGGAGTCCGTCATTGCTGGGTCGTGCAGGGTCGGTGTCCGCAGCAGCAGTCAAGGGCTCGGCTGCTGTGGGTGGCAAAACAGAATCCCTCGGGGAATCAATCTGCTATCGCTCTGGCGCGCTGGACACATCAGACCCCGGCATGCCAATTTTTGGGGATGACGAAGCAATGTGCGGAGGAAAGAACAGTTTCAACCAAGATGGGTAGACGAACCAACGACGGAGACCCGCCCATATGCGCACGCACTGTGGATGCCTAACCTCAACCACTTCAACAGGCCTATGCCACGGCCTGTGCAACTTGGGAGAGGTGCCAATAGGTACCTGAGGGCAATGAAGCCAGGCCCAATCACCGACAGACCATGGCATGTCGCGGCCGGACCTGCATGCACAACGCTCATTACGAACCTGTGCTTTAGCGGTGTTAACCCTAGCCACCTCCCGCGCCTCAGAAATTCGGCACAGGGAGTCTCAAACATGTCAGGTAGGGTCCGTTTAGCTTCTCTAACAGCCATTCCCAATTGGGTATCAATGGGTGGCATGTTCTCCCTTCCATACATGGGGAAAAATGGTGAGAATCCTGTGGAAGCGTGCAGGGCCATCCTATACGCGGCGAGCACGCTCGGAACGTGTAAATCCCAATTGGTCTGTTTTTCATTGACAGTGTGGCAAAGCATGGCAGTCAGAGTACGATTGAGTCGCGCAACCATCCCATCGGTCTGAGGATGGTACGGCGACGTCCTGATTTTTCTAGTGCCCAAAGCGTCGCAGACGTCGCGGAGCAATTTATAAGAAAAATTGTGACCCTGGTCCATAAGCAATTGTTCCGGGGTACCCTTATCCATAACGTACCCAATCAAGAACGCGTCAGCTATGGAGGACACCGATTGATCGGGCAAGGCCCATGCCATCGGCCACCGAGAAAAATATTCTACACCCACCATAAGGTATTTGTTACCCCTGGGAGTGATGGGAAATGGGCCCAGGACATCAAGGGCCACCAACTCGTTGATGCGCGTGACTGAAATGGATCGCAACGGCGGAAGATATCTTTGCTGCGGCGGTTTCCGCCGAGCGCAGTCAGGGCAGGAACGAATAATTTTAGAGACCTCGGCCGTAATGCTGGGCCAAAAGTAATCCCCTTGCAGCGTCAGCAAAGTTTTTTGAACACCGAGGTGCAACAATTTTTCCCCATGCAACACACGAACCAAGCCGTCATGGAGGGCAACAGGGACCACAATCCGCCATCGGTCCACCATATCCTCCTTCCACATTAAAAGGCCGTCCTGAAAAGCCAATCGACCATTGTCATCCGACGCCGGGGAGTCAAGCGAGTGTTTCGCTCGATGCCACAAAGTAGCTAAGGAATCATCCATCAGCTGCTCGCGCACCCACATGGAGCACGGAAGTTGTAGGACGCTGTCAGCCGGCACATGAGTAGCGTGCATCGTGGAATCATCCACCGCAGACATGACAGCTTGCGGAGGTGAAGTGACAGGCGTACAATGACTCGTTCCGGAAGAACATGCGCAGCGGGAAGCATGTGGCAATCGTGACAGTGCATCTGCGTTGCAATGCCGGGAACCTTTACGATAAATGACCTCGAAGGAAAATTCAAGTAAAGTTTCAAGCCAACGAGACAATTGGCCGGCTGGCTGCTCGATCTTCAAGGAGTATTAGAGAGCTGCATGGTCAGTGCGGACAATGCATTTTCTGCCATAAAGGTAAGGCCTATACTGACACACAAAGTAAACAATGGCCCACAGTTCTCTTCTCGTTACACAGTAGCGACTTTCCGCTGGAGAAAGGACACGGCTGCCATAAGCGACTACTTTTTCCACACCGTTTTTGGATTGCGATAAAATGGTGTCGATAACCGTGTTGCTGGCGTTAGTTTCTAATATAAACGGCAAGGAAAAATCTGGATATTCGAGCGTGGGTGCATCAGATAAGCGACTGCGAAGGGCCACGAACGCCGCCTCCTCCTCCGGACCCCATTTAAGCCTCTGATTCTTAGCAGTCAGCGCGTGCAGGGGTTTAGCGACTGTAGCGAAATTTGGCACAAACTGACGGTAATATGATGCAAACCCGACGAAGTTCCGTACATCCCCCACTCATGTTGGGGTCGGCCAATCGTGAACAGAGGCCGTCTTGGCCAGATCTGTGGCAATACCGTCAGAGCTCACAACGTGACCCAAGTAACGCACCAAATGTTGCAATAGATGACATCTTATTGGTTTAAATTTGAGGTTAACAGAGCACATCCTCTCAAAAACGGCGCGCAGGCATCGAAGGTGTTGATCGAACGTGCGACTAAACACAATTACATCATCCAGATAAATGAGACAAGTGTCCCACTGCAAGCCAGCTAAGACGAGCTCCATCAAGCGTTGGAATGTGGCAGGAGCTGAATTCAACCCCATCGGAAGGAAATTGAATTGAAAGAGTCCCTGAGGCATGCGGAATGTGGTCTTCAGTTTCGAAGAGTCATCCAGAGGCAATTGCCAAAACACGGAAGACAAATCGAGAGTCGAGAAATACCGCGCTCCGGACAATGCATTTAGGGAGTCATCCATACGTGGAAGCGGATACACGTCGGCCACTGAAACCTTATTCAGTTTCCCAAAGTCTACGCAAAATCTGAGATTCCCGTCTTTTTTCTTAACAAGTATGACCGGTGCACCCCAAGGGCTGTTAGACGGGAAGATCATATAAGCGGCCAGCATATCATTCACAGCGCTCTGTACACGTTCCTTCTCCCTAGGACTCAACCGATGCGAGTTCTGACGAATAGGGCTGGCCTCACCTGTATCAATGTGGTGGGACAAAAGGGACATATGTCCCAAATCGAAATCATCCTTACTGAAAACGTCAGCAAATTCACTCAGAAGTGCAGGCAACTCCCTGCCTTGGTCGGAGGATGACAGATTATCTCGACATACCTCCGCGATCCATCGATCATCCGACACAGAAGCGAAATGGGTTGCCCTCACCAATCAGCACGACGTACCCTCGTCGTGGTCCGTAAAGGCGGTAGTCGCATGAGCCAGCACTGTACCGGCGGGAACGACAACCCCATCTGGACCCCCATTCAGAACTTGCAAAAATGGGGCCTGTCCGGATTGAACTATCGTCTGGGCGCCGACAAGCGTGAGACTCCGGGTCGCAGTAATAGATGGGGTCAGAAGGACCCCGGCCGCCGCATCTTCGCTATGGATGCCTTTCCGATAACGCAATGGCAATAGCATCTGGGATCCTAGCAGAATTTCAACTGTAATGTCCACTAGCGCCTGCACAGCGGCGCACGGCGGTGAACGCAAGAGCGGAGACGGTAGAAAAAACAGTTTGCGACCGGAGGGCATTTCCAGACAACCTTGATCAACAAAAATCTTAACAGGCATCCTGCCAAGAAAATCAGTGCCCAACAAGCAGGGCACCACCAAGGATCTCGAAATCAAGACCGGCCTGACGCAGCAACATCTCCAATCACAATGTGGGCATCCACCTGGCCGATAATGCCCATGCTACCCCCATTGGCAGCAACACAAGCGTCAAAGACCGAACGAACTCGTGAAACGGGGATAGACAGAAGCTGAAAAATTACATCAGAAATGATTGTAGCGGAAACCCCCGTATCCACTAAGACACGCACATCAACGCCCTGAATGGAGCCAGGTACCGTCGAGGAACCAGCTGCCGCCGCAACCACGCGATGTGCCAACTTTTTCCATTGCGTTATCGAGACAGGCCAACCCCTAGTGACAGTACCCAAATTATGATACGAACGACCTTGGTCAGTGATATGAGATGCCTGAAGTGACGAATTAGGCCGGGTGTTCGATGTGTGCCGACTCGCCTGCATGGGAAGATGTTGAGCCATCGGCGAAGGAGTCGGAGCCGGAGCAGCAGGTGGCGTCGAAGAACAAGGGCGACTCCGGCAATCCTGTGCGAAGTGGCCCAACCGGCCACACTTGAAGCACATGACAGCCGGCCGGCGAGCTGCCCCTGTCGTCACCCCGATGTGGGCCGTAGAACCCCCGGTGACATTGAATGTCGCCTCGACGTCGATCCCAATGAGGAACAGCCACCGCAAGATCATTCCCCGCAGCGTATTGTCTGGATTGTGGACGACTTTAGCAGGCGACCAACCCAGTCGGCTCACCGTCGCGAACAGGATCCCCAGTCCATGCAGCCATCTGCATCCAACGTTGTAGGTTCTCGTGCGCTTTCAGGCATCTGGCGGCCCATCGAAACGTCTGCGGCTCATGACCGCGAGCAGGTAGAACCACCCCCATGTTCCTTGCCAAAGCCAGCATTCTTTCCATAATCAGCGAGTCGAGGACTTCTTGCTTGACATCGGGGTAGGCGGCCACAGCCAACGCCATCAAAGCGCTACGGTAGGCAAGCGGGGATTCAGAACTCCCCCGCCTACGCTGCATGAACTTTCGTTGAGTATCGAAAGGCAGTTCGTAGACCTCTGCCATTTCCGCGTACACATCCTTCAACGTTTTCTTCTTCTCAGGAGAAATCGATCGAAATACCGCCAGCATGTCGTCATCCAAAACGGTCCGCAAAGTGACCAACGCCTCTTCCTCCGACCAGTGCACTGACCGGAACGCTGCCTTGAAGCGCCAAGTGAAGGCGCTCCAATTGTCGCCTGCAGCGACAAATTTCTTGACTTGAGAAAGACGGCGGCTGCGCCCGGCTCCATTCCGTCGAACAGCAGCAGCAGCCTCCACCGGCTGTGCACCACGTGGCTCCTCAGAAATGGCGGACTCCAACCGTGCCTCAACACCACCGCCCAAGATGGCGGCGTCCCGCTGCGTGGTCTCCGTAGCTCTCCTGTGCCCGCAATGGTGGCCATCGACTCCGCAGGGGGACCCTCCGAGGCTCCATCCCGAAGCCTCTGCTCGTCACCCCTCGGCAAACCTTCCTGTGGGCCCCCCGTAACCATAGATGACGCGACAAGCGACACCAGCTGGAGACGCACCGTCCGGAGTGAGTCCAGCTGCTCCTCCACCTGTTTCCAGCCGTCCTCCGCCCATTGTGACGAAGATGCCGCAGCTGCGCCGTCCGTCTTTGGTGCGGTGACTTCACCAGCCGTGGTTCCTGTAACCGGGACCATGGATCCCGGGGTCGGCAGGTGCTGGGTCCCCGCCTTGTCGTTGTCGGAAGATGCCACAGGTGGGTTCTTCTTTTGAGATGCTTGGACATGTCGCTTTCAGTTGTACTCCCTTGTCACTAGAAGAACCACTTCTGACTCCAGTTTTAATAAAGCACTTCCACGACAACTGTTGACTGGCGCCTTTGTTTATTTATATGACTGCACAGCTCCGCACTCGCTCTCCGAATGGCTTCCCTCTCTCTCTACTGCCGTGATGCGCACTCTCCCTCTTCCACCGTCGCAGCGTGTCTCTCTCTCTCCACGCTCGCTACTGGCTGGCGGCGCGCTGGGAGGAGAGAAGGCTCCGCTGGCAGAGCCCGCCACGTGGCTGGTGGCGAGTAGAGGTAGGCGATGATGCAGTCTGGACTCCAGGCTCCCCACACCGACCCCGAGTCCTCTCACTGCCTTCCCTTATATTCTCCTCGGCGGAGCAAGCTCCGCCTCCAGACACGCCCCCTCGTAGAACCTTCTCGACCATTCGAGCACGTACTCTCTAGCTCTCCGCCCGTCACCTTTGGCCCAGATATATCCCATACCTCCCATTGGGTATTAGTTACCAAGTGGTGGCCTATGCAGATACCCCTCGTCGTCCCCTAGATGGCGCTCTCTCATTACACATGTATTGTGGGTATAATTATTGGTGTAGTGTAAGTAATCGATTCACGTGACCCATGCAAGTCATTAGCTTGTTTTCTACTCGCCACATTATTAGCAAATTTGCAATTCTTTAAACAAATTATAAACCCGAATGACAATTCGTTACACTACTTTTTAGGGGCAGGGGACAATCTTTAAGCCGCTAGTTTCCATCGACATACATACTTATTAATATTATTAAACATAATTATGCCCCTTAACAAAGGCGTGTGAACTTAATGCCATGCAGAGTTAAAAGTAACTCAATACCGCAAACTATTTTGGATAACCACAAAAAATAGGCCATACGCATATTCTCAGCCAGTACATTATACAGTATAATGCGGATTATTGTAGCAACTCTGAGATGTGAGTCAATATCTACATCTCTGTTACTGGTATGGTCCTTGATTTAGATGGATATAATGTCTGTTGAAGTGAATAACTTAATAATCACATTTTCTATATTTGCATGATGCTGTGGTACCACCCCCTCAGAGCAAAGTTTTCTACATGGAGGACATGAATGAAAACTACACGAGCCTGCTATTGTTACGAATGGCAACAGCAACGACAAATGATCCAAAAGTAGTATCGAGAGCCTACTTCAACCTCTACTTTGATGACATTGAATTAGGAGAAAGACAGCTCACTCATCCACAATTAGAGGTAATTTTCAATGCATAGTTTTATAGTCTTTTTTGCAGAAGAAACTCTCACTGCTATCAAGCAGCTCCCGCTCCACACGGGGTAATACTTGGCTTGAACTAGGGTTGTTAAAATATGATTTTTGCATTCCCGGTAACCACGTGAAAACACACATATAGCAATGCCTCGAGGGTTTATTAAACAACCGCAGGGCAACTGCTGTGGCGATATGTCAACTACCTCACCTGGTATGCAAGGAGGTCGTGGATTCGACCCCAACCCTGACTCCTGTATATTTGAAGTTTGCATGTTCTCCCCGTGGTCGCGTGGATTTTTTTCCTCCTGGTTTACCCTCCAAATTTAGAAACAACATGCGTTTAGAGTATTTGGCTGGTATAAATTTCCACATGATAAGCCACTTCGTTGAACTATCATTTGTGGCCAAGTCGCTTCTGAAAAAGAGCAATTTAGCTCAGTGGGCTTTACCTTGTCAAATAAAATGAGTTAATGAATTAGTTAAAACATAATAATATCAAGTACTCGACTTGAGCAGTATTATTATGGACCGAGCCTTCCTCAGCCACCACACCAAGCTTCTCCCGCTCCGCAACTGTACAGATGATGCTACCCTCTCCCTAACCCTTGCCACCCGTGCACCCACGCCACTCCGAAGACGATCACCCCCAAAATCAAGCGCGCATTCACAATCCATGCACACATAGTCAAAACAATACAAACCTCGACAACACTATTGTTACCTAAGGAGCGATGTGAGCTGCAACCGTGGTGTCAATGTTAACATGCTGGGTTTGCAATTCAGAGGTAGCCCGCTCATGTTCAGCTCCCTGTTTGGCAGTTGAACGTTTCCTAAACAGTGACCGAGAGATGAGTGAAACCGGTGGTGCTTTCATTCCGGCATTTCCACCTGGAATCGTGTATCGGCTCCAGTAATCTATTGTGAAAACGATTACCGGATTATTGCTTATCATTTAACAATCCTAGTTCAAACCTAAATGCTCTACTTGCTCCATTGCGCTACAGGTCCATGTCAAACAATTCAACCAAAAATGTTACTGACCTACCCTTTTTAGGCATATGAAAGTGGGATCATATATAACTTCATATTCTCCAAACCTGAATACTGTGGAAAGCCAACCCACATTAAACTTTGGCTGAACAGGTGACAATGTCGGCGATACCTGGAACATCAGGAAAATGTCATTGTTTGATCAAGAAAATCAAGAAGTGTGAGTACAATGCAATGAGCGTGTGCTCGCAACTGCAATAGAACAAACATACCGTAGAGTCAGGTTCTCGGCCATAGCATTTCAGTGAAGTTTGTATTAAAACTAAGGCCTAAGGCCATTCAAATGTAATATAAGATTCCATTGTCAATTCATTTGTACTTGGACAAAGTGCAATGGCAGTGTGCGATGATGTGGCATAAGAGAAATAGTCCCTTCCAGTGATTGGAACCAGTAAGTTGAAGAAATACTGAAACTTTATAACATTTATGCTCTAAGTAATCCTTTTTTACAGATATTTTTTTGGTGAAAATTCAATGCCCCTTTTACCTTTTGACATTAACTGTTCTTGCAAGACGTTCAAAGTCCAGGAAGACATTGCTCTGTTTACAAATACGTGGATGGCAAACAGAGCAATAAAGGGCAACTTTTCTGAAGATCACCTTTGGTAATTCACAAATAATTTTACAAAATAATATTATGTAGAATAGAAATAGCAATAAAACATACACATAAGTGTATACATGCTGTATATAATGACCAGTTTCTCAAGAAATGTTGTAATATTTGGCCCATCCATACAGCATAACATCAATTTTGCATAATAATTATATAATTTTGTCAAAATATATTCTCATTTATTAATGGGAGGAATGTGGAGATTTAAAGGTAATAAGATACTTTGAATGTGTTTCCAGACTAAATGTAGTGTTATCATTGATAATTTTTTGTGCAATCACATTTGCAAATGCGATTTGTAAATGTGTGCCTTTCCACCAATGTATCAATAGTTACGTTTTAATGTGCAATTTTATTGAGGGATTGTGTGTTGTCTTGGTGTGGTCTGGGACTGTTGTTTTTTTCTGCCTTGCCAAAGCTTGCGTTTAGTGTTGAAACATCGGCAGGAATTTGTCCTTATGAAATTTGTGCTGATATACTTTCTTATTGTATTTATTTATGTTGTATGACTTACTTTCCTTGCACTCCTATCGTTCGTGTTTTTGTCTTTCTGTATTGTTTGTTCTTGTAACTTGCCTACTGGACATCTGTGAAAAAGAGCTTCATAGCTCATCAGATTCCTCCAGTCTAAATACAGATTCTGGTTCTGTTTGTTTGCGAGTATCTCATAATTTTAATGTAATGTTTTGGGCTATTATAAATGTCGCAATGCATAATCATCACAGGGCTAATAACCACATTTTCGTTGTTATTATGCCAAAGGGTTCATGTGCAGCAAGCCACAATTGATAGTTCACAAGCACAAGGTTCATATGTTTAGATACATAATACTCTCTCATCACTCGATTTCCCTCCGTAGGATGTCCGTTTTCATCCGCCCATTCAAGACCAATTTCTCCCGCGTGCATCGCATCTCCTGCTGCGTCACGCTCCTCTTCCTCATGATGATGGCCAACGCCATGTGGTTTGGCAAGAAGCAGGCAGCCAGCGAGGCGGGCGGTGGGGTCACGGTGGGGCCGCTGTCTCTCACCGACGTCCTCATCAGCCTCCTCAGCAGCCTGGTGGAGGTGCCTGTCAGCCTCGTGGTCGTGCTCATATTCCGCAATAGCCGCTCGGAGAGTGAGCGGTCTCCAGGCCAGAAGAGCTCCTGGAGGGGCCCTTGGCCTGGTGGCTGCAGATGCGTAGCCTGGTGTCTCGTGGTCCTCGCTGTCCTGAGCTCTGGCTTCTTCACGATCCTCTACAGCATGGAGTGGGGCTCAGAGAAGGCCAACCGGTGGCTCATTCGATTCCTCATATCGTTCATTATGTCTATTGCCTTGATCCAACCCATAAAGGTAAAACTTAAAAACAAAAACACCTCCCTAGTCTGTTTTTTAAATCCTGTGGTAACATTTTGATGCTTTCTGCATCCAAATTGTATTGTATTGCCATTGAATAAACCATGGCTAATGTTTACGACAAAAGCTGTTCTTCTAAGTGTAGTGCTCGACTTGACATGACAGCTTCTTGCTTTTCTCTCTCTCTTAATTTCGCTAATACCGATCAACATTCCTCCAGCTAACACCAATAAACATTCCTCCAGCGCGCTCTCCGCTCGCTCGCCGCGCTTGCTCTGCGTCTCTCACTCCGTCTACTCTCCTCTCCACTCTCACAGTTCAGCCGCTCTTTATCGGCTTCTCCGTCACACTCAGCCGTGTCTCTATCGGCTTCTCCGTCACACTCAGCCGTGTCTCTATCGGCTTCTCCGTCACACTCAGCCGTGTCTCTATCGGCTTCTCCGTCGCACTCAGCCGCTTTCTGCTGGCTTCTCCACTGCTGTCTTATACTTCTCTGCTGCTACCTTATACTTCTCCACTGCTACCCTATACTTCTCCACTGCTACCCTATACTTCTCCACTGCTACCTTATACTTCTCCACTGCTACCCTATACTTCTCCAATGCTTCTGGCTCCGCTGCTTCAGCTCCAACATCCTTCTTCTCCTCCCAGGTGCAAACTCCCATCTGCCTCAAAACCCCCTCTCTTCATCCCCAAGCCAATTAATCTCCAATTAATCGGTGGCATCCCCCGCGATGCCCCTCGCCCCCAGCCCCCGCTGGCACCTACCACGTTTTCCAGACAAAGCGGCGCCACTTAGCGACAACAACAACTTCCCGGCCAATCAGCGCCCTGCGTCCTTAATTGCGGCCCTACCACCCGATACTGTCCTCAGACAGCGTGGCATCGCATTTAGACAATAACTCCCAGCCAATCAGCGCCCTGCGTCCTTAATCGCCCCCTACTCGTCTCTGGCCTCCTCCTCGCTCCTTGACGGCAATAACAACCTCGACCTCATCTGCTCCCACTGTACTCTGCACGCGTGCACCCACTCCCGCGTGTGGCGCATATTTCAAGCACTACATAAGTAACTAGATCAACCAAATAATTGTAACACTTTTTGGACATTGAATGTCAAATTGGACGTGATATATTAACTGTTTTGATTAATACTGTGGATACCATTGTAATCAAAGTTGCAACTGTTGTTTTCATCATAATTGTCATCATTATACATTATGATCATCTCCTTGTTATCATCAGCGTTGTTATTGTTGATTGTTTTGGATACTAATGTATATCATAAAGACATTTGTTTGTGAAAGCTTCAAAACATACAGTATTTTCACTACATTAAATGCCTTTTCAGATTTTTTTATGATTGTATTATGCAAAAAAATATAAATTCTAAAATGCAGATTGCTTATGTGGTTGGTTGGCCCCTAAAATAGAGATGATACATTTATCCATGTTTTATTGGTAGAATTGATATATACCGCTAACCAGTTTTTGGCTCCCAAGTTTTAATAGAAAATATGATTGAGATATTGTGAGTCTTGCTTGCAAGAACTTGGGTTTGTGGACTTCATTATTTGATGAGACATCACTTTTCAAATCATAAAAGCAAGTCATGTCGAGTCACCTTAAATTTAGATACAAGTGTTAATATGGCCTTAATGTGGTATTGCATATCATGTTCTAAATGGTGCCATAAATTGTGCTCTCAGAATGTCCTCAGTGCCGTTGTAAAGTATATACTGTGGAAGAAGGTAACACGATTTCTGAACACGGAGGTATTAAAATCATATGTAGAAGTTCTAAGTGCAGGGCAAACAAATACAACGAAAGGTACGTTGAGCACGATCTATAAAAAATCTGCAGTGTTTTTTTTGTAAATAATGTGCATTGTTTAATCATAAAAATGAAATAACACATTTAACACAACAACAGACACTGAAATTTGTTGTATATTTTAATTGGAAAAGTGCACCACCGAGTCCTTATACCATATTAATATTGCGTGTAAAGTAGAATATTACCTTATGAGTGCTGAATTTATATTAGACTAGCGGGAAGTACCCAGCGTTGCCTGGGTCTTAATTTTTTTTCAAAACTACTCTTAAAAATCTAACAGCAGTGTGTACTGACTCTGGTGGTACCAGCTATGATTACAGCAATGCATACTGTGGTGGTACCTGCTATGATTACAGCAGTGCAAACTGTGGTAGTATCTGCTTTCACTGCAGCAATGCATACTGTGGTGGTAGCTGCTATGATTACAGCAGTGCATACCGACTGTGGTGGTACCTGCTATGATTGCAGCAGTGCATACTGACTGCGGTGGTACCTGCTATGATTACAGCAGTGCATACCGACTGTGGTGGTACCTGCTATCACTACAGTAGTACATGCCGACTCTATAGTAGTATTTATTGACTCTATAGCACAAATTACTCACCTGACAGAGTGGCGTGGTGAGGCCTAGTCCCGTGCAGAGCCTAGATTGACGACCTATAGTGGTAGCATGTACCGACTGTATAGTAGTAATAACTGCACGCATCGGGGTGGGGGAGAAATGAGACAGTTAAGAATTTACCTGAGCGTTTAGTGTATTTTATAGGATTTTTAACGCGAAAAAAAATGTCCCCGTCACTCCCACCAAAGGCACGTGAGTTGGTATGGTCATGCACGCGTCATAAATAAATACATAATAAGTAAGTGCACAGAAATCACACTAAATCGCTAATTAAACTAATTTAAAGTTGACAGATGTGAAAATGGAATAGCGCTTGCTCACGGCGGGGCTTACGGTAATTTTAATCCCCCCCCACTCCCACCGAAGGCGTGCAACTTGGCATGGGCTGTCCCCACCCCACCAAAGGCGCGTGAGTTGATATGGTCGTGCATGCGTCATAAATAAATAAATAAAATGCAAGCGCACAAAATTGCTAATTAAACTAATTTAAACTTGACGAATGTGAAAAAGGAATAGCGCTTGCTCACCGCAGGGCTTACGGCGTGGTACCTGGCTATTTTTTCACGTTAACCCCACAGTTGGAGAGCCAAGCGCGCGACCACACACAAACCCACGCACAAACCCACAAACCCACATACAATTTTTTACTTTTATTTAAATTAGCTCTCTGGAGTCGGCATCCTCTCCTCCACGCTCCTCTAATGCACGACTCCTGTTTTCTGCGGGTGAGGGGGCCGATCCGTGCATTTTCCTATTATCCAAGGCCTAATTCATTGTGGTATTTTCAACCTAGTTCTCCTTAGACAAGAGGGATTAGTTGCCAGTGGTCGCCAAGAGTAGTGAATTTATTCGATTGGCTCACGGAGGATTCCATTCAAACGGCGAAACCACTAACCCTGACCAGAAGCTTCAATGCACTCGCAGAGTTTTGTGAGTGAGACAACAGTCAGCAATGAATTCGCCCTATTGTCCACAATTTCCCGTGGATAATGACATGACTGTGGATTTAAAATGGTAAACATGGTAAACATTTACATTGTTTAATTCAATATTTTTACTGAGATTCGTGGGCTCTTAATTGGCAATGTTAAAGTGAAAATAGCAACATGTTTTTTTTAAAATATATGTAACATAATGACTTCAGAGACACTAACTGTAGAGGACTTCTTTATTATTTCTCATCGGCTTACAGCTACGACTTAATGACAGTCACAGGGTAACATAACACTGACTGACTATATAGCTGGCTGACTATACGGCGATGAAGGTAATGTCTAACTATATAGCTGGTTGACTATATAGCGACGTCGACGAAAAGACGACAGCAATGACGATGATGACAGTGATGACCACCAGACCAAAGAACCCCACGGCGCCCAGAACCCCATTCCTCTCCGCCTTTTATCCCCCCAGCATGGCCATGCCCCACCCCTGGCCACGCCCCTGTTCTCGAACTCTCCTGCGGGTTCTGGGAGCTTCCGGATAGATCCCCTCTTTGACCCTTGGCCTAGTTATCCCCCCTTGTTATCGCTCGTGTGCATACTCTCTTCTATTGTTTGTTTGCTGTTCTCCCACCCGTAATTATCCCTTATGGCCGCCAGTCGGCGCACTGTCTCTACATAAATAACAAATAAATTACCAACAACATAGTTATATTATAATACGTTGAAATGTTCCTCTTTACACAGGAACATCTATGCAAAGCCCAGCACGCATTATTTTTGGACAGACTTTGCAAAGTATTTTGAGCATCAAGCTCTTCTTGAAATGTCCTCCAGCTGATCGCATTGTTCTTTGCCGCTTACACACACGTGAATGGTTTTGACATTCATTTAAAAAAAAATGTGCAAAACATTTTCATCACGGGAAAATATGAAAATGTAAGTATAGTAAAACCTTATATTTATGTTTACAAACAAGATACTTGGATTCTAAATCTGTATATGAATGTTGTATGTATGTGTGTTGAACTTCTTTCACACCATATGTAGCCAGCTGTGCTAATCAATTAATTGGTGCCCATTACTTTGCTTTAGGGAGCAGGTGGGATATGATCTGGACTAAAACCATCAGTACACAGCTTATTAAAGCATTTATATGAAGTGTAAATATTGTATTTGTAATGCTGTGACTATTATTTATAAAATAGTATTAATATTAATAGCATTGCTTTCAGAACTTAACGTTGTGTAGATTTAGTCGGCATGTTGTGTTAATTAAGTAATTTTAGATCTGGCAATTTCTATACAGGTGTTTTTATAGCAAATTATTTCTCAAATATTGAAGGCATCACAAATCCACTGTAATTATTGTACTGTGATTTACGTATAGTGGTGACATATATCGTTTTGTTCCTTAAGATCGATGATGCCCCCGGCTATTGGGACTGGATGTTTGGCTCACTCTTACCAAATATGAAACAAAGCAGTAGCAATGTAAAGACAGCCAACACCTTTCTGTCCAAAATGCATTCCCCTGAGATGGTTTTGGTTGGCTCAGTGTGGCTAAGGCAGCTGAGATACACAAAAGGTAAAACATGTACTCCTGTACAATTTTAAAGCAAAGTTTCCTGAAATATTGATGTATTCAATCATACCTGTTTAACATTTTATGTAATATTGCACAAGATCTGTTGTATTCGTCACAGAATATAAATGGTTACGCATTCTTTGTTTTACTATTCCACGTAAAATATTCACAACAAAATGTCAAAAAAAGTTTATTTTATAAAACGCAATAGACCCGCAAGTCCAATCTGTTTTTTTTTATCCTAGTTGTCTAAAAATACACCTTAGTTTCATGCTAATTCTGTTTACTGGCAACCAATAGTTTATTTTAAAACTGTTGAAGTGCATACGCGATTGCAATTGACGATTGCAAAACCGAGACAAATTTATTTAAAAACTAAATTGTAAGTGCGTTGTTTGAATTTTTGAAATGACTAAATCGTGCTGGTATATGAATGTGTGCATTATTGTGGCAGGACCATTTGAGATGAAGTATTTGAAGATGTTGCAAGATGTTAAACACTCTCCGCCAGTAGTGGACATCAAAAACTATGCAGAGGCCTGGGTACCATCAAACACAACAGGAGGAGATTACAGAGACAAATACTGGATCTTCCAGAATATGCCAGACGAGGATGCCTCAAGTACATTTGGTAGGATTTTAGTTGTTACAAGGTTAATTGTGCAAGGGATTTGTCACCTAGTAATGTTACATTCAACAGAATAAAAGGGCAGTAAAATAGAAAAAAAATACGAGAAACAGTCTACAGTTTTTTTCATTCATTATTTTGTGACGTTGCATTGGCAGTGGTGCAAATCACACTCACCAAAAAAAGGTAATCGCAAATGTATTCTAGTACATGGGCCATTTCCTAAAATGTCATCAATTTTAAAAATAATATATTAAGGCAGTGTTATTGACTAATGTGTTACATTTTTTTTTGTAAATGGACAGCGTGCAAGTCAAAAACATGCATTTTAGCACGAAGAGTTTGAAAGCTTTGGAAAATGTAAGGTCCAGTAGGAATAGGGACTGGCCATTATTTCATTATGACTCAGTCTTGAACACAGTTGATGCATACTGTGATGGTACCACCTTTTGAATGGACAATGGTGCCTCTTTACCCCATTCGTGGCTATTATGCTTGGCGTTTCTTTGCAGAGTCACTCAGGAGTGATGGTTACTTGGTGGAGTTGGTAAATGATGCAGCAAAAGCAGCCGACACTCTCACGTACCTGAAGGAAAACTCCTGGCTAGATTCCCGCACGTCGGCACTCGTAACAGAGCTCACGGTGTTCAACGCAAACACAAATCTGCTCTGCCATATGAATCTGCTTCTGGTTTTCTCTCTGCCCGGTGAGTGTGTAACCCTGCTATCAAAGACAAAGCTACCCCTATAGCCTAAACAGACTGTTGGGGCAACCGCTACACTACCACTCCCCTACTGTCGACTACACACACATTAAATCACATCAAATCAATAGAGTAAACACATTTTAAAGGCACAATGTCATATGTTTGAATGCGTGCAGGCTGGCAGCAATTAAAAATAACATGCACAGATGGACACATAAACATCAGAAAGGCACGACTGTCATCATGCATATTCTTGGTTATTTTGGTAATGTCACGTAGATAGAAAACTTAAAATAAAAATAAAAAGATAATTTTTTTACATTTAAAATAATAAAAGCAAAAAACCCACAATAAAAATAGTAAAATTAAATGTAAAATTTTAATAAATTGAAAATAATAAAAGCAAAAAACCCACGACGTTCGATCGCAACACAAGCAGTCTTGATCAGGCGGAGAGAAAAGAGGGGGCAAGCCTCCAAATGTAACTGCTTATAAGGGTTCCAAAGTGAGTGGGCGAGAGATCTCTTTTAATTTGTTTTAGAGATACCACCAATTGCCTCGTTACTAAAACGAACAGTATCATCACCGATTCAGCTTCATTAATTGAACAGACCAAACGGTTTTCCTTAAAACCTTCTGCTGCTAGACCACCCAGACTATATGGCTTACCAAAATCCATAAAGAAAGTACACCCCTTCGTCCCATCGTCTCCACCATTGGTTCACCCATCTACAAACTGGCCCAATATCTGTCTGAGACCTTGCAGCCATTCACTGGTAAGACCACCTCTTCTGTTCCTAACTCAGCTCACCTGGTTTCGTCAATTAAAGACATCTCACTGTCCCCAGGTGATTTGCTCGTTAGTCTCGATGTAGTTTCTTTCTAGATTTGAAGCTTTCGTGACTGCAGGAATCCATACTCTTTGGTTATTTCGGTAAGTCACGTAGGTAGAAATAAAAGAAAATAAATCACGTTTCGATAGCAACACAAGCCATCGTCTTCAGGTGAAAATCTCGACATCCGCGATGTCTGCTGCGAGCAGCACAATGTCTGCTGCCTTGTGAAGAGAAGCTGTTACCAGCAAAAGTTTATATAAGTTTTTGAGAACAAAGGTAGCCGAAGTAGTGTTAATGGGGTATTATAGTGTAAAGGTAATAAATAGCGTGGCATGTTAAAGGAAATGAACTTAGATTAGCATGTTGGATTATAGTGCAAATATATAATCCAACACTACAATCCAACATTTATTTTTTTATTTGTTTTCTATCTACGTGACTTTACCGAAAGAACCAAGAATATGTATTCCTGCAGTCACGAACGTTTTAAGTAAAAAAATGTCATCATGCATTGTGTGCATGTTGTTAGTAATGTAAAGGTGTTGTGTCGTTTTCTAGGTATTGCACATCCACAATACCATCTCAAGGTATCTCCTTTACAAGAAATCGGGAATGCTTGGTTTGTGGTGACCATGGCTGCTTACATCATCATTTTGGTCTTGGGCCTGCTTTTTTTGGTCTGTGAAAGTTTTAAAATGAAGAGAGAGAAGATGTCCTACTTCGGCAAAGTGATGAATTACGTGGAACTACTTTGCTTCGTTCTGAGGATAACACTGGTCGCAATCTACTTCTTTTTGACAATGACTCTGAAAGAAAATCTCTACTTGCACACTCAAGGTATGCACACCCAGTGCAATTCATTACCTCAAAGTAATCCACACATGATCAAGGAAACTTTCAACGTTCATTTTTTTCTTATTTAAAAATTGTTACGAGTTCTATATGAAGCAGAGGCAGCTAGATCCATTATTGCATGGGAACCTGTAAATGACAGAATTACAGTGAGACTGGAAACAAGATATACCAAATTATTGCTGGTCCAAGTATACGTGCAGACAAATGTGGATACTGGTTAAGTGAAAGACACATTATATAGACAGCTGCAGATATGAGATGCACTCTTATGAGGGTGGCTAATGGCTGGCTGACTTTTAACGCTCAGATTGGGCACAGAATTGGTTGAGAGGTTACAGGAGCAGAAGGTAAGTTACTTTAACACGTTGGCTTTCACGACCAATATTATTCATAATAAAGATTTTTGGGTTAGATTACGTATGTATAAATGTGTCGTAACCCTCCACTGCCTGACTACGACGTTTCACTGGTAATTACATCCAGCATCATCGAGCGATTTGCCAGAATAGTGAAGCGATCCACCTGCTTCCGGTCTTAATTAGAGCAAGATGACGCTGTGAACGTCATGACGCCATTTACTCTCCAACACACCGGTGGGCTGAAGTAGTAAATAATTGGCGCGTTGTTTACGTGACAAACCTTACTGGCTGTGTCGGGTGGTGGAAGGTTACGACACATTTATACTTACGCGATCTAACCCAACAACCTTTATTATGAGATAAGTTACTACAGTGCATTTGGAAGCCTGGGGAAACGTATTATTTCACACAAAGCTATACACAAATCAATATGTTAGTTATCATAAACGTCTCATAATTTATAATACAAAAAAGTAAAAACAAAGCAAAAAAATGCTGTGGAGTGCTGCTTGTGTTCAATCAGTTAGGCAACAAACTAAACAAGTGCAACAGTCTAATTATATATATTTTTTATATAACTTGTGTTTCTTTAATATATACATTATATTTAGAGTACACAAAATAACTCATTGTCCTGCAGAATGGAATGAGATTGAGCCGATGCATGAGTTACATATGTTAATGAACCTTTTTTACAATTGAATTCAACTTAATTTTTAAATTTTCATTTTGATACTATGTCTTTTTGCGTTTTAATTCTCGTGTTGGAAGCTTTTTGAGCCCAGCACGTGGAATAAAACATGGGACATCGTGACCAACAACTCGCGGTACAACCCGAAAACACATCACATAAATGTATGTTGAACTTCTCTCCCACAGTACGTAGACAACCGTGCTAATCAGAGGAAATACAGCACAACCTTAAAATATCTACGCACACTGAAGTCGAAGTCATATTAAATTCGTACATTATTTTTCAGGAGAAAATCCGACGTTTGGCAAGCTGACCTCGCTGGACGAGCGTCTCAGGGTGGCGCTGGCGCTGCTGGTGTTCGTGGAGTCCCTCAAGGCTCTTCAACTCCCCCTGCTCCACCGCGGAGCGAGGCGGTGCCTGGCGCTGCCTCTGCTGCGCCGTGAGACGCGAGTCAAGAGCCGACTGCTGTTGTTGGTCGTGCTGTTGTGCGTCTGCAGCCTCTCTCTGCACGGCCTGTACGGCGCCCGCTCCTGGGCCCACGCCTTCCAGTCCGTGACCTCTGCACTCGTGCGCATGTCCCGTCTGGGAGAGGCGCTGGGTGACGGAGGGGCATGCGCCACGCTCGTATACCTCTCCTTCAGGCTGCTTGCAATCATTCTCGTAATGTCTCTAGGTAAATGGGTTTGATTCATTCTTTGGTCGTGTGAAATCTCGATGGTGAAGCCTCGTTTGTTCAAAGGCTGCAGGTTGTAGAGTTTAATTTTTTTTTTATAATTGACAATTTAAAACCGAAAGTTTGTTTATATTCACTAAATTGCATTTGTGAAATTCCATATCTAATTCATACAATCCATATATGTTCGCATGTTAGCAAAGGCAGTTGAACCGTTGAGCCTACAGGCAGTGCATTGAGCAGCGCACATCTTTTATATATTTTTAAACATCTCACCTGGATAATCCCTTGAGATATCTCATTAGCCTGGGTGTGCAACATCGCCCAAACATCAGAGAGGCTGCTTTTTTGGCCATGAAACTGTCTCCAAACCTTCGACTAAGATCCAGAACTGTGTGCACATTCCGATGCTTGGCCTGGCATGTTAATAGGCTCTTTTAAGGGGTGAAGCATGTGTCTGTCTCCGATATCTAATGTATCTTGGCTGAAAGACTAAAAGCTATTTTGAGTACTTTTGGGGCACTCCAAATAATTATAACACATTAAAAGTACCCAAAAGCTGCACTTTTTAAAATTATATTTAACGTGACAATTCATACCAATGAACTTATTTCAATGTTACTTTTTATTACAATAAGTTTAAAACTTTGAATGTACACAAAATGGTCATAGATTGTAAAAAAAAATTTACTTGGTATGAATCGCGTTTAGTCTGTACTCTTGTTTTTTAGGCCTTTGTCTCATGGTGTGTGTCTGTACACATTACTTGGACCTCCATCGAACAATGGTCTCCATATAAAGTGCTTTAATTTGGATTCGGTTTGCACGATAATTTAAGGTGCAATTAGAGGCCATTTGTTAGGCAGCATCTTTGAGAGTTACAAAAAACGCGTTGGCTTTATACTACGGTCAGTTTAAGTAGCTATATCTTTATATGTAGTCACATTAAGATTGGTGGTTTGATCATCCATCACAACGCCATATTGCATGTTTTTGGCAGTTCAGAACCACTTGGTAATTTCTTAATGATACCACATGTTCCATGTTGTAGGAAGCATACATCATTATTCTTTGCAAGGATGAGCTGTTGTTTCGGTGTCAAAAGTGAAAACGCATTAAAAGAGAAATTGTACAATTTGTAAACACTGCCTGTGTAACGTGTACCTGTGTTTGAATTTGAAAACGGAATACACTTTGGTGTCCTCATATTCTCCAATACATAGGGCCTCTGTTGAGAAGTGAGGTCTCCTTTGCTGTAGGCACCTCTTCCTAACCTACAGGGCGCCGCAATGGCGAAATGTTATCTGCCTTACCTGGTATGCAGGAGGTCATGGGTTCGGTCCCGATCCTGGCACCTGTATATTTGGAGTTTGTATGTTCTTCCCGTGGTCGCGTGGATTTTTCTCCAGGTCCAGTTTTTCAACTCCACATTTATTCACATGCGATTTCCACACGTCACTTTGTTGAGCTATAATTTATGGCCAGGTCACTTCTAAAAAAGAGATAATAAATCAGTGGGCTTTGCCTGGCAAAATAAAACAAGTTTTAAATAAATACTAAGTTTAGTTTATATCTTGATTTGAAGCTTTCGTGACTGCAGGAATCCATACTCTTTGGTTTTTTCGGTAAAGTCACGTAGGTAGAAAAATAATAAAATAAAACAAAAAATTACATATCACGACGTTTCGATCGCAACACAGGCAGTCGTCCTCAGGCGGAAAAAAGAATCCAGCAGTGGAACTGCTGAACTAGCGGGTTAGTTTATAATTACCCTCCTGAGACTTCTAGATGAGGTGTGGATTTAATGTCACCTTGTGGCATGGTTCTCTTGGGAACCTGGTTCTATTCGTCTAGTACCAGGATCTGAACGTGTGTTGCCATGCTGTGTTCCCATGAGTCACAAGCCATTGTTCTTGCTAATATTCTAAAACCAAACATCCATCAATCAAGCCCTCAACAATGAACTTCGCTACCAACTCAAGTACCGATCCCCCTTCTGGGATGACACTGTCACCAGCCTAGAACATCACCCAGTAATGCTGACGCGAACAGAGTGAAACAAGGCAGATTTCCAGAATAAACATCTCATTGAGACCGAAACATCCACACCTCCTGGTGCTAAATCTATACGTTTTCATTAACTCTTCCAAGTACTTTTTTCAAGAGTACAATGACAAAGCCAATACAATGTAGGCAATACTGGTTACTCTGAAGGTACTATTCATGCAATGTTTTACTCTGTAAAATACATATAATTCAGTGCACTTATTGTATTTTGATAAAACATGAACAATGTTAGAAGATTTTAAAGCTTTCGTGACTGCAGGGATTCATATTCTTGGATCTTTCGGTAAAGTCACGTAGAAGGGAAACAATAAAATAATAAAAATATAAAACAATAAAATTCTCAAGAAATTTTTCTTGCTGTTTTTCACACCTGATGATGATTGCTTGTGTTGCAGTCGAAACGTCGTGAGAATTTTATTGTTTTATATGTTTATTATTTTATTGTTTCCCTTCTACGTGACTTTACCGAAAGAACCAAGAATATGTTAGAAGACGTGTTCCCCAACTGCAGTCTGTACACAGCACACATTCTATTTATACATTAATGGAAAGTGGCATCCCATAGAGCAGGGGTCCTCAAACTACGGCCCGCGGGCCACATGCGGCCCACCGAGGGCATTTATCCGGCCCATGGTCACTAATTGGGCTGCGCTTGTGAGCACTAATTGGGCTGCGCTGGTGAGCACTAATTGGGCTGCGCTGGTGAGCACTCATTGGGCTGCGATCTGTGAACAAAACTGCAGGTGTAATTAACTTTTTAATGGCACCCGCACCAGTGTGAGCCTGGGGTAAAAGCGGAGTTCCCCCAATCAGACTGCATTGATGGGCAGTGCAGTCTGTATGTCTCTGTGTGGGCAAAGTTATTGCTGGTATATTGTTTTTGTAGCGCTGTATATATATATTGGTATTCTACTAATAGCAATTTTGACTCCCTAGGAAACAATGATGTCAAGAAAAAGAAAAATTTACTCGGAGTGTAGGATATTCAAAAAAACAGTGAACTTATGATTACTTTTTCATGCAGTACAAGGAAAGAGCTGTGTGTCTGATATGCCAGAATATAGTGTCTGTGTTCAAAGAATACAATTTACGTCGACACTATGAAACTCAACATGCAGATAAATATGATTGTTTGGTCGGAGAAGTGAGAAAAGATAAAATATTAAAACTGAAAAATACATTAACAACTCAGCAAAATACTTTTGTGAAGCAGAAGCAGCTAAATATTTCATCACTGCGAGTACGTTTTCAAGTTGCCAAGCTAATAGTGTGCACTGGCAGACCATTCGTTGAGGGAGAATTTGTTAAAGAATGCCTTCTTTCTGTTGCCAAAGAGATGTGTCCAGAGAAGGCCGATTTATTTAGTACAGTGAGTCTTTCAGGACCTACAATTACACGGAGGATTGAAGAAATGGGAGACAATTTCCATCAGCATTTGCAAAACTCCACAAAAAAACTTTCCTATTTTTCCTTGGCACTCGACGAAAGCAATGATGTTCGTGATTCTGCACAAGTTCTAATTTTTATTCGTGGGACGAATGACTTTTTCAAAGTCACAGAAGAGCTTGCTGCACTGCAAAGCATCAAAGGAACAACTACAGGAGAGGATATCTATGAAAAGGTTTGCCAAACTGTGAATGGTTTGGAGCTGAACTGGGCTAAACTAGCCAGTGTGACATCTGATGGTGCTCCTAGCATGGTGGGGTCTAAGAAAGGAGTAATTGCTCGCATTAACCAAGAGATGGACAAACATAACCATTCTCATCCAATAGCCATACACTGCCTCATCCACCAACAAGCGCTGTGTAGTAAATCACTGAAGTGGGACTCTGTTAACTTCATTAGAGCTCATGCACTAAACCACAGACAATTTCAGGAATTTCTGTCTGAGCTAAATGTTGACTATGAAGATGTTCTGTACCACACAGAAGTCCATTGGCTGAGTCGAGGGAGAGTTTTGAAACGTTTCTATGACTTACTTCCACAGATTACAGCTTTTCTGTTTTCAAAAAACAAAGAAGTACCAGAGCTCAATGATGCAGAATGGAAATGGCACCTTGCCTTTCTGACAAATGTAACAGAGCTACTCAACAGTTTCAATGTGCAACTTCAAGGAAAGGGGAAGCTCATCTGTGATATGCAATCACATGTCAAAGCATTTGAAGTAAAATTAGGCCTCCTCATCAAACAAGTAAAGGAGGAAAACTTCTGCCATCTCCCCACAACTCAAAATCTGTTAGCGGAAAAACCATTGGTTGCATTCCCAAACAAAACATGTGTGGATTCACTGGAAAAATTGCAAAAGGAGTTCCAATTTAGATTTAAAGAGCTTCATCTCCATGAACAGGACATACAGCTTTTCCGTAACCCATTTTCTATTGACATTGAAAATGTGGATACAATTTACCAAATGGAACTGGCTGAACTGCAGAATTGTGACTCTCTGAAAGACGCATTCAAGTCAAGCAGCCTTCATAATTTCGATGCATTTCTCCCCTCTGAGACATATCCTCATCTCAGGAACCATGCACTCAAAATGGCAACCATCTTTGGCAGCGCTTATGTCTGTGAACAAACTTTTTCCAGAATGAAACATTTGAAATCTCCAACCAGATCTAGACTAACGGATGCACACTTGCATCACTTGTTACGACTAGCAGTGACAATAATGGAACCGGACATTGACCATCTCATTAGCCAAAAGCAGGCCCATAGTTCCCATTGAAATACTGGCAAGTTTGTTGATTTAACTTTACTTGTTCTTCATTTTAAATATTGTATTTGTTCCCGTTTTGTTTCTTCACTTCAAAATAAGATATATGCAGTGTGCATAGGAATTTGTTCATAGTTTTTTTTTAACTATAGTCCGGCCCTCCAACGGTCTGAGGGACAGTGAACTGGCCCCCTGTTTAAAAAGTTTGAGGACCCCTGCCATAGAGCGTGCACTAATCTCTTCAGACACACCAAACCAAGCATCCATGACTGGTGCCAAGAATGGCTTCCCATTATATTTTATAGATTACGTTTGTTAATACATATGTATCATAAGCATTTTCCTTTAATTGCTATCAGTCTTTGGAGCAACATTCCCAATGATCGTGAACAGATAGACATGCAAACGCGGGATGGATGTTGCTGTACGCTCTCGTAAAGTGACAGTGAACATTTGGTTGATCCGTTCCACAAAGAAAGCGCCCATTAAGATGTGGAGAGCACATGACAGCCATGTGATGCGAGGGGCTTATAAGAGGCGCGCCACGCAACGAGACCGCCGCTGTTGCTGCTACATCGCTCGCTGCAAAGGGACTTTTGCCAGGGAATAGTAAATACTGTCGAAACGGCAAATGTGAAGAGAATGCAACTCAAAGTTAAGGGAATTAAATTAGATAGCTGTTAACATACCGTGCTGCACATTTTGTTATCGTTATTGTTGTTTTTGTTGCACAGTCCGTGCGGTAAGGGTTAATTATCCAAAAAGCGCATTTTTGCTCCGGGGTGGAGGTGAAGTTGGTTGTGCACAAAGCAAAGGAGGGGAACACATGGCTTCCCCGAGGCTGGAAACCTTCTGCTGCCCCAACCGCGACCCGGCCACATCGGCGATGCTGTTCTTCACGCCGCTTGGCTTCAACGCCGTGTGCCTGACGAGCGCCGCCGTCAGCCTCGTGGGCTCCCTCATGCAGCTGCTGCCCAGGGTCCACAAGGCGCGTGGTGGCGGGGGCGGCCGGGGTGGCCCCCCACCGCCGCGAGAGGAGCTCAGCCCCGGCGCGTACCGAGATACCGGGGGTGCGGGTGGCCCCCACGCGTCGCCCCACGTGTCCGCCGCCCGCACCACGCGCCTCTCCGCCTCCACGCACATCGTGCGCATGCTGGCCCTGTGCGACACCATGGGCTGCCTCGGTATTTGTTGTCTCTGTGTTAAACTTTTCAAACCCTTGTGTTAAATAGGGGGGCAGGGCGGGTGTGGTATAACATTTGTTTATGGATCGTCAAAGTGGTGGGTTTTCTTTTTAAACAATGCGTGTGCACATTTATCACATCTTCTACACAAGCTGTGTTAATGTCATCAATGTTTCACTTCAAGAAGTGCCATTCCTGCAGGCGTCATTGTCCGTTCATCCGTGTGGGTGTCCTCGCCATCATTCGTCGCTGGGATGTCCACAGTGAATGCCACTTACGTGTGGCCCAGCGTCTTCTGTGCTTCCACCGCAGTGAGTTGACCAGGTTCTCACACAAAAAGGTTGAACAGAGTCACAGGGCATCTGGGAATTTTCCGGATAAGCCAATGCTGAAGTTGGCTACCTTATATACTTGATAAGCCACTGAAGCTATGCACTTTTAAATCTAGATTGACGATGCATTTCTTTAGAACTGCTTTTTGTGTTTAGTTGTCTTGCCACACACCGCCGATTAGCATGGTTGGCTACTACAGTGTTAAAGAAGTTCAACATATACACATACAGTCCAAATTAAATTGGCCAGTGTGGATTGAATTCGAGGCTTAGGTTAAGTGTGATGGTTTTTATTCAAGCGCTGCTAAGGTCAGAATTTCAATTAGACACAGTTGAGAGGCCAGTCAATTCCAGGATCGAGGAGCGTCAACTGAAATTTATGCCAGATCAAATTTATTGCAGTGAAAGCGGGCAGCAACATCTTAGGATGTGAGTATTTGCATCTGGATAAGAAACATAGTTGTGCCTTCAACAAGTTTTCATACGCATGGAAGACATTTGGCCCAATGTATCTCTCCTGTCTGAAAGGCCGCAGCCCAAACTGAGAATAGCGATTACAATGGTGCATTGAGTAATTATCAAAAATGAAATGCAATGAGGATTTTTTTTTTATTTAACGAAGTCAACGCTGAGTTTAAAACAGCTCTGCAAATAATAGCACAATCCATAATTGTCAGGAATGTAGAGGATATTATGTGTTTAAAGGTAGACAATGAAGAGTTTTATTTACAAACAAGAATACCAGTTGCATTCCGAGTGGATTGGGCGTTAAGCGAGACGAATGGAAGCAGGGTGAGTGTGCCAAGTTCAGCATACACAGCCCTGACTGTTATCAGCACTTCAGCTATTGTTTGCCTTGGGGTTTTTGTGACCACGCATTCGGGCCAAAAACTGATACATTAAACGTGGATAGTTTGTCTTCTGACAGAATTCCACAAAAGAGTAAAAACTAATTTTACTTGAATTGGGCCTCAAGTCTTTAAACATTGTGTTGTATAAGTGAACTAGCATTATGGTATTATGACTTAATTTTGCCCTAAATGGCTTCAAATTTGTACAAGAGCAGTCTTCATTTCTGGAGATATTGTTGTAAAAAATACACCTACTTATATATATTCTTAATACAGTATATATTTTTTACCAATATGTTGTGTATTTAAAAGATCTCTCGTCCTAAATGTATTCATTAATCCCTGAATATTTAATTCAGAAATATAATCTTGCAAAATATGCCGAAGTCAAAACAAGCAAAAAAAAAGTTTTTTTTCCAAATATAATTTTTATCTGAGTATTTTGCTGCTTTGAGCATTCTCTATACAGTATTTAACGTGTAGTAAAACAGGTACTCTTTTTGAAAATTCACTTACAGACGCATATGTAATACACATAAATAACTAGAATCCCAATGATTATAAATATAAATAATGTTGCATGAGAAAACTCGCGTTATAATTAAATAAGTCATTTGTCTATCATTTATGAAATTAGATTTATCACCACTGGTATATGACAGTGGAAAATGATGACAAGCAACCATTCCTGGATGTTTTGATCGAGAAGAGACCTGATGGCTCATTGGGACACTGTCATTAGAAAAGCCACCCACATCGATTCCTATCTAAAGCCTGACTCCCACCACCATCCATCCCAGAAGAATTCCCCCATCAAAACACTACACCATAGGGCCCGTTGCATCTCTGACCAGCACCACCTAGCCAGTGAGCTTGAACATGTATGCCAGGCTCTCAGGAGGAATGGATATTTTGACCGCACAATCCGCAAAGCTGCATCCCCAACCATGGGTAGAGAACCATCTGAGGACCCAATCAAAACCATCACCTTACCATACATAGCAGGGGTCACCAAAAGGATTGCCAAAATCTTAAACAAACTCAAGATCCAAGTTCGGTTCAATACAGTACACAAAATCCGTGATTTGATCCCATCGGTGAAGGATACGATTCCGGACATGCAATGTCCTGGTGTCTATAAGCTGAGTTGTGTCTGCGGCAACAGTTACATTTGGTGAAACGAAGCGACGTGTCTCAGACCGGGTTCACGAACACAAAGTGGATTTGAAACACGGCAGAACCAACTCCTCGGCGGTGGCGGATCTTTGTTTCAACGCTGTGGGCACACATGACATTGTTTTCTCCGAGACCAAGGTGCTCTACAAACCCTCGGGCCACCTTCAGAGATTTGTTCATGAAGCCATCCAGATATACAAACACAGACAAAACTTTAATCGAGAAGATGGATTCAGATTGAGAAATCATTGGACGGATGTGATAAACCACGTCAAGTTTTAACTGCTATGATTTTCACTCACCCACCCGGTTGTGGTCATCCTCACTCATCCACCCGGTTGTCGTCGTCCTCTCTCACCCACCTAGTTGTCGTCGTCCGATTACGACTTGTACTACAAGTCCATTTACTTGCTAATTTCTTTAGCCCCATCCGTCCATGCACACCACAAACCCTCCCCCCTCTCCCCTGTGAACTCCCACAGCCAAACTCCCCCCCTTCCCTCTCCCCTCCCGTGCCTATACAGTATAAAGCCCCAACAGCAGATCATTTTTTCACACCTGAAGACGGACGCTTGTGTTGCGACCGAAACGTCGTGTTTTCTATTTTTTTTTCTATCTACGTAACTTTACCGAAAGAACCAGAGAGTATGGTATATGGCAGTTTTTATAGCCCACATTCCAAAACGAATGCATTCTACGCAGTTGTTGGTTAATGACAACCATTGGCATAAATAAAACATCTGGAATATATATTCGATTCTTTTCTGCAAAACCAAAAATCTTATTAACTAATATAAATGTATGGAAGTTAATTATATTCGTTGTGTTCTTAACCAAACATCTTACAGTTTAATCTCCAGCACAGCTACTTAATTCTATGCATTATTGTTCAAATTACAACAAATGCCATTCTTTGTTCACACACTCAGCATGCTTGGCATTCCAAACTTCCCATGACCACAACATGACTTGTAACAGTAGCTGAGAAGAATGTGCCTCCCATTTTCTACAATGAGCTCCTACACCCATTTTGGAACAACGCTTTTGTGCAATTGTGTAAACCCTATGTTTGCCTACAAAAAGTAATGTGTTCCAGTCAACTAAATATTCATTAAATAATACGAATTAAATCCAGATGATGCTTGGAGAGCTGAATGGAGTTCAAAATACCTCACAAAAAACACCATGTGAAAGACCCAACGTAGGTTCCCTGGATTTTAACTTCCACGAATGCTCATGGTCCACCCCAAACCGGTTACTGTATTTGGCTTGGCCATCTGAATGCGAAATTATAGTTGTTGCTCTGCATTTACATCAGTCATACGAAAGAAGTGGAAAAAAATATATAATTAGTTATGGAAAAACGTTTGTCAAATATTCAAATGATTTTTTAAAGCTATTCAATGGAGTGGGGCAGAGAGTAATTATGCACATAGCGAGGATTAAGTTAAAACATTAAAAGAATAGTTTGGCTTCCCATGGTAGCCCAACACCTGTACTATTAGGCTACTAAAGCTGCATATGGAGCTTCTTCAGGTGAGACTTGACGAGTGTCTCAATGCAAATCCTTTTATCACTCTTTGCGGCTCCATGTTTCTCCGTATTTCCCTCCATGTCTCCCTTGTCTCTAGCTCCATGTGTCTTTATATCTGATAGTTGTATCAATTTAAATAATGCATAGGCGTTTAAACAAATGTTTGCACATAACGACTACAAACCAATCAATGTTTGTTCTTTCGGTTAGCACGGCTAGCTGCCAATCTCAACGCCACATGATTTGGGGGTTGACTCAACTGTCATCTTTTCACGATCGAAAAAAATAAGACTACTTCCTATTGAGTGACTACGTTTACATTTAAAGTTTTGTCGTGATGAAAACGTCAATTGTATTCAAATTAACATTATAAATGTTGACATTTGTTGTTTCTGTGTTAACAGATTTGGATACAGCTATTTTATTCAGCCAACTTCCTCTGGGCTTTTTGCTTTGCTGCTGATGCCTATTTGGTAGCAAAGAGAGCTGCAGGTTCCAGGTGGGTCTATTTGTTTTTTTCCAATGTGTAAAATAAAACTATGTTCGCTTGGTATATTAAATTTGCAAACTTTTTATACATAGTCATAACTTGCAACCACTGATGAAATATAGAAGAACTAAGTGCAGGCATGTATTTAATTAACTCAATGTACGTTTATGAACATTTTGCATGCATATAACTTATGGCTTCATTAGTTTTACTAATGAACTGCAGTGCTGTAAAGGAAAGAGTGCAACTTCTCACTTGGGCTCTACAAATCCCATTACATCGGTCCGTTCACTCCTGCAGCCACTTGTTAACCTCTAGGGCAAGAGTTACACTTTCACACAAACATTTTCATTCTCATTTTCTCTGCAAAGAATGTGACAGTTCAACGCACGCACAGTTAAAATAACGTCCTGCGAGGCCTATCCTCAACAAATGCAGATCGTAGAAAGCACGCAATCCAGAGCCTCCCAATATAGTTGTTGCCGAGTCATATTACTGGGCTCTCATTGGGCTTGAGATGGAATCTTGCCTGCGTATTAAAATCGATGGTAATTCCATTGGTTAATACGCCAATCTGCTCGCGTTTTAATTAAGACGACTCCAGCCAGTTTTGGCTGGAGATATTGGCTGCAACAAGAGAGTGTAGTATACAGTAATTTCAAGATTATCGTTTACGCTAATGATTCACGCATCTTTTATGCCAATACGTTTTTCTGTGCAAGAATTGCATTGCTTAATATCTCAGGGATAAGCTAGCATGTTTTATATTCAAGTGAATCTTGCACAACAATGTGTGCTTTTGTCAAGTGGTATGAAGTCAAGAAGGTAACTGATATTTTTTTATCAATTTCATGATGAATGCAAATGCAAATTTGAGCCTGCTGCAATCATACTAAGCAGCACTAAATGTTTAGCGAATGGATGTTAGTCACTTGGAGAAAACAATTTGAATTGGAAGGGACTGTGTTATTTTTATCATTGATTCAATAAAACTACAATTTATCGTAACATCATAAGTACAGGAATACACGTAGTATGAACCACACAATTGGAATGTCCAGCCCTGTGTCAATCAAATGCTGGATAAAGCCATTCCCTTGCCGTGGAGGTAGTTTGACCATACGTTGTCACGCTGGTCAATGTGGCTTTATGGAGGGTCACACAATCACTGATGTTAGCCATAGCAGGAATCGAACTGAAGTTGCTGAGTTCATAATGCAGTGCGTTAACCATTTCCACCATTATCAGTGGATTAGGTAACATCTTGTATATGGCCACTCGACATTGAATTCTAAAACCGACATGCTCATACAGTATGTCTAATAATCAAAACATGACATATTATTAACTAATAATCATTTTCGAACACTTATTTAAATACAATCACAATGTCAAGAGTTTATTTTTTTAAAATGCGTGAGGTGTTTTTCCTTACAAATTTCACAAAAAATCTTTAAAACACCATCTGGTGAGCCCTGACCTAATGAACTGGTCATTTTGTGACAATAAAAAAACGCCATCTCAACATTATTTTTAAAACAGACATTGCGTTTGACTGTTTTACACAGGGTGTTAATGTCGATTTAAAGCTACATTACTGGAATGCGGACATCTCATTGGATGCCGAAAACATTTTAATATAACGTTTTAAAATATTTACTTCAAATATTTGTACAATATTGAACAATGCAACGTGTATGTTCTTTTCTTTGTACTCATGACGTGGGCAGCACTATGACCCTGTACCATATTATTGCCTGGGGTCTCGCCTGCCTGCTGTGTGTGGAAGGGGTGCTCACTCTCTACTACCCGAGCCTCTTCATGTGAGTCCTGTGTTCTTATGCTCATCGTTAGTGCACGTCAGCACGCACACGCCAGCACTGGGATAACATAAAGACAACATGTTTTAAATAATATATTTCCCGGAGAAATCCAATGAGCTATAAAGCTCTTCTTCACAGATGTCTAGTATAAAACACCTCACATTTTTCTATGAACACTTTACATTGTGGTTGTATTTAAATGTGTTTGAAAATGTATTATTTTATGCACAGCACTGCATTTATGTTGTAATAGGCGGTTAAAAATACTCATGAGAGTGTAACAAAAAAAAGTTTAAGAATTGCATATCAGAAAATTTCCCGTGTATCCTCACAAACTGTGGGGTTAAGCGCCATACATGTGTATTCGGGTTGCCACGTTTTTCCACAGACAACCCAGACCTGCTAGTATTCTCGGCGTAGAATAAAGAAAACGGCGGAGTACACGGTCATGAAGTTGGGTGGTTGCGCGACCCCATCAGTAGGGCTGTAACAGGACAAAATGTATCCACAACAGAATTAATGTAAATTATGTGAATGCAGAAGGAAGGCAATCAGCATCAAGGGGCGACCTAATATGGACTTTTTCGATTGGGACTACATAGCAATCATCAATCATCGCCCCCTACTGGCAGAGTATAGCCCAAGGTTATCCTTGCAAATGACTGATCTCTTGAGTTGTCACCTTGCTAAACAATATAAAGTTGAGCTTTAAACTTGAGCAATACGTTATATCTCAAAACAAATCAATTCCTGTAACCTGGACACAGATGTTAAATCCTGGACAGGGGTAACCCTCGTGTACATTTTCATTATGACTAATGTAGATACCAATGCATATGTAGGAGCATACATGTAGTATGGAAGTACATTATCGACTTACAGAAGTAGAGTGCGTTATCCTTCAGCACAGGAAGCACACGTATGAGCACACACATCTTGTAATTCTCTTTTCAATTGCAGGTGCGAACAGAGCATAGAGCATGCCATACCTCACTACATCTGCACCTACATTCCAATGTTCATGGGTTTTTTTGTCAACCCTATCCTCTTCTCCCGGACAGTGACTACAGGTGAGCGAGCATTGGTTTACATTGTGTTGATGTTAAAAATGGCACGTGACGGCTAGAAACAGTGGGCCTTCAGAAATGTTTTGAGCTATGAGAATGAAAAATACTTCATCATCGGGATAACAATCATTTGTCCGTGGCAGCCCCCTCCATCTGGAAGGCCATCTTACTGCACGTTCACAGCAGCGTTCATTCTGCAATGACTTTGAAGAGACACTTACAGACCCCATATCCCTTGCCCTGCTCATGAGTGACACTGATTTTGGCTCAGCACCTCACAGTAACAGTTATATATGTCAGTTAAATATTGTACACGTTATAATTTGCATTGTTCAAACAACTCGAGGGAAGGGACAAAGAATGCAATAACTCTATCATGACACGGCGGGTAAAAGTAAAGCTTTGAGGATTTTGCAGTCGTTTCCTCCCCTGAATTATTAGAGCTGCATGTGAAGTAACTGTAGATTTGAGACTATTGGGTCGGTTACAGGGGATGGTGAAAAGAGGAACTGGGATCATAAGTCGAGTCATTTGATTTTCAACGAAAAATTGTGATTGACTTCTTTTTTATTGATCATCTGGGCCCCTTAAAAAGGTTCGCCGCCCCCCACACCTTGCCTCCCGAAGGCGGGAAACCCCCGATGAGTCATGCCCAGCGAAGATGTCACGAAGCCACGTCCATCACCTCCCATTCAGTGACACACATCGGAATAGCGGCGAAACTTTTTTCCAACCGTCTTTGTGGAATTCGACTAGTCTGGTAATCGAATCCATAGTTTGAAATAAATTAATCTCATACTGTAATTAATCAGACAGCCCAGCTATCGTGAGTAGTCCGGATAAGTCCATATATTTAAGACTTCAACAAGTGACGTGGACAATCGTGGTTTAGCTTACAATTGTATCAATTGGCTCAAAATATGGACCACACATTCGAAAGCAAGATCATCCTGAAAAGCAAGATCATGCTGAAATGTAGTCTTGAGGTTAATACTGGTAGGAACCTCCTGGTTACACCAGCCCACAGGGGATTATTGTGTCCGTCCGTCGTGCATCCAAAAATGGGAGGGGTGAGGCTGGGTGGAGAGGGGAGGGTGGGGAGGGGCTGGGTGGGGAGGGTGGGGAGGGGCTGGGTGGGGAGGGGCTGGGTGGGGAGGGTTGGACTGGGTGGGGGCTGGGTGGGGAGGGGCTGCTCACCCCGTGGTGCCCTTATGAAACTCAACGTTTAACCTACTCACGCCGGCTTGTGCCCGCCCTCACAGTCGGCCATATTTGCGGAATACACCACACCGCCGTTGACCCTGGCCATTGACGAAGCAACCCAACGTTCCTACCAGCTCCGTCCGCAGGAATGTGTTAATGTGTCACTTAATTGCTACTTTGCATTGTATTTTCCCCAGTCTCATCATTACTGAAAGGAAGACATGGCATTTACACTGAAAATGAGCGGAGGCTGGAGTGTCAACTGCGAACTCACTTCTTTAAAATAATGCTGGTCTTTTTCATCTGGTACAAAAAGCACCACACCTCCCCTTTAATATTACATGACAGGTATTTGGTACCTTATCAAATGCAATCAATGATGCTCGTGGAGCTTGTGGAATTGCATGCATGTCAGTTGTAATTTGGGACGTTCCTTCTTTTTTTCATCACCATATTCCAAGTCACCCATATCCATGATCATCGCGTTTACACACGTATCCAGTTACATTGTATGACTTTTCTCATGCGGCATTCGGCTAGTTCCACGTTGTGACCATTCTCTTATCCGTGAGTAATTGCGCAATTTAGTGAACAGCTTTTATTTAATTCTGAATTCTTCACAAGTGGGATTCACGTTCTGTGGCCCCAACGCACAATGGGGAAAGTTGCAGCTTTCCGCCAGGGCTGCACTTTGTCCGTGGAACTGCCAGCAGCCATGGAAAGGCCGCATGTTTTCCGTGGAACTTTCCGCAGCCTTCCCATTGTCTCGCCCTGAAGTGAATGGACAGAAGGGCTGTAAATTATCTACACGCACACACACACATATGATCTACACGCACACACACATACCACTCACACATCATTTATGTATGTATGTTGAACTTATTTCACACCATACGTAGCCAACTGCGCTAATCAGAGGTGCGGGGAACGACAACAAACTAAATACAAAAAGCAGTTCTATATACTACTTGAACATAAACCACTCAACACTGAACTTGCATTGCTCTTTACACCGAATGGAGCGGATGGCATCCTCCGCATTTGTCACATCCCAGTGAAGAGTCCAAGTAGCAAGGTGGGCGTTGCCTAGTAAACAGTGGGCGTTTGCCAAGTAACAGAGTGGGCGTGGCGAGCCATAGTGGGAGGGGCCTCATGCTATACAAGTGCCCGACAAGCGGGCTATGGCCAAGCGAAAGGACGAGGTGTGTCAATTTTGAAGGCAGCGTCACTGACAAAGGGGACCTTCGCTAAAATTGACGAAGGGAAATGCTGAGCACCCATACGTTTGGGTGCTTTCTGCCCTCTTTAATATATCAGTTAAAATGATGAATAGGAATTGTTGATCTGTGGATGATGGGAAAAAAAACTGTGGATCGGGCCACAAGTGTGCAGAAGAGGAGTCATGGATAATATAACTGTAGTTAATGAATTTCAGAAGCAGATAAGTAATTATATTCTGTTTAACACGTAGGCTTTCGTGACCAATATTATTTATAATAAAGTTTTTGGGTTGAGTCGCGTAATTTATAAATGTGTAATACGAGAGTTCATCGATGAGCGCCGATCAGTGGATAGGCTCCGCCCCTTGGGCCATCACCCAATTAGAGGGACGGGCCGAGGTTAGGGGCAGAGCTCAAAAGGCTAGAGGGAAGTAACCATCTCGAAGGTTCGTGAGGGGGCGTGACTGTAGGCGGGGATTGGTGAGGTGGGCCAGGGGGATATAAGGGGAAGCGGAAGAGAGCTCGGGAGCAGAGTGTGGAGTCAAGGAGCGGGACCACGTCGCTCGCCTCCGGAACACCAGCGGCCACTTGGCGGACCGGAGGCTTCCTCCCAGCGCACCGCCTGTCAGCGGCGCGCGGGAGCGGGAGAGGTTGAGAGAGAGCGAGTAACCACCAGCCGGGCGGAACTGAGTGCAGCCGTGCCAGTGAGAGAGAGAGAGAGAAAGCGGCGCTGTCCAGCTGTGGAAGAAATAATAAAGACAAAGACACACGTCCAGATCGTCGTCGCAGTGGTTTATTTCAAATGTGTCGTAGCCCTCCACTACCCGACACTGCCAAGCAGTAAAAAATGTGTCACGTTTACAAAAGACAAATAGTTCACTACTTTAGCCCACTGGTGTGTTGAAGAGTGATTTAACATAATTTACAATTTTTGAGTACGACGTTTCGCTGGTAATTAAATCCAGCATCATCGGGCAATTTTCCAGAATGGTGAAGCCCTGGTAATTACAATACACCCCCCCCCAACTCAAACGTGACACATTTTTTACTGTTTGGCAGTGTCGGGTGGTGGAGAGTTACGACACATTTATAAATAACGCGATCTAACCCAAAAACGTTTATTATGAATAATTATATTCTCAATGTTATAAAATAAATGTATTTACCAACCTGTGCATATTGACCGTGATAATGCTTATCAAAATAATTATATTTGTATTTTTTTTCAGCTGGATTCCGAACATTATAAATGAAGCACTGCTGTTTGTGCAGGAACTCTCGCTTGGTCTCGGTGAGAAGGCCAACAGAGACATAAAAAATACTGTCTTCATCACATGGTACATGATGGTATGGAACAACATTGCTCGTCCTCTACACAGTAGTGCTCTTATTATGAACCCGACACACTTTGTGGTGTGCGTTATATCAAGAGTGGATTGAGATCTTACAGCTCGTACAGTGCACACAATGAAGGGAGTGAACGCGTTAGGAAAGCTTTTGATTCATTAATCTGATTTTCGGGTATCATGAATTTAAGTTGTCAGGTTGGCTACAACATTACACACACATATAAGTCTCTGTTATTTTTAAATAAAAGAAAAAATTTGCAATTATCCGATGATGCTATTTGAATCTATAATGATGCAGAATTTGTTTTAAACCTTTGACATGAATATGATTGCGTTTAATATATTCTCCGAAATCAGAGACTCGGGTAAAATGTATCTGTACAAGAACAGTCCCTATTGATATACAAATGTCGTCTGGGCGTTCCCTTCGTCCAAATGAATTACAAATAACACTATACTTGGTACATGGCATATAAACAACAGCACTGGGTAGATAGGTGTGCTGGATGTACTTTCCACACAACCTTGTGCGCACAAGCCACTTTTGGTAGGTGCTGGATAACATTGCATGCAGTCCTTGAAATATCTGGATGATATTTTTCTTGCCACTCAAATATGGCATGTAAAAATATATTACATATATATCTTGAGTGGAGCGGTGGCACAGTGGTTCAAGTACAACCTGAGTTTGAATCCCAGCCATGGTTAACATGAGCGGTGATTTTATATCTGATCCAATCCTGGGCACCCCTCGCTCTCCCACTTACCAGTGTGGTGATGTGTGGTCAAACAATCTCCATGAACAACACGGCATGGAGAAGAGGCCTTTTTCCAGCAGTGGATTGAAAATATCACAATTATTGCGTACATTGTGATGTTACATAAGGTAGAATTTTACTGAACTGACAATTAAAGCCACCTATTCAATTTCGAATTAGTAACGTTTTCTCCAAAATAAAGATTTTTTGGGTTAGATCGTGTAAATGTAAATGTGTCGTTATAATTGCCACCACCCGACCGAGCCAATTAGTAAGGTGTGTCACTTCAACAAAACGTGCCAATTAGTTCCTACTTCAGCACACCGGTGTGTCGGAGTGTAAACCAACACAACATTTAAGATTCGAATACCGTGACGTTTTGCCAGTAGCGTTTTCTCACAGTCACAACGGATCTAAACAAATGTAAATGTACAGAATATGCAACAAGTTACTTACATACAAAAAAACGCTGTCTCCAGGGCATCCTAAACCCTTTGCAAGGCTTCCTCAACTCGCTGGCGTACCAGGGCTGGAAGGGCTGTGGGTTCCGCGGGCCGCGGGCCGCCTCGCGCACCCCGTCATGGGGCTCGGTGACGGGTGACACGGGCGCCGATGACAATTGGATCGGCAGCCCCGCATCCTCGCCCAACGGCTACGGGCAGATGAGCCGGGAGTCGAGCGGCGAGGACGGCATCGGCAAGGAGGAGACGCCGAGCGGCTCCCAAACGTTAGACACCCTGGGCAGCCTCAGCTGCAAAGGTAACCCCTCCGTGCAGGCGCAGAAGGGCCCCGTGTACAATGGGCTTTAACCTGCTCCGCTTACCTTGCCCGTGGCTCAGATGATAATTCTGCAGTATTAAGCTTACACAACCACTACTTTTCCCACACTCATATCTGGTTTAAGTTCTCTTATTCTTAACCCGCGGATTTTACAGGTCTGACGACGATCACAAGTGCAATCACAAGTACATTTATATTATCAGTTACTTGAGACATTTCCCTTTCCCACTCCTTACAATAACAGCCCATCAAGCTGTGAAAGCTATAAACTGTATTTTTATTATTTTGTTATGTTTTCGCAACATGAACGTTGTGGATATATACCTAATAATATCATTATTATTCATAATGATCAGAATAATAAATACATAGAAAATTAGAGTAGCATGTCGCAGTGTTACCTCAGTATTGAATTTGGACAATTGTGAGGAATATCATTATTGATTTTACCCTGGTATGATGTTGCCCTTAAGCTCTATCTTAGCCAATTTAATAAAAATAGATTACATGTTTAATATTTGATTGAATTTAGTCTAAATTGAAATGTCATATTTTATAACAGATATGTTATTTCATTTGTAACTTATACAATTTGAATATGAAAATCATTGTAAGATTGTTCTGTAATTTTCAACTTTGATTTTTTCTAAACATTACAAACTAACAAATGTGATATTGGTTGATTTATTTTAGCTTAATGGGGAAAATTCTGCCATTGATTCAGAAGATGTCAATGTCATTGGAGAGATATAAAAATATTCATGGCTATGAGGATGAAAACTCCTCTTGTCCAAGATTTTCCTTTTCCATTAACAATGTCCTCAAGTCTCACTGTGGATGGTAACAACATTACAAGATAATGCTAGTCGGACATTCCACAACTTTCCATTTTTAAAATATAACTTTTGTGAAATGTATACCATGCCTATGCATTTTCTATAAGCTGTCTGCTTTAGGAAGATTTCAAGCAAGTTGCGTGCCATCAGCCTGTCAAATGTTGGTGTGCCACGGTGGCTAGATGTTCACTACCTCGCCTGGTATGCAGGAGTGCGTGGGTTTGATCCCGAACTTGATGCCTGTATATCTGGAGTTTGCATGCTCTCGCCTTGGTCACGTGGATTTTTCTCCGGGTCCTCCGGTTTTTCCCCTCCACATTTAAAAACAACATGCATTTAGAGTATTTGGCAGCAATCAAATTCCAACATAAGCCACTTCGTTGAGCTATCATAGGTGGCCTGGTCACTTCTGGTAAAATAAAATAAAATTGCTGAAGAGTATTGACATTTTTACATCTCATTGTTTAAGGAGAATGTTGCCACACTCTGCACCTGCTTGTTCAGTATGTTCCTGTTTGTAACAGGAGAGCTCTTTTATGTCCCCAGGCTCGGAGGACAGCCTCATAGAGCTGGATGCCGAAACTGTGCACTTCGAGGGCACTGCAGACCCGCAAGATGGTTACGACAATGGTGTCTCGGAGGCCAGCGGGACACCTACATGGGGAGCATCCATTTCTAGCTCGCATTAAAACGTTGAGGGGTGCGGGAGGAGGGTGCATTCGTTTTGTCACAATAGTATGCGAATAACGAATTGGTGCCTATGTGTTCACTTTGTTTCCTTTTAATGTTGGAATGCCAGTGAATAATAACTAGTATAAGTTTCTATTATTTTTCATCAGCTTGGTGTCGGTGAAGCACGCCTGTAATGTAACCCAGCACTGTGAAGGTGAGGGTTGGTCGATCGCACAAATGTTGTGAAACTCACTTCCCGTAGGTGTGGAGGTGCCATACTCTGGCTCGCTAGGGGACGGTATTACAGCAAGTGGACTAATCACCATCTATGAAAGATAAGAATATATTTTACCATTTCTGGAAATAAAACAGGTGTTAAGATGTTCTCACACCAAATAGATACATTTTTCAAGGAATAAAGTCTGTATTAACCACATACTTGTGGTGAACATGCAAACAAACATGTCTTTGAAACTGATTGGCCTACACGAGAGACAGCCTTCTTTATGGCCTAGTCTCACCAGTGTCAGACCAGAGAACGCCAAAAGTGCGAACAGTACAAGGACAATGCACGTATCAGAGCATTTATAGCTCGGGTTGAGCAATTCTATCTATGGGGCCTTTTATGAATGTTTGTGCACTGGGAGGAATCCAGAGCAGTTTCAAAGACAATGCATATAATTATCAGAGGGTGTTTGTTTGCATGTTGACCACAAGTACGTGTGGTTAATGCAGTACTTGATTACTTTCAAAAGGTATCTTTTTGGTGTTTGCACATCTTAACACCTGTTTTATTGCCAGAAAGGGTAAAACCTATTCTTATTTTTCATACTTTGACACTGGAAAAAAAAGTTCCATGATAATCACTATCTGTTTCCCACTGTCCAGGGATAGAGCGTCCCCCCCCCTCATGTTGCTTGGGGTGCTCTAGATTCGTCCCACGTGAACACACATTAATACATGAGATGGAAACATCGTAAAATAAAAACAATGCAGAATCCTCCTCAAAAAGAGTCCTACGACTCAACGTGGCTCTCCTGGATAAATTCTAAATAAAAATCAGCACCTCCGATTAGCACGGTAGGCTATGTACAGTGCATACTTAAGGGATGCTATCAATTGCTCTGGCACACTACATTTTTTTAGTAAAAATCAGGTGGTGGGTTCTCACAATAGAGGCCATGTAGGCTGTCTCCAGTAACTTTATATCTTACGGGGGGGGGGGCGAGGTGGTCTCACACATTTAAGTTTTTGTTGGACTAACTTGTCAAAACATGAAACATTACGTGTGTCTTTTTATGCAGTGTTGATACAACATGCATGTATTTTTATGCAGTACAAATATAGTTCCTATTTAGATTTTATTATATTACGATATACAATTCTATGAGGAATTTATTTTTAAACGTACCATTTCGAAATACAGAATTTCCCTTATCTGTGATCCTATTATCCACGACAGCGGCAGGGTGCGCAAAATATGTGAGGACTCTTCCTATAATTCACGATTATTCACCAATTTTTCATGGATAAGAGAATACCGTGCAGCATATTACATCCGTTGGTTATCCTCAACATTTTTCTGCTGTCCTTTCATGCACCTCCGATTAGCACGGCTGGCTATGTACAGTGTGAAAGAATCTACATTATTAGACCTCCTTTGCCAGTACCAAAATATAATAATAGGGTTTTTCCCCTTTTCTGGCAACAAAACTGAAACCTTTTTACAAGGATTCATGTCTGCATTAACCACAATACTTGCAGTCAAAATGCAAACAAAAACACACTGATATTGGTGTGGACCAATCAGTTTCAAGGACAATGCATATATTATCATAGTGTGTTTTTGTTTGAATTTTTACTGCAAGTATTGTGGTTAATGCAGACGTGAATCCTTGTAAAAAGGTTTCAGTTTTGTTGCCAGAAAAAAGGAGAAAATCCCTATTATTATTAGTGTGAAAGAAGTTCAACATACGCACTGTGAAAAAGCTGCCCGTGCACTTGCTTTGATCACGAGAAAGCAGACACATACACGGAGATGGACAAGGAGATACAGGAACTCCTCTACTTACGAACATTTGATTTATTAACTTGCAGAGATACGAACAAACCTGTTCGTATGTCTAGTTGTCTGTTCGGACCGAGAGTGGCAAGTTCAACCGCTACGCAATAGATGGCAGTGAAGAACCAGTGGCATCTACATCTACAGTAGTATATTCAACTTTTAAAGCCATCCCCCGTGTTTAGTGCACATGTCATACATCACATTTGGAATCGACAGGAGTAAAGTTGGATTTAAGAACAAATCGACTTACGAACATACCTCTGGAACCTAACTCGTACGTAAGTAGAGGAGTCCTTGTACACTCAAAACGTGTTTAAACTTGTGTGCAAATACGTTGTGCTTCAAAGAGCCCCCTGCTATGCTTTAGAGTCGCAAGGCAAAATCGCGATATTGGTCGCCCCCCCCCCCCCGCCATATCACCGCGAATAAGAGTTCTACGGCGTACACGATCTGTATTTTTATATTTTAGTAAATCGGGAACACACTTCGTGTTCAAACATGCAAAACGCGGATTTATCATAAACAACATTCGTACACAAGCTATTAGATAAACAGTTGCAAGTTTAAACTGTGCAAAGGAATAAGCAAATGAAAATATCCGGATGTTTGAATTGTTTTGTTAGAATTGCAGGCATGTATTTTTTTGTAGTGTTACTTTTGGAACCCATGCTTTTTTCTTTTTCTCCAGCTATCGTCCTTAGTCATTCATGTTCTCTGTTGACAGCTCAGTAAAAACTGTGCTTTAAAATGCAACTGTTTGTGTTTGCTACCTCCATTCAGTCTTTACAACAATAATATAAGCATGTTTGTGACGATAAAAGCTGAACTTCACATAACGTGTTTGTTCACTCGTTTTTATTTTAGGTACCTTTTATGTTTATGAGCATCTGAATAAGCTATGTAGTTAATTAAGGCCATACAATTTTTCTTCATTTCCTCGTGCTACTCACCTGGCACGACCTGCTCACCTGCCACCATCCAGTCATCTGGCACCGCCCGCTGTGTTCTTGAACGCTGCACCTGGGAACCCGAGGCTCGCCGGGCGCCACCGCGCGGCCGGGGAGCTGCGCGGCTTCTACCGCCACCTCGCGGCAGCCAGGGGCTGCAGCAGTCAAAACAAAGACAACTAAAAAACCCTGTATCGCCTCAACATACGCTTGGGGCAAGTGGGGCAATTGTTAGCGAGCACCTATGAAGGCCGGCACGGCACATGAGGGGTTAGGTGGCCAACACCACGCTCGGCCGCCTTTGCCCCCCCAGCCACGATGTTTACTACACATCACGCCAGGTACAGTACTCATTTGAGGCCGAGTAGACCTAGGGGACCTAGCCACTGCACCACCGCTCCCACGCGCAGCAGCAGCAGAATTAGCAACTTCAACTACGCGACTACACCGATCAAAACAATTACAACTTCGGTCACGACGACAACAGTACGCTAAGACACGATTTAAACAACTACACTATTCACTAAAACTGCACTAATCACAGCATGGACAACTTCAACAACTACAAAACAGCCACTGCAACTCGCCACGATAACTACGAACTTCTACAACTACTACACAGGCTTACGACTACACCGGAATTCCACTGCGAACGATCAGTGTAGCTAGTTGCTGACTATCGGAACGGGTGATCGATTGCAAAACCGCTGTTGTATGTATGTATGCGTGTTGAACTTCTTTCGCACCGCACGTAGCCAACCGTGCTCATTGGAGTAGAGGTGTTGTCACAAATTCACCGCGACATGCAGTCGATTGACGGAGGTCTGTGAAAACAATATAAATTGTTTTAATACTGTTAAAAACACGAATAATGTTCGTTTGGAAACCACGTAAATCATTAAGGAATGGATACAATGAGCCACGAAGCTTCTCTTTGAAAGAGCACGAGGTGGCCGGGCGGGAGCTTCATCCGTCAAAATCATTTCCGATAAGCACGGTGGCACTGCCACCTTGCGTGGTTCATCGTGCGCAGGATGCCTCTGTGTGATTCTGCCCAGGAGGCCAAGAGCTACCCAGCAGATGAAACAAAGTATGTAATCTACGTGTGTTGAACTTCTTTCGCAAACGTACGTAGCCAACCGTGCTAATCGGAGGTGCTGGTGGGGGTGGGGGGTAGACAAACTAAACGCGCACAAAGTGAAGGGGGGATGCCAAGCACGGCGTGTGTTTTCCAGTGATGTCACGGGGGGCTATGTTTAGGCTGTTTCGGGGGGGTCGGTATGCGGTTAAGGGGACAGCTGCTCTGGCCCTGAAATAGCCCGGCTTTGCCAAGGCAGCGGGAACCCCAACGATCATTCCAATCGGCTCGACTCCTTCATATGCACAACATCCACCGCTCACATGCGAAGCACACACGAACAGAGAGGATTTAGATGGCCCGTGACAAGTTTTAAACATTCATGTGAGTACTGCACCAATTCTCTGTTAAAATCCTCTCGCCAGGACCAGCATGCACTTGCAGTTTGATTATTGAATTGTCTTTAGACCAAAGTGGTGTGTTAAATATTTTAATGCCGGCAGAGTGGTGTCTTCTGTGCTTCCAGAGAACTGGTGCATACGCCTGTAACTTTAGTTTTACAACTACCGTATGTTTTCCATAATATAGTTTTATTTATTTATTACACGCTTTTATTTAACTCACTCTGTTGTATCCTCAACTCTGTCTGTTGTCGTATCCTCAAATATTGTAACTCAATTTTAACCCACTTCTCAATGTGGTATCGACTGCAAACTTGGTATACGTATGTCATACTGATGACAATACTATATTCTATCATTAAAAATAAAATATATATTTTTAAACAATCGTTTGTATATGTTATGTTTCGGCTTGGGTCTAATTGTCCACGCTCAACTCACGTTGCCTGTAAATCATCACGGCCCCTTACGTTATGGCAAACTTCGGGGCCACTTCTTGGAGTCGTGGAGTTTTGCCATGACTCGTACGGTACATTTAATTAAAGAGTGTTTAAAAAAAAGTATTTTTAATGTTACTTATTTTGGGTTAGATCGCTTAAACATATAAATGTGTCGTTAAAACCCGCCACCACCCGACACAGCCAACTAGTAAGGATTGTCACGTAAACAGAACGTGTCAATTCGTCACTAGTACAGCACACCGGTGTGTTTGAGAGCCAAGCCACAACATTTACAAACTGAGTACGACGTTTCACCAGTAATTACAACTAGCTTCATCAGGCGACAGCCAGATTTGTGGAGAAGTCCACCTGTTTAGTTCCTTATGTAAAGGCGTAGATGTGGTGAATGTAAGTGCTGTTTAACGTGTTTTTTTGCATATTGACAAATTAAGAATGTCTAATTGACACATTACTTTAAAAGTACAACCTTGGGGTTTAAATTCATGTGAATATCAGTCACGATTTATTTACTATGTAATTTACTATTCAAACAACGCCCTCATGGAGTCATGGGCTAATTAAAGAGGTGGACAAAAGCAGGGGTGAATTTGATCATTTAAAGTAAGAGAGCAATCTGCTTACATACTGTAACCGCTGTCGACTACCTGCTGTGACACATGGTTAATAAGCACCGTTGTAAAAAATATAACCGAGTCACCTAATTAATTTTTTCTTTAACACATTTGTCGTTAATAAAACATGGAATGCTAAACACCTCGGGTAGTTGTTTTTCATGTCCGCATGCAATGCGTGCTCATAATTTAACCCGTAAAATGTCAAACCTCTCATAGGATGTGAACGTGTTAGTATATGCCCCGATGGTGAAGTGATGGATGACCAAGAAAAGCAAGGGGACTCTGTAAAACGACGTCACCTGGTGTCGTCACTGGGCCTCTTCTTCACCTGCCTCACATGCGTGTTGCTACTGCTCTTCGCAGCCACAGGCAAGTGTTGTGTTCATTATTACTGTCATTATTATGTTATGCAGCCAGGGTTGCCACCTGTCTGGATTTCACCTGGACAGTTCGGGAGTTGGCAAGATGTTTGGGTGGCTGGAATTGATTTGTACGAAGAACTACTTCCCGGTATTGTGCTAAACTGTTTTAACAGTAAACTGCACGGTATTGGTTAAGCCGAGGCTGACTAAGAAATGTGCCTGAGTTTGGTCTACAGTGAAAAAAATGGTGACCCTACAGAGTGCAGTCATAATTTATTTGTGTCCTGGGGAAAGCTTCAATGTGTTCCAAGTCCCCTTTTCATCCAAATGCTGGTACAGGATCAGATCCTAATTGGGTGGACCTAGAGAAAAACTCGCATGTACAAGAAAACTCAAACTACTCGCACTGGGTTTCAATTAAGAGATATGATAAATGTCAACATTGAAATGACAAAAATGTTTTTTTTTTTTTACTAGAGTTACTAGCTTATAATTTTAGAAGCACAGCATAAAAGCGATAAGGGAACACCCCATATGTTGGAATAGCGACATTTGCATGTTTTGTCTTCAAGGTAGCAGTAAATGTACGCTGATGATGGCTTCGGGTCAGAGTCAGAGAGTGTCAGCGGAGAAGACAAATTCCCATCACTCATATTATTAGAGTCACGATCTAAAATGTATATATATACAAACAAAAATATTTCTCCCAACTTGTGTTTGTGTATTTATAAGGTATTCCAGTCAGCCTCAGCTTGCGAGCAGAAGACTGGAGCAATTTATATATATATAAAAAACGTAGTGCTTGTGATATGCTCTGATTACACGTTAAATGACAATTAGGAAGGGAAACAGTGGTGGATTGATATGCCATGAATGTTGTGTAACGTGTCAATTATAGCATTGCTCTTTGGCTAATTAACGCACTTGACCTTGTTACACTTGTCAATACTGCAGGAGCTTTGCCCCCATCACTTTCTTGGGAAAACATGTTTGTTGACAGAAAGGGGCTGTGGAAATGCATACACGAGTACATATGTTTCACTCATGTCTTGTGTAAAATATATTTTGCTGACCAGCACCCCTTTGCCCACTGGTGATTAGTATGGAAAAGGGATCTATACAGGTCACGTGTCTTTTAATAGACCCATGTCAAAATTAATTTGGGATTCAGAGGTATACATTTTTCTGTAATTAAGCTTAATTTTGGCTAAATAAACTCCTGGGATCTGGCTGTTGTGAATTAGTGATTGTAATGGAGGCATTAGGTGTGCTATGCAATGTAGCTACAACTACGTGAAACAACAGATTGTCCAAGTGTGTAGCAAAAATTCGAACCAGATTATCAGTTATATAACAGCGCATTGGCTAAAACAGTGTTTAAAAATCGAATTTGCATAACTCGTATTTCTCCACCCAGGTCTGCTGGATGAAGATTTTCTTAAATATGGCTTCAGTATCACAAGCGCAAACGGTGATACGGAGCAAGGACAGGACTCTTGGATCGCCCCTCCACTTAACGGTGGTTTGGAAACTCAGGACAATGAGTCGGCTGGGAGTGGTGAGGGAGAGTCAGGACTGGAAGATGGCAGAGCAGACGATGGTGTTGATTTTCATTCTGGAGACGGTCTCAATCTTCCCATTGTCCCTAACAGGACCTCCGACACATTTTTAATGTCGATAGAAACTGCAATGGCAACATTACATTCCACAGTAGATTCAGAACTCTCGTTAGCTCAAAACACCGATGTAGATGGTTCAGGTTCTTCGCAGGAAACTTATTCTGGAGAAATGAGCGATGTTTTATTCGAAGGTTCAAATGAAATTCATGTTCCATACAGCGATGAACTCTTTGGATATAGTGGGAAAATAGATCTTAGTAACTACGTTTTAAGTGAGACACAATTCGGTGAAGACGACTCTTATCATATGCGCCAAAATTTTGGAGACGCTCACGATGAGACTGAAGACATTCCTGATGGTGAGACCCAAGAAATAAGAGACGTTGACAGCATAACGAGACAAAACGTGGCGGTGCCTTTTGTGCCTGACTTTATGAATCTTAAAAAATCTCATGTCGTGGAAACTGAAAAACCAAGTCACGTAAACGATGTGTCAGGTCTTAATGAAATATTTGACAGCTCAACATCAATGCCTGTCAAGCATTCCCCACCTTTGCTGGATGCTCGGAACCGAGAGAGCACCCCTGCCATGAACCCTTGGCCCCAGACTTTAGAGGCTTTCGATGAAGACGTGAATCATGTGAGGCCAAGTGTGGCCCCAACATCGACAAATGCATGGACCACCGCATTTCCTTCTATTCCAGAGATAATTGCATCACTGGTAACGAAAAAGCCCTTTTTCATAAAGAGTCATCAAGGTGAATGTTATTATCACGGTGTATTTGTTTTAGTACAATTTTACAAACCACATTCTGTAATACAAAAATTGTGAATGCTACGTAACAAATACACAAAGCATCGTTGAATTTAAATCACATTACCCCAGCGAAGTAAAAAAAAATTGCACAGCTGCCTGATTTAGCCCCCAATCTTAAGAAGCCAGGGTGGAGACTTTCAATGTTGCACCTTGCCCACCCTCAATCCATTCGGTTAGTGCTTTTATGGCACTGTGTCACGAGGTGATGAATTCAGAAATGTCACAGGGCCGTGCACCCCGATGTGTTTGGGAATGGCTGTCGAAGACATTTCTTTTTTTGCAGCACTTCTCCCTGAAATGTCTTATCGCTTTACAAAAATCGGGATTACACTTTCCAATACACTCTGCGGTGAGCGTGTTGCACGACAGTCAAACCTGTGTTTAAAAAATCTTTCTCAGAGATGGAAATTCGGAAAATTAAGTAAAAAATTTATTTATATTAAAAATAAATTGTTTGTGCAGTCATTTTTGTGACCGGGCTTAAACCATAGACACAAAGAACCCGGTTTAAACACGTTCCATAAGTGATGCTGGCTCTGTGATCTGAGCCACCTGGTTCACTTTTAGATGTGTTATCTGAAAAGAAACATGGTACTTGATTGTATATCAGCTTAAACATCTGCAGACTTGTTAACAAAATTTCTGTTTTTGAGGATTCAAGTAATCCTCTAATGTTGCATCACAAAAATTATATGCTAATTTGGCATTATTGTGTAATGCAGAACAATTAAAATACTGTATATTTAAAATCTAAGCAGTATTTTTTTCAATGTTAATTTGAACACATTGAGATAATGTATCAGATATGTCTCTTGCAAATGCACAACCGAAAAAGAGTGCGATGCACTATTTAAAATTCACCCACCCTCCCAACCCTGTACATCCAGTTGTGTGCACTCCGATCACCTCAAGCGAGTGTGGGATGCTTCCCTACGCGGAAACCATCATGGCTGCCCTGCCTCCCGTCGACCTCAGGCTCCTCATCACCTTCTTCCAGGATCTGCAGCAGCTTGGATGCTACCGCCATATGCTGTCTTTCGGCTGCGCAGTGGTGCATCCACAGTGTTTGCCTCAAAGGTAGAGTTCGCATTGCAAAGCACGTCCACAAAGCCGCTGAGACTGGTCAGCACCCCCCCCCCCCCAATCAATAAACCACGTTTTAAAGGGTAATGGGTTGATTATCTTATTAAGTTTGATTTTCCACTTACGTGGGCTTAATCCAGTTGTAAAGACTAAAACGTTAAATCTAATTGCCACGAGATAAACACTCTTTATAGCATACTGACCAATCACATGCCGAGCCCCTTTGATGCACTCACAAAGACAAAGATCCCCGTATAGTCTGTGACAGACTGTTGGGGCAAGTGCTGGCACGGCATACGAGTTGGGTTGGGGTGGGCAATACGACACTCGGCCGCCTTTGATGCTTACACACCACATCAGGTACTCATTTGAGGCTGATTCGACCTAGGGGAGCCCATGACTGGTTCAAATATTCGTCACTGTTGTTGGCCGTGAGCTGGAATCGAACTCGGGTGGCACACGAACAAACATGCAATGTGCTTCAGTGCATCTGCACCCTGCGGAACTGTTCTGCATCTGCAGAGCTCTTTTGTGAAGTGCTCAGCCCAAGTTCCAGCATGTCGTGGTGGTTAAGAGAGTGAAAGAAGTGGAGTGCAGGAGTGATTATTATATACAGTGAGGGAAAAAGTATTTGATCCCCTGCTGATTTTGTACGTTTGCCCACTGACAAAAAATTATCAGTCTATAATTTTAATGGTACGTTTATTTGAACAGTGAGAGACAGAATAACAACAAAATCCAGAAAAACGCATGTCAAAAATGTTATAAATTGATTTGCATTTTATGAGGGAAATAAGTATTTGACCCCCTCTCAATCAGAAATATTTCTGGCTCTCATGTGTCTTTTATACAGATGTAGTGATTGTGGTATCATTACTGTGTGCACACGTATGACGTTAATGTGCCGGGAGCGTTACTACCATGTGGGTCTACACACACACATGACGTCATCTTGGCTGGAGGCGGGAATGACGTCAGGGCCGTTGCTAGGGGGACCTCGGGGGGCACGTGGACAGCAGGGGGGCTTCGAGAGGGTGCTCGAGGGGAGGCGTGGCCGGGGTGGGGCCCGGGTACGCCGAGGCCCATATAAGCAGCCGCCTCAGGAGGTTCGGGCTGTTCCTGTGAAGAAAGAAGACGCCTCGTGAAGATGCCAAGAAGAGAAGGCCTACAGTGAGCGGACTGCCAGCAGCCACCTGGCTGGGTCACGCTGGAGTAGCTAAGAGACAAGTGTGTGTTAGCTAGGGTAGGTCGGTGGTCACCACCCTATGTGTAGAGTAAGAGTAACTGTTGAGTAACCGTTGTGTTTATTAATGAGTGTTGCCTCCCAAGAAGTGTGTGCGCCTAAATTTAACCCATTACACAGGTAACGAGCTGAGATTATGAGCACACTCTTAAAGGGAGTGCTCCTAATCTCAGATGGTTACCTGTATTAAAGACACCTGTTCAGAGAAGCAATCAATCATATTCCAAACTCTCCACCATGGCCAAGACCAAAGAGCTCTCCAAGGATGGCAGGGACAATATTGTAGACCTGCACAAGGCTGGAATGGGCTACAAGACCATCGCCAAGCAGCTTGGTGAAAAGGTGACAACAGTTGGTGCGATTATTCGCAAATGAAAGAAATAATAAAAGAACTGTCAATCTCCCTCAGCCTGGGGCTCCATGCAAGATCTCACCTCGTGGAGTTGCAATGATGAGAACAGTGAGGAATCAGCCCAGAACTACATGGGAGGATCTTGTCAATGATCTCAAGGCAGCTGGGACCATAGTCACCAAGAAAACAGTTGGTAACACACTACACCGAGGACTGAAATCCTGCAGCGCCCGCAAGGTCCCCCTGCTCAATAAAGCACATATACATGCCCGTCTGAAGTTTGCCAATGAACATCTGAATGATTCAGAGGACAACTGGGTGAAAGTGTTGTGGTCAGATGAGACCAAAATGGAGCTCTTTGGCATCAACTCAACTCGCTGTGTTTGGAGGAGGAGGAATGCTGCCTATGACCCCAAGAACACCATCCCCACCGTCAAACATTGAGGTGGAAACATTATCATTTGGGGGTGTTTTTCTGCTTAGGGGACAGGACAACTTCACCGCATCAAAGGAACGATGGACAGGGCCATGTACCGTCAAATCTCAGCCAGGGCATTTAAAATGGGTCGTGGATGGGTATTCCAGCATGGCAATGACCCAAAACACACGGCCAAGGCAACAAAGGAGTGGCTCAAGAAGAAGCACATTAAGGTCCTGGAGTGGCCTAGCCAGTCTCCAGACCTTAATCCCATAGAAAATCTGTGGAGGGAGCTGAAGGTTCGAGTTGCCAAACGTCAGCCTCGAAACCTTAATGACTTGGAGAAGATCTGCAAAGAGGAGTGGGACAAAATCCCTCCTGAGATGTGTGCAAACCTGGTGGCCAACTACAAGAAACGTCTGACCTCTGTGATTGCCAACAAGGGTTTTGCCACCAAGTACTAAGTAATGTTTTGCAGAGGGGTCAAATACTTATTTCCCTCATTAAAATGCAAATCAATTTATAACATTTTTGACATGCGTTTTTCTGGATTTTGTTGTTATTCTGTCTCTCACTGTTCAAATAAACCTACCATTAAAATTATAGACTGATCATTTCTTTGTTAGTGGGCAAACGTACAAAATCAGCAGGGGATCAAATACTTTTTTCCCTCACTGTATATACACACAAGTGTACGGTAGCACATGTCATAAGGTCAAGGCATTGTCGAGCCAATGCTGTTGATACCATTGCACAAAACCACGTATTCCTTGCTTCTCTAACTATTGTAACCAACCTCCCAGGTCTGATCTTACAGTATTTTTGGCTTCATGCATTCTCCATCCTGCACGTTGCTCATCTATTGAAACTTACTCTGCCCATATTTGTCTGCAAATTTGTTTTGGCCCATTTCCTTCCAAACCTCGGAGCTGCATTCTGTATATGGTTATACAGTCCAGCGTAAAGGTGTGTCACTGATTTTCAGATTAATCCCCAAAAAATGCAGAAATTCAGGTGTAGATAGAAAATTTTAATTGATCAAAACACGTTTTGTTTTGGACTGATCCATGATGTCACATCCATGCTTTTCACGCCAAAAGTGGTGAAGGCAATCTGCCACAAACATGGCCATCTTTCCTGCAACAAGAGGGTGGGATGTTGACCAAAATTGCGATTTGAATGATGGCAAAAAGTTGTTTTTAAAAGGCATGTCCACATATATTCGGTCTGCGTTTGGGCATAGTCGGCGTGAGATGTCCTCCAACTCTCAACAGACACGGACATGAGAAGTCTCAGTGTGAAGAACTGCAATCAGCCTTGTGTGCTGCAGTGGCATGCATAGGGACTGGCTGATACATTTCATGAGCATACGCGGGGAAGGGGCTTGTTGTGGGAATTGCTTAATTTAGTTGCACGCTTTTGGATTGGGCTGAAGGATACCGCTGGTCATGGCTTTCCCTGGGTACATGGGGTGCCAACAGTCATTTCTCCATGGACAAAGCCTTGCTTGTCATTATTTATAGAATATTGTACTACGGTTAACCTTGGTTGAATTGAAATATAAATGTATAAAGCCAAGGACTGCGATGAATTAAAAGTTATTGGGATAAATGTACAACTTTGTAGATGCAGGTTGTAACATTTGTATTGCGAGTTATTTGAACTGAGACTTAAAAAATCGGCGATAGTAAATCTTAAACCATGCTTGTTTTACCATTTATCGCTATGGTGCCAAGCAGAGTTTGAAATGTGAATCATAAGGGGAGCACATTGAATTAATTTCATATACAGTCTTCATGAACAAAATTATTGTTTGCAGTCCTAGATAAATATTAATAATCTTGATTAGAAGCTTTCGTGACAGCAGGATTTCATACTCTTAGGTTATTTCGGTAAAGTCACGTAGATAGAAAAATAAATAAATATTATTTAACGACGTTTCGATCGCAACAAGCGATCGTCCTTAATTTGAAGACTTTACCGAAAGAACCTAAGAGTATGAAATCCTACAGTCACGTAAGCTTCTAATCAAGATTGAACCGCCTCTATGGTGAGGTTTTCCACACAACTCGGACATAATTTCAACCGAGAAGATGGATGCAAAATTTATCAATATTTGGAAGGACGTCATCAACCAGGTAAAGTGTTAACAGTTGTGTTAGTCGACTCTCTGAGTTGTATTACATTTCTAAATTTTGTAAAGTTTGAAATGTGTCACAAGCTTCCTTGTGACACATTTCTTTTATCTATTTCACCCAAGCCCTCTTTGAATTTTATCCCCACCTTCTCGCCCCTTTGCGGCCTCCCCTCCCCCCTCCCCCCTCTATATAATGCCTTGTTACAAAGGCATGTTTCTCTCTTTCACCTGAGGACGATCGCTTGTTGTTGTGATAGAAACGTCGTGACATATTATTTATTTATTTTCCTATCTACGTGACTCTACCGAAAGAACCTAAAAGTATAAATATTAGTAATGTTTTGTTTTAGTATCAAGGAAAACGGCACTAAAAGTTGCAACTTTTACAGCGGCCAAAATAGTGCAATTCAGGGAGGGAGAAAATAGAAGTCAATGTCAGAAGATAATGCTTAACAGCAACTGTCATAAATTGAATGGCGATAAAACTGACTAAGTGTGATATGTTTAATAGCTAAATGCAACATGTAACATTGTAACTCAATGGATTCAAATTTGATGCCCTAAAAGTGACATGTTTGAAGGTGAACGTATTAAAATGTGTACGTGATTTAAATGTTGGCTAACACACCTATATATACAAAAATAATATGGCACGGAATGGGTAAAACAGTACTTATGCTTTATATACACATATGTTTAACTGTTATCGAAATACATGAATAACAACACAGAGGAATACCATATTCGTTTTTTTTTCAAAACAATTATAATCAACAGTTTTTTTTTATCAATCACTCCTAAGATTTTCCCTGCACTTTGTGTAAGATTTACATTTTATCATTTTACTCATTACAAAATTATCACCAATTCTGTTGCGTTTTCTTCCACGGCTGGCTGAGGGCTTGCCAACTGAGATGGGCGTCGTTGCAATGCACGTTTTTACCCCCTCCACATTTAGAATCAGCATCACGCGTTTAGAGCATTTGGCTGCTATACATTTCCACCCGATAAGCCACTTAGTGGAACTATCACGTGTGGCCAGGTCGCTTCTGAAAAAGAGCTAGATATCGTTCAGTGGGCCTTACCTGGTAAAATAAAATAAAAGTTTAAAAAGTGTAAAGAGCTGGGAGACACTTTGACTCGGCCTTGCTTTGTGCTGCTCTCCACCCGCGCCCCCCAAGCCTGCCGGTTCTGCCCTGCATGTCCTACTGTGACGCTGCCCGCTCCAGCTGCGAGAGGGCCTTCACTCAAGTTGGGCTCGGGTGGCCAGAGTTCCTCAGCTGCTCCCACTTTCACAATGACAGCTCCGTTGCCGGCGCAGCTGATGAGCACAACGCCTGCTTGGCTGCCCCTCAAGAAGTCAGCGAGGAAGGTATACGGGCATCGTTGTTGATGCTGTGTCCACACAGAAACTCGTTTGCCTGGACTTTGCTCATGCTTTATTTTTTAAAGAAACTATTTTGTTAGTTGATAGGTCCAGAAATTATCGTGTTAAAATGAAAGTTAATTTAGAGATTAAATTAGTCACATGCGCATCCATTGCTCCTCAACTCGCGCTGGCCAGCAAAGTGAAGTATGTATGTTGAACTTCTTTCGCACAGTCAGCAACTAACTCTGCTAATCTGAGGTGCGGGGAAGGACTACAAACTTAAACAAAAAATCAGTAAAAAAATGTGTTTTCAATGTATATTTTAAAGTGCATAGCTGCAGTGGCTTCCTAATAAGTATGGCCAAGAAAGAAGCATGGCCAATTAGCCACCATGACTTACACGGCATGGGCAGGCCCTCATCCACCAGTGAATTGACAAAGGTCTGTAAATTATCAATCTTTATTTTATGTTAAGATAATTTGCAGAAAAAAAGAGACAGTGAGCATAACTTGGTTACGACCCTCACCAGCAACAAAATGCCTTTGAAAGGTTTGTTTGACACCACAGATGTTTCATGACTCGTGTGGTCACATTCGATATGTCATACAGAGCACCCTAGCCTGCAATCAGTGTCGTGGGAATAACACACTAATGAAAACATGTTGACATTCGCACCCCTCCCCCGGTCTTGGAAAAAATATCCTTTCTAATACTGTGATGTGTGGAAATTTTGCTCATTTGTTTACCGCCCTGGGTTAATGTATAGCTCCTCCTGGGAGAAGCGTGTGAATTGAAGTGTACGTCATTACAAGGCTGTCTGTGGACAGAGCAGACAGGTGCTGGTCCCTAATTGCGGCTGACGTAAGCAGACCTCCAAATATAGCTCCTTTTCGTTGCTGATGCACTGGCAAAGTGGAGCAGTTTTTTTTGTAATTTTCCTCACGGAAAATATGCCATATGGGTGTTAAGCAATGCTTCGTCGGCTGTTCTAATACTTTCCCGACTCCCTTGTAGAGTGAGGCATTTATTTTCTAAAATGTGCTGCATTGACTGGCATGAATTGCAGATTAATGTGAAGAGATGTTATAAAATACCTTCCATACTGGGCCAAATGGTACTAGCAGAAGACTCTCACAGCCGTAATTGTAAGGATGATAATTTTAATTGACCTATTAAATACTGTAGCATCGACTTTACATCTTGTTACGAATAAAATGGTGTGTAAAAGAATCCAAGTAAATGAGGCAAAACATGGCTATTATCATCATGGCATTCGTTCAAAGACAAGGTGTTGAGTGACAGATAACAGTGAGATCCAGTCGTATTCAAGTTACCACTTGAGTGCGAGGGGGATTCAAGCCAAAGGATTTCACTGAAATTTGCCAAGCCCCACGCAGGCCACCTTGGCGCTGCCAGGCACCGGCTCATGCCTGCCTTAATCCGTCGATCGGCGAGAATCAGGACGAGGGTAATGTTGTGAGGAAACGTAGGTTCAAAGTGGCGAGGCAAATCAGCGAAAGAGTATTTTGGGTTTTGGAAAAGGGTGTTTGCACAGTGCTTAACGCTTCGCTAGATTTAACCGAAGTGCACATAGCACACTGAGTTGACGACCAAAGGATTTTTCCACTGCCAAACACACATGGTTTGCCTCCAGACTTGTTTCCATCCAGCCGGGATTAAATGCCCCGTCGCCATCTGAAATTCGATACTTACTATGGAAATAGAAAGTGCTCATATTACTGCTATGATTTAGTGGATTGCTCACTCTGAGGGGATGCAAGTGATGAATTTAGTCATTTAATTCACAGCTTTTGCTTTTGGAAAGATCATAACCAGATGTGACAGTCACATCAGGCCTCTGTGAAACAAGAGATTACTAACATAAAAAACAAGCAAATGCCTATGTTTTAACTCTGCTATATATCAGATTCATGAAGCTTGGTTCAATGTCACCACAAGAACAGCCTCATCCATTCACTTACAGGAAAAACACGAATTACATTCACATTTTTTATACATTCAGCTGCAGCATAGTAATATATATTTAACAACATATTTCCAGTTCATGAACATGTTCATGTAATTGCAGTTAGATAAATATTGCTATTTAAGACAGTGTATCACAAAGTAATTTTGATATCGCAATGGTAGAAAAATAGCTTGTTTTTTTTGTCATAAATTTGCTGCCTGTTTATCTCCTTTGGTCAGTCTGCTCATGGCAATGATAACCGATTGCCAACTATTTTACAGAGCATCTTAAGTCCAAAACAACTGTGCTCTAATTCTAGATTTGAAGCTTTCGTGACTGCAATGATTCATATTCTACTGTGCTCTACTTTTTAATTCGTGTATGCAACACTGTATAAAGCTGTCATATTAACCAACCCATTCTTCCTTCTAGTCCAGGACATGCAGGCAACCATCACGAGGGATTCTTAGTTTCAATAATCAGATTCTCAAGTTTCTCAAGTACAGATTGCAGGCTTTTCCTCAATGGCAAACTGGTGTTAAGTAAGCTAGACTAATTCAGCATCACTCTTACCTCACATTGCACAAATGGGAATACTCAGATTTAAGTTATGAGTATGCAATGAACTCACAACTGCAAATCTTAAAAAAAATAAAAATCTCAAGAAACTGGACTGCAAGATGAATTAAGAAAGTGTGCTAATGTTTAAAACCACCTTCGTGTATGTTGAACTTCTTTCGCACTGTACGGGCTAACCGGGGGTGCGGAGGAAGGACAACAAACTAAACAAGCACCTCACTTTATGGTGTGTCTTGAACCATTGTTGGACACAAAGAACTACAATTAAAACAAGAAATTGACTTTAAATTAATGCTTTGAAGAGCTAAAAGTGTTACCAGACCGCAAAGAAAGCACAGGGACACTGTGACCCACCACCAAAGTGGTGCTTCCCTGCGGGATGTGCAAATTGCGTACAGCTATCTATAGTACCAGGGCCATTGCTGATGACGCCACTATTATTTGAGGCCCGTGATTGTAAATAATGTAGTTTTGTTCCCATAAAATGGATGCACTCTGCAGTGACAGCTCTGTACCTGAAAGATTTGCCACATTCTTTATCTTCGACTGCTGAATTGCGTGTTGCAGTGATGGGTCACAAAGACTTACAGGGAGAATGACAATCCCACAGATATATTTTACTCTAAAACATTTGATATATATATATTTGAATGAGGGTATGTTTCATTTAAAGGTTAGCAAAGGACAACAAATATACATTACAATTTAAATTGATTTTAGAAAAAAATCTTGCGGATTATATTTTGAACACAAATCGATATTTGTGGTGCAGTATTCGTGATGTTACATTAATGTAAGACTCATTTTCCACTCTCCAAAAGGTTAACATTTGCCCGGTGTCATTGTGGTGTTGTGTATGGGGCAGTGGGTCCGTGCCTTGCACAGGGAGGCTTCTGGTGCAGTTCAAGGCTCTGCATCTCCAAGAAGCTGGTCTGCAACGGCTACAACGACTGTGGTGACTGGAGTGATGAGAAGCTCTGTTGTGAGCAACACAGTGGAGACACACGTGCCTAATATTTGTGGAACAATGCATTATGATAAAAAGTGGAAGTATAACAAAATAATTTATGTAAAATTTCAGGTCGTCATGCTCATCACCAACCACGAACCAACCAATACTGGATTAAAACCCCCCCATATCTTTGTCATCTCTTTGGACCTGTGGTGCCACACATTATCTCACTCCTCCACAGGAGTTTATCCTTCTTTGGTGCATTCCCTGTTTTCGTTGCCATCCCATTACCAGCCTGGTCCCATAAAATGCTGTGCCCTGTGCAATACCTACTTTGCTTAGGCGTCAATAGGATGTACATAATTTTCATTGATATTCTCGTTCATCTATTCCTCTTTCTGTCTCAGCGTAATTTTTCCACACATCTTTCAATGCTTCTTTGCAAACCTTTCAGCTCTTGCTCCATTTTCTTTGTCTTAAAGATTATATTTCTTCAGACATTTCAGCATGTTATATTCTTTGGGTCTTTCGGTAAAGTCACAAAGATAGGTTTAAAGAAAATAACAAAAAATAACTAAAAACTACGATATTTCAATCGCAACACGAACGCTTGTGTTGTGATCGAAACGTCGTAGTTTTTTGTTATTTTCTTTGAACCTATCTATGTGACTTTACCGAAAGACCCGAATAATATGAATTCCTGCAGTCACGAAAGCTTTAAGTCAAGATTTCAGCATGTTACCTTCCTGACGTAAACATCAATACAAGTTTGGCGTATACATATTATATTTGTAAACAATAATTGCATTTGTCCTCAAGGCCCACATTACAAACGTGACCTTTGTTTCAATGGCCTTTCATCTGGTTGCGAATTAATGTAATCGACGGACGGATGCATTGCTAACCGCTGCTTGCATGCGGTGTGCATGTCCGTGGCTCGCGCTGTGCGCCGGTGGTGAACCGGGGGCTGCAGCGTGCGGAGCCGGAGAATTCCGCTGTGGCACGGGCCGATGCGTCTCGCTCTCCCAGCGCTGTGATGGCTTCAACGATTGTGGGGACCTCAGCGACGAGACTGCCTGCCGTGAGCACAATAGCCGATAGCTGATGTGGGAGGCAGTGGGGGAGGGCGGGATGTTTTCAGGCCAACACCCAAGGGTCAGTAATGCACGATATTGCTGGACGTGCACCACCGTGCATTCCAAGAAGTCATTTGGGACCCATGACCTCAGTTCTACCTCTTAAGTCGACCGCCTCTTGAGGGACATTCGCTTTAAGAGGTCTTGCCCCTGTTGCAGGGCTACACTTTTGTTATCACCAAGTGTGTACGTGTTCAGCATAAGAAGCCACTTTCATAACGCCCTCACATTATTTTCTTTACCCCGTTTTTTGCAACAATCCCGTTGTTTACAACGATCACTGTAAATGGTGTGATCTCCTCACAGTGAATCAAGCATCCTGTTGGGCCTGTAATATTGCATACGCCAGCCCTTGATCTTCGGGTGTCAAATCATAATGACTTTTGTCTTCAGTAGTCTTTGCAATTAGGGGAAATGTGTGTAAATGTTTCTTAAAAATTATACATTTAAATGCTCTGTTGACTGTTTTATAACCTGTGGAATTAGTCGTGACATTGTGGTATATATTATGTTATATGGGACCTATATAGCCCAGTTTTATTTCACAATGTATCGATTCCGTGGGCGAAAAATCACACCCCTTAAGAAATAATATCGTTTGGTATGCGATGCGGACAAGGACGACGTGTATGTTGGCCACAGTTCCCGCAGGAAAGCCTTACATGGGCCCGAGACCGACGTAGGCTGCTGTGCACTTCCCTCACCTCGGTGCGCATCCTCAGATTGCGACAACGCGGTGTGGTTCCGCTGCGGAGACGGAGTGTGCGTGAGCCGCGCCTGGGTGTGCGATGGAGATGCCGACTGCTCCGACAGATCCGATGAGCTGAACTGCAGTGGGTTTCTCTCTCGTTACCATGCACCACTGTCTCGGATCAAACGTTTCCTCAAATTAGGCCGATGTTCTATTGAGCTGTGGATAATTCTGTTATTGAGCTTTCAACATGACGATAATGTGTGTGGGCTGAGCTTTTGTACGATTAGTAATGGCTAATGGAGGGCTACTAAAAAACCAGTCCTCATTTACCGCCACAGTGCAAGTTCATAATTTACCATTCATCAGATTTCATTTGAATGGACGTTGATAAGCTTTATGTGGACTTCTAGATTTGAAGCTTTCGTGACTGCAAAGATTCATATTCTTAGGTTTTTTCGGTTAAGTCACGTAAGTAAAACATCAAAATAAAAATAAAATAAAAATAAAAATCACGACGTTTCGGAGGCAACACAAGTCTCCGTCATCAGGTGGGACCGTCACAGCCGAATTAGCTGCATCAAGTGAAGCAATGATTCAAGATGTAATCCCTTATAAGCAAGTTGAAGGGAGGTGGAGAGGGGGGGGGTTGGAGAGCTTATCAGACTGTGGTAGCCAATGAATGGAAACGTATCGGGGGGGAGGAGGAGCGGTGATCAAAGACTGCACGCAGTGCTCAACACAATGAATGGAAACGTATCGGGAGGGAGGAGGAGCGGCGATCAAAGACTGCACGCAGTGCTCAACACAATGAGTGGAAACGTGTCGGGACGGAGGGTGAGCGCCGATCAAAGACTGCACGCAGCGCTCAACACAATGAATGGAGACGTGTCGGGACGGAGGGTGAGCGGTGATCAAAGACAACACGCAGTGCTCAACACAATGAATGGAAACGTGTCGGGGCGGAGGGTGAGCGGTGATCAAAGACTGCACGTGGGGATGTTAACACTCGGTGAAGTAAATTAATTAAAATAGTGCCTGTCAGATAAGATGGTCCAAAAAAGTGTAATTAAGTCTTTTTTGCGTGGTTAATAACATCTTTCCAATGATTACTGAGTTTGTACCCATCATCACGGTGGAAATTATGTCTGTGTTTGTATATTTGTATGGCTTCGTGTACAAACCTTTGATGGTAGCCAGGAGGTTTGCAGAGAACCTTGGTCTCGGAAAAGACAATTTCATGAGAGCCCGCCGAGTTGTAGCAATGATCGGCAACGGCCGTGTTTCAGATCTGACTTGTGCTCGCGGACACGATCAGCCACATGACGTTTTGTTTCACCAATGTAGCAATCACCACAAATGCAACTCAATTTGTAGACTCCAGGATACTGTAAGTCAGGAACGACATCCTTCACAGATGGAATCAGATCACGGATTTTATGCACTGTACTGAATCGGACTAGGATTTTATGTTTGTTTAGAATTTTGGAGATCTTTTTGGTCACGCCTGCTATGTATGGTAACGTGATAGTTTTGGTCGGAGTTTCATGTGGCTGTTTCTTCTGTGTGGTGGGAGAAACCGCTTGGCGGATAGTACGGTCAGAGTATCCGTTCATCCTGAGGGCCCGATGTACATGTCTCAATTCACCGGTCAGGTGGTGTTGGTCAGAAATGCTATGGGCTCTGTGGTATAGCGTTTTGATGAGAGAATTCTTTTGAGATGGGTGGTGGTGGGAATCCGGTTTCAAGTAGGAATCTGTGTGGGTGGCTTTCCTGTAGACAGAATGTCCCAAGGATCCGTCAGGTCTCCTCTCAAACAGAATATCCAAAAATGGTAGTTTGCCGTCTTTCTCTACTTCCATAGTGAATCTGATGGATGGGTGTCTAGAATTGATGTGGTCTAAGAAGTGGTTCAGTGCTGGGAGGCCATGTGGCCAGATGACGAAAGTGTCATCAACATACCTCTTCCAAAAGGAAGGACGCAGGGTGGATGTCTGGATGGCTTCTGATTCAAACTTTTCCATGAACATGTTGGCTATAACTGGTGACAAGGGGGAGCCCATAGGGGTACCCTCATTCTGTTTATAGAAGGTGCCATTCCAGGTAAAATAGGTGTTGGTGAGGCAATGCCTCACCAGCGCAGGTACATCAGAATTCAATCCATGTTAGACTAAGTCCTCAATTATTGTTAGGGTGTCCGGTACTGGGACTTTGGTAAACACAGATTGCTACATTGGTGAAACAAAACGTCATGTGGCTGATCGTGTCCGCGAGCACAAGTCAGATCTGAAACACGGCAGAACTGATTCTTCGGCCGTTGCCGATCATTGCTACAACTCGGCGGGCTCTCATGAAATTGTCTTTTCCGAGACCAAGGTTCTCTGCAAACCTCCTGGCTACCATCAAAGGTTTGTACACGAAGCCATACAAATATACAAACACAGACATAATTTCAACCGTGATGATGGGTACAAACTCAGTAATCATTGGAAAGATGTTATTAACCACGCAAAAAAGACTTAATTACACTTTTTTGGACCATCTTATCTGACAGGCACTATTTTAATTAATTTACTTCACCGAGTGTTAACATCCCCACGTGCAGTCTTTGATCACCGCTCACCCTCCGCCCCGACACGTTTCCATTCATTGTGTTCAGCACTGCGTGTTGTCTTTGATCACCGCTCACCCTCCGTCCCGACACGTCTCCATTCATTGTGTTGAGCGCTGCGTGCAGTCTTTGATCGCCGCTCACCCTCCGTCCCGACACGTTTCCACTCATTGTGTTGAGCACTGCGTGCAGTCTTTGATCGCCGCTCCTCCTCCCTCCCGATACGTTTCCATTCATTGTGTTGAGCACTGCGTGCAGTCTTTGATCACCGCTCCTCCTCCCCCCCGATACGTTTCCATTCATTGGCTACCACAGTCTGATAAGCTCTCCAACCCCCCCCTCTCCACTTCCCTTCAACTTGCTTATAAGGGATTACATCTTGAATCATTGCTTCACTTGATGCAGCTAATTCGGCTGTGACGGTCCCACCTGATGACGGAGACTTGTGTTGCCTCCGAAACGTCGTGATTTTTATTTTTATTTTATTTTTATTTTGATGTTTTACTTACGTGACTTAACCGAAAAAACCTAAGAATATTATGTGGACTGTGGTGTGGTGATGCAATGGTGTTTGTTAAACTGGACGAAGGTTAAATTCCTGTCATATACTGAACAAGCTTACATCTGTAATGAAATATATATATTTTTTACTATCTTTTGCATATAAACATTGAATTATACCAGTTATACTAAACCAATGAGAGACATTTCTAACCAAAGATGATGATGACACCTGTGCAGCGTGCAAGAGCCATGGCATGCGGGAGTGTGATGGCGGGTTGTGCATCCCTCCCTCGTACCTGTGTGATGGGGAGAGGGACTGTGAGGATGGGCGCGATGAGGAAGGTTGTGGTCCAGGTGAGCCTCCAGTTCTTTTGCTTACCTACACAAATGTGTCCTTCGTCGTGCAAATATAGGGGTAGGTGCTGCACTTCCGATTAGCACGGTTAGTTACGTACGGTGTGAAATAATTTCAACAAACATACATATAGCAGTTCCCTTGGTTAAATACTTTGATTTGAGTTCATCCAGTTGGGTATGTATGTTAAACTGTCTTCGCACCATACGTAGCCAACCATGACACTGTGGCAGAGCAATTGGCTCTGAATTGGCAGGATGCAGGGTTTAAATCCTGTTCAGGGGTTGCCTCGTGCCACGATTTCTCCAGAGAGGAAATAATAACCCCACCCATGTGGGAAATGGGTATCTTCCCATTACCCGTTTGAAAGCAGAGGTAAGTTTGCTTGAATGTCGCTACAGCAGTGGTGGTTCTGTGAAGATCGTGGTCTCAGGTTCAGGACCACCTATGTAGATGAGGATCATCTGATGCTCATTTGCGTATGGAGAAACTTTGTCTTTTCAAATAGATGTGCACTCAATACACACTCACGGTTGTGGATTCAAATTAAACCTGACATTAGGTCGGTGGGAATTTTCGAGATGTTATACCATATTATTCTGAACGGGATGGTCAAGACTGGAAAAAAAGTGTATGCCAGTTTTATGGTAATTCATCCTGAATCTCGTAAACATGGCTCAATTTAACAACACTTCCCTACTGGCTTCTCAATACCAGGAGAGAAGAAACCCGTAAAGAATGTTTATTGTATGGTAAAACAGCCACCATAATTGACATGGCACGGTGAGGCTATCATTCAAAAATGGATTGTATGTATGTATGTTGAACTTCTTTCGCATTGTACGTCGCGCAACCATGCTAATTGGAGGTCCACAAAAGGTCCTCAAGTTGCTCGGATTAATATTCTATTGACAGGAGGAATGCTGCAGTAGTTCACTCGCTCTGATATGAACAGGCAACACTGACTTCCCAGCCATTGCCAAAGTCAGTGATATCTGGACCGCACATTGATCAGTGTGGTGCAGTATGGGTCACGGCATAGTAAGGCCTCTAGTCAGCAGTATCTCGACAAAATGGATACACGTGATTGTGAACGTATTCTTGCTTTTCAGCGTCACCTTGCACGCACGAGAGCCGGTTGTGTGACGGGATTCCTGACTGCCCAGACATGCGAGATGAGCTCGACTGCAGTAAGAGACCTCGTGCGGTGCGCGCGTAAACGGCAATCTGTGACAGATGCGTAGCATTGTGGGAATTGCATAGGTGGGAATTGTTACACCCATGGATTAACTTCTAATTACCAATAAGCCGCCCTGCTTGTGACAGAATTTCATTCAGCAGTTCAGTTATTTCACTAAGCTGTTACATAACTGGGCTTTAATCTAGATCATTGAATGGTCATGATCCTGTGTATGTACATAAGCATATACAGTAATGGGATGACTTTTCTACTTATGCCGTAATGTCCTCGTTACAAATAGTTTTTTTTTAATGTTCATACTAACAAACGCTCATGGAACTGAATTATATATCACAGCCTAGTGTTTGGTAAATGGCTCTTCTTCAGGGCAGAAAGACAGGGACGTAAACAGATTGGGGTCCATATTTATAGCCACACCATTTACAATGTGCGGCCTTCAATAAACTCTGAACATTGAAACACAAAACGTTGCCCCATAGGTAGTTGGTTTTGTAAAGGGATATTTGGTAAAAAAAAAAAAACCTAAAGAATAATATTAAAATGTAAACAAAAATGTAAACATGTTTTAAGTTCAAGGATAACCCACAACAAAAAATGTTAATCTTCTAAAGAGTTGCTGCTCCAGTGTACAGTATGGTACTCCTGAAAGCTATGTGCCTGGCATCAATGTGCAATTAGTGCATACCCCTGTGGAACGCAGATTAGCCATTGATTTCAAATGGAGGCATGCCCATTTCGATCCTATGTGAGCCATAACAGGTTTTTCGGTGGCTAAGAAAAACATTATTGATTCATGTCGACAATAATTATATGATACATGCTAAATAAAAAGTTAAGACGCAGCCCTGAAATTACTCTTGAGCATGTTCCCCAATAAGACATCAGTGTGAGGGTCACCACACATTTGAAACCATTGGTGTTTGACAGCACGATGATGATGGGGGCTGTTTTCACATTTTGAGAATTGTGGGGGGTTGCACGTCAGGGGCCGCACTAAAGGCCACCAGGAGCCGCAGTGGCCCGTGGGCCTTGCAATGAAGAACACTGCTTTAGAGGTTATTCTTGGTGTACTCTTCCACACTGGCCAGACGTCGTGGAAGAGGTGGGAGTACCCACACTTCACCCCACCGCACGTATTTATATCACAAGTCTGGTGTGCTCAGCAATTCACCACGGCAAGCGTCTCCCCTACATGCCACGCACATTTTTCCATTTCATCTTATTTTTCAGACCTGTGTGAACCAATCACCCTGGAGTGGTGCCTGAACCAGCCTTATAACGCCACGGGTTTCCCTAACGCCCTGGGACACGGCACGCAGGCCGCCGCTGCTGCCAGCTGGGAGGCCGAGCTTCTGCAGGCGCTAACCCATACCGCCTGCCATCCGCACATGACCTTCCTCAGCTGCGCGCTGCTCCTGCCAAAATGCAAGCCCAACTCCAGCCACAAAATACTTCCCTGCCGGTTCGTGACCCCCCTCCTCCACCCTTCCCCCCAACCCTCCCCCCCAGCCCCCCCGTTCCCATGCATCAGAGACGGGAGTTCCTAGGCCAAAATTAGAATCAAACCTACGTAGCATCCCTTGGAACTGTTGACCTTCAACGTGTTTCTTAAATGCCTCTCTGTCACTTGTGAGTAATGCGCTAAAAGTTTATTAGAATTTGTAGCGACGATGCACTGTCTCTTTGAGGATATGTACGTCTGAAAAAAACAAGAAAGAAAAGTCATGCACACGCATGGGTCCTTTAACGCTTTGCAATGTCAATTTGTCCTTGGGGGTATATGATTGTTTAATGAATGCGTACAATCTGCATTGATATGGATCATAAATATGGGCATTAGAGTAACAAAATGGAACAAAAACTGAAAAATTCTGAGAGATGCATGCATGCGAATGGGTTTGCTTGCAGTTACACTCATCGACCGATAGATGGACACTTGGATTCAAGAATATATGCGAGCTACAGATGTAAAATTGACGGTTCTGAGCTAGTGCACTTTTCACACTAATAGAATAGCTTTTGTCCAAAATGGAAAATGCTATTAAGCAACATATTTGTGATGCCCTTATGAAAAGTCTGCAAGGATGTGTCAGAAACTCACTGGCTGTACTGTCATTGCCTGGAAAACTTGCAGACCAAGAGATTTGAGAGTTTTACTGATGTATATGATCCATTAATCCTTTCCCTCACTAAGCCTTGCTTATTCAGGTGCTCCATCGATTTAATGTTTGATTGTAAAATATAAGTAAGAAAAAAGGTTGCACATAGAAGAATACCTGATGCAGGCAGTGATGACAAGGAAACTTGAACTATTTGGACATACATGTAGGATGGACAACAGGGGAATTAAAAGTGTGTTGTTGGGAAAAATGGAAGGAACTGGAAAGAGAGGAAGACTGAATAGAGAATGGCTTTGACGACGACATAAGAAGATATTGGTGCCAGAAATATGTGGCACGACTTGGTACAAGACAGAGGAAAGTGGAAATAAATGATAAAATATGCAGTGGACACCAACGGGCTATCTGCCCATGGATGATGATGTAAGATATTCAGATTATAAATGTGTTTATCTAGCTGTCATTTAAGCAGAGCACCTGACTTACAATCAGAAGATCCTGACTTTAAAATCCCAGTTGGGGGTTGACTCAACCTCTGCCTGGGAGGTTTATTTTATTTAGTTTCACCCAGGGTGAGAACTCAAGAGACCACGATAGTCTCATAGTCTCATTTGCAAGAGTGACCTGAGGCATTATTCTGCCAGTAGGTGGTGTGGGGTGATGGTTGCTGCTTCGTGTAATCCCAATCGAGTAATTTGCGGGTAATTTTCAATTTTGGCAACGTTTGACAATGATGCCAAATATTAACCCTTTTCTTACAAATGACGTCAGGGGATCATTATCACGTTCACCGTGAAGCAGACGGAACGTATGGTTATGGCTTCCGCAGGAACGTACTGGAAGCAGCAGCGGCGCTCATGCGAAGCTGTTCCAGGCACCATGGGAATGATCAACGCGAGTGTCGACTGTGATGAGACACACAGAATCCAGCACCCTGAGTCAAAAATACCTGACACGCGGCCAAAAAAAAACCTCACAATAACACAGCATCCAGGAACATTGGTGTATCAGAAATCTGGTCTTTGAGCTGATACTCATTTTATTGGTGACCCTCAGCCTGTGGTGGAAATATCACATTCCTATGGTAGGAAATAGTCAATAGGACAGCCGCTTTTGATTTAGAGTCTATCACGGCCAAGTTTCAAACGGACAACCTCCTGATTTTGAGTTAAGTCCTTTGCCACGTGTCACCTGTGACGAGGTCATAATAATAATAGTAGTTGCTGTATAATTAACGATCATCATCACGATCCATGGGCAGAGAGCCCTAGGTGTCCACTACACATTTCGTAATTGTTTCCACTTTTCTCTATCTTGTGTCAATATGCTCAAGTAGTGCACATCTTTCTGACGCCTATCTCTTCTGTCGTCAATTAACAATATGTGTGTAAAGCACCAAACCTTTTTCTTCCGATATTAGGAAGCCACTGGAGCGATGCACTTTAAAATCTAGATTGAAAACTCATTTTATTAGAACTGCTTTTTGTCTTTAAATTTGTTGCCCCCCCCCCCCTGCGCGGTTGGCTATGTACGGTGCGAAAGAAGTTCAACATACAGTAACACATGCAACTTGTCCAAAAACGAATGTGGGTGCCGGTCTCACGACGGAGGCCTCTCTGTGCGCAGGTCCCTGTGTGAGGAGGTGCGAGGCAGCTGCGAGAGGCACCTCTTGGCCGTCGGCTTGAGCTGGCCCCCTGAGGCCGAATGCGGGCGTCTGTCTCAGTGGGGGTCGCCGGATGCGTGCCTCCTGCCAGACGCCAACAACGCGGACGGTGAGAGGGGGGGGGGGGACGCCGGTGTGCCACGCGCGGCACCGTGCGTGCTGCTGGGCGTCTATGAGAAATAGCTTCGTAAAGCTTTAAAGATAATAGGTTGTACCCTTTCTGGCAATAAAACAGGAGGTGTTAAGACGTTCACACACCAAATATAAACCGTTTGTAAGGAATCGAGTCGCATTAACCACACGTACTTGTGATGAACATGCAAACCAAATAGAAACCTTCTGATTTCTTGTAAAAGGTTTTTATTTGGTGTTTGAACATCTTAACAACTGTTTTATTGCCAGAAAGGGTAAAACCTATTCTTAATTTTTCATACTTTGGTACTGGCAAAAAGGTCCCATTTTGTAGCTGCTCTCCCCGAGCTATAAATGCCCTGATAGTGGCATTGTCTTTGTACTGTTCGCCTTTTGGCGTTCTCTGGTCTGACACTGGTGAGACTAGGCCCTAAAGAAGGCTGTCTCTGGTGTAGGCCAATCAGTTTGAAAGACAATGCATATATTATCAGAGCATGTTTGTATGCATGCTCCTCCCACAAGTACTGTGTGGTTCGTGCAGACCTGATTCCTTGCAAAAAGGTGTCTATTTGGTGTTTAAACATCTTAACACATCCTGTTTTATTGCCAGAATGGGTAAAACGTAATCTTATTCTTTCATATTTTGATACTGGCACAAAGGTCCTGTGATATCTTAACACCTGTTTTATTGCATGAAAAGGTAAAATGTATGATGTTTTTCATACTTTGATCCTGGCAAAAAAGTTCCGTATGACAGAGCTTCGTCGATCATCGGATTGATTCCTCCTCCAGCTTAAATAAAGATTCTGATTCTGATTGTGACGGGAGCTGAGGGTGGACGCGAGTGAATTAGCTTCACTGTGGTTTCCTCTCGCAGTAGCAACGGCACCCCCAACTAAATACTACTCTACCCGTGCGGCGATTCAACTGTCTCCTCCGTTCAACAATTTATTATTCTGTCTTGTTTCACAGTTTTGCTCCGTCTCACCGGTACCGTCTCATTTTTAACGCCTTTCATATCTGTACTGTTTTCATGGTCTAATTGAGTGTCTTGTCTTTATTCTGTCTAATTTTTATTGTCTCTATCATTTGTACTGCATGTACTCTATGAAAAATATTTACTTACCTCTTTGGTTCTTTCAGTAACGTCACGTAGGTATAAAATTAAATAGTAAATAAATCACGACGTTTTGGCGCAACACAAGCGTCCGTCATCAGGTGGGAAAGCGTAGTCTGCTGTTGAGGCAGACTGTTTTAAAATGTTTGAAATGGGTGTAGCCCAAGGGTCATAAAGAAGTGACTGGGGATAGTGATCTTAATGTGAGAAATTAGCATGTAACTGTAAGATAGGAAAGCGGCCTCCTAGACGAGGACACAGAAGTGGCTATGTTACAGGTCGGAACAACAGTTCCACACTGCCAACCAGGGATTATGTGTCTGTCTGTCTGTCTGTTGTGCATGGCCCCGCCCCACCAGAGCCCTCCCATTGGCTCGGTGGCACCGACCAATGGGAGCGGTGGGTTGGGGTTGGTAGAGGGGGCGGTTAGTGGTGGGGAGGGGGGGGGGCACCGCCGCGACTCGGGGGCCAATGAGAAGACGGGCGATGTTTCATTCACAAAATTAAACTGGGGGAGGGTGGCTCCATTCATAAAATGGAAGCCTTGAAAAGAAAAAAAGCGGATCTTCGTGTTTCTTTCAACATTCACAGCCTTAAGGTGATTCAGTTGTGGGTGGGAGGGGTGGGGCTGGGTGGAGAGGGGAGGGTGGGGAAGGAGGGGCTGGGTGGGAAAGGAGGGGCTGGGTGGGGAGGGGAGGCTGGGGAGGGGCTGGGTGGGGAGGGTGGGGAGGGGGCTGGGTGGAGAGGGTGGGGCTGGGTGGAGAGGGTGGGGCTGGGTGGGGTGGGGCTGGTCACCCGTGGTGCCCTTATAAAACTCAACGTTTAACTTACACACTACACTATACACGACACGATACACTACACTTACAGTGAGGGAAAAAAGTATTTGATCCCCTGCTGATTTTGTATGTTTTCCCACTGACAAAGAAATTATCAGTCTATAATTTTAATGGTAGGTTTATTTAAACAGTGAGAGACAGAATAACAACAAATCCAGAAAAACGCATGTCAAAAATGTTATAAATTGATTTGCATTTTAATGAGGGGTGACATAAGTTGTCTCTTGATTCTGTCAGTGTGCTCTTTGACCTTGATAATCACTTTACAATGAAGAATTCATTGAACTTCTGTATCACTTATTTTAGCTTCCTTTCTGCCACAGCACAGCCAAAAATATCCACAGCGTAATCTTTGCTGGATCGTTCTGTGCTCAAATAGAGTAGCCTCTGCATTGTTCGGGGCACTGACATTCACAACACAATCCAGATTTGCTCAAAATCAAAATGGATCTCATAATTTGCTTTATTTGTATTCTGTGCACATGCTATGAACTGACGTTGATCTATGGAAGTAGTCATGTTTTATCTCAAAACTAAAAACAGGATTGGCATGTAGGTTACATGTAAATGCCAAATACCTCTGTGATTTTAACTATGGAACACTTTAGACAGCTTTGCGGATTGTACGGTCCTAGTATCCGTTCATCCTGAGGGCTTGGTGTACGTGCTCCAACTCACTGGCTAGGTGGTGCTAGTCGGAGATGCAACGGGCCCTATGGTGTAGTGTTTTTATGCGAGAATTCTTCTGGGCTGGATGGTGGTGGGAGTCAGGCTTTAGATAGGCATCCGTGTGGGTGGCTTTCCTGTAGACCGAATGTCCCAACGAGCCATCAGGTCTCTTCTCGATCAAAACATCCAGGAATGGTAGCTTGCCATCCTTTTTCACTTCCATGGTGAATTTGATAGACGGGTGTATGGAATTGATGTGGTTAAGAAATTGGTTCAGTGCTGGCAGGCCATGTGGTCAGATGACGAATGTGTCATCTATGTATCTCTTCCACAAGGAAGGATGTAGATGCAAACCAACCGGCTACCTTCAGAGATTTGTTCATGAAGCCATCCAGATATATAAGCACAGACACAACTTCAACTGAGAGGATGGGTACAAACTGAGAAATTATTGGAAAGACGTTATTAACCAGGTAAAGTCTTAATTGACTTGATGTTTCCATCCTACCTGCCTATGTTAGCTGTTATTTCCGACTTTCTGTGTCTCTCTCTCTATGCATCTCTCTTAGATCTCTCATGCTTACCCTCCTTTTTTACAGTTACATGCTAATTTCTCACATTAACATCATGCTAATCTCTCACATTAACATAGCCACTTCCGTGTACTCGTCTAGGAGGCCGCTCTCCTATCTTACAGTTACATGCTAATTTTTCACATTAACATCACTAACCCCGGCCACTTCTTTATCACCCTTGGGCTACACCCATTTCAAACCATTTAAAACAGTCTGCCTCAGCAACAGACTATGCTTTCCCACCTGATGACGGACACTTGTGTTGCGCCAGAAATGTCGTGATTTATTTTTTATATTTTATTTTATACCTACGTGACTTTACCGAAAGAACCAAAGAGTATGGATTTCTGCAGTCACGAAAGATTCAAATCAAGAATATTTACTATCTTTCTCAAGTCTTTGTACTGGCTGTATTGTATATGCTGTTTGTCTTATCTCTCCTTTCCCATTGTATATTTTTAGTTTGCAGTCATTTTTTGTCCTGTCTAGTTCATTTTGATCATTACCCTTCATGAGAAATCTGCATAATGTGTATGATTTATAAATAATCGCATAGATGAATCTGCCGTGAGCACAGGAGTTGGGTTGAGTTCTTGAATTCATACCAGATACACCCTAGGGAAATGTTTTACAACCAGAGCCAAAGTGATCTTACAAAGCAGAAACGATTATTTAGTTATTGTATTCCAAGACATAAATATAGTTATATGTATCATACACGGTGTTGAAATGTTAATTACCTCGCCTGGTATGCAGGAGGTCGTGGGTTCGATCTCAGCCCTGACGATGCCTGTATATTTCAAGTTTGCATGTTCTCACCCTTGGTCGCGTGGATTTTTCTTCTGGCCATCCGTTTTCCCCTCCACATTTAGAAACGTGCTTTTCAAGTATTTGGCTGCTGGAAATGTCCACATGATAATCCACTTCGTTGAGCTATCATTGTGGCCAGGTCGCTTCTGAAAAATAGCTATATAGCTGTGGGCCTCACCTGGCAAAATGTAGTTTATAGTTTGACATATTTGTATGCATTCATTTTTAAGGTCAGGCAAAGGTGACATAAGCTGTTGTCTCTTGATTCTGTCAGTGTGCTCTTTGACCTTGATACTCACTTTACAATGAAGAATTCATTGAACTTCTGTATCACTTATTTTAGCTTCCTTTCTGCCACAGCACAGCCAGAAATATCCACAGCGTAATCCTTGCCGGATCGTTCCGTGCTCAAATAGAGCAGCCTCTGCATTGTTTGGGGCACTGACATTCACAACACAATCCAGATATGCTCAAAATCAAAATAGATCTCATAATTTGCTTTATTTGTATTCTGTGCACATGCTATGAACTGACGTTGATCTATGGAAGTAGTCATGTATTATCTCAAAACTAAAAACAGGACTGGCATGTAGGTTACATGTAAATGCCATATACCTCTGTGATTTTGAACTATAGAACACTTTAAAACATCAATTCATTGAGATTCGTATTTTGGAAAAAACAATGTATTTTGGAATCGTTACATGAATCACATTGTTTGTTGTGGTTCTGTGGATATTAGAATAGCCTGGCCTATGTACTCATGTGGGTTCATGCATAACTAGTTATACATAACAGCAAAAAACGGTATAATTTTAGCAGGTTCGTCATACTTCGAAAGAATAACGTTCACATGGATGTGCAATGTTGGCAAAACGACGAATTATAGCAGCGCTGAATATTTTGTGCATATTAGTTGTATTTTATTTATGTTTTAACATCGCATTTCTGCTGCTGTATGCAGTCTGTTCACACTGGGGAGGTCAAGGGGTGCCAGAGGGAGCCTTTCAGCTGACGACACGTTTTCAGACCCTCCGGCAATAAAGCCTAAGTTTACTGACTTCCTGGGTAATACCGTACTTCTTCATATATCCTGCACAGGCCTTCTTTGACACGCAAATCTTTGAGCATAGTGCAGTGCCGAAACGTAAACATGTGAACGAATGACCGCCTGGTGTATAATTCGAGCAACCAACTCCATTTGGTCAGAACATGTCTGCTAATGGAGGCTGCGACGTTTTCGGTTCAAACGGCCCAGCTACCAAGGGGTCCCGATGCATTAACAGACATGGTCAAGAGATGGCAGTAAAGTCGTTCAGGAAACGTGGATTCTTTAGTTACGTGTAGGTGTTACACACACGGCATACTTATTTGACGTGGTGGCACATTTTTTTTAGTGCACATCGTCTTGTTTTTATTGAAAATTGTTTCTCAATATACATACTTCTCATTTCAACTGTTGTCATTCGAATGTCTCTGTAGTAATAGCTGCTAACATATTAGGGGAAACTTTTTTCTCTAATTATTTCGGTGTCTAGAATTAAATGTCTTAGTCTTTAAAAAAGGGAGAATAATAGATGCATGCAGTGATATGCTCGCAACATTAATACTCGAATGTACTGTTGTATGTAAATATATAGTACATATATAAACAGTGTTATCAAGGAATGTTGGCTTTATGGACATTACAGTTATGCAAGGGTATGGATGAGGGATGGGGATTTGGTTATTATCGGTGAAAGGCAGCGTTGGCCCAGTTTCATTTTTTCTCTGCTCTTTGTCTGCGGCATCACAGCCTGCGGAACTGTCCACGGTGTTCCTCTTCTCCCCGGGGGTTTCGCACCCAGCTGTGGCTCTGTCAGCCCACTCCTCACTATGTGACTGCAGATAACTGGAGCGGTCAATTCACCGTAAGGGAAATAATTGTGGAGCGGTTCAGCCTTACAGATAATAATAGGAGTTGTGGATAAGGGAGTGATAGATAAGAGTAGTATCGTATTTCATGCTTTTTAAAATACCATTTGACCGGTTAATAAATGAAAGATACAACGTTTAAGCTTGTGATATATGTAAGCTGTTAGAATATTTATATTATTATTTGAATTTATAGCATTTTCGTAAAAAAAATTCCGTGATTCATATTTTTTAGGTTTTGGCATTGAACATTTGTATTCCTTCCATGGCCCTGCACAATGTGTTCGCACATTGTCTTGGCAAGCTCTGACCAGGTTTGAATAATGAGCTTAACGTTTCAACGCCCATATGCAAGGCAAGAAATCTGTCAGTTATTTGGCGGTGTGGCTACCCAGAAATTCCATGCTGCTACACAGAGGAGCATATTAGATACTCACGCTTGCTTGCGGGCTCCATTGTAACTCATACCACAGCATTGCAAGAGGGACAGCTTCTGGATTTTATAAAATTGAAGGCACAACCTACACCTCGAATTAGCACGGTTGGCTACGTACTGTGCGAAATAAGTTCAACATACGTATGTACATTTGAATATTAAAGGGTGGTCCAGTCTAACCTTGTGGGAAGTAGCCTATTATACTCACGGATAACAACGCAGTTGTTATAAGAGAATGTTGGATTTTTGGACATTATGGCAAGGTGCCCCCTGCAAATGCCTGCTCATGCCTCTGCTGCTAGAAGGGCCTCCAGCAGAGGGCTCTATGTAAAACCCCCGTTGTAGGGTATTCTGGCCTATTCTCCCACACTGGTCAGATGTCTTGAGAGAGTTGGGAGCACCTACACTTGACCTCATCACACGCGACCTGCCCATGAACGTACAAGTTTCGGGTGGCACTGTGGCAAGATGTTAACTACTTCACCTGGTATGCAGGCGGTCATGGGTTTGATCCCGACCCTGACACCTATATATTTGGAGTTTGCATGTTCTCCCCTTGGTCGTGTGGATTTTTATCTTGGTCCTCTGGTTTTTCTCCCCACATTAAGAAACATGAATTTAGAGTATTTGGCTGACATCGCTCTCAACAAGCCACTTCGATGAGGAATCATTTGTGGCCAGGTGGCTTCTGAAAGAGAGCTATATAACTCAGTGGCCCTTACCTGGTAAAATAAAAGTTTGAAAATGTTTTAATCGTTTATTCTGCTGGGTGAACAGAGGCAGGAAGGGGATTTAAGATACTTAATTATACGAGAGGAGTATCACTTGCATCATTATATAGAACTCAGTAATAGCGTGGATTCTCCGAATCACCCTGAACTTGATGATTCCGAAATCATCCTCGTGTGTGTTTATAGGGCCTTGCGTTCTGCCTTCATAGGTGCCCGCTAACAGCACGTGCCCCACCAGTCTATTTAGGCTATATGGGGAATATTTGTCTGTGTGTTCATATAATCTTGCCACCATTTCCCATCCCCAATCACTCGGCATGTCACATTGTAATCCTCTCGCCAGGAAGCCATTCTGTAACTGTGACTGATGATAACGACGATGATAAGGACACGCACAGTGGCACAGTTCCCTGTGACATACACACACACAGAGAACGATGTACTGTCAGCACCCCCCCCCTTCGTCCCCGGCGAGCGAGCCGTGCCTGGCGCCCGCGTGTCTTTCAGCCCGGTGCTCTCCGCTGCTGCATTTCCGCTGCGCCTCGGGCCACTGCGTGTCCGCCGCCCGGCGCTGCGACTCGCGCAGCGACTGCGAGGATGCGAGCGACGAGCAGGACTGCGGTACGTGCGACGCCCGCTATACAGCAACGCTCACTGTTGCTACATCAGAGTCGCTGGGAAGGGGGCACACTCTACTACAAGCAAACTCTTGATTTGAAAGTCTCTCTCCTGTAGTAGGGACACCACCACCATCACTGTGTGCTGCGAACAGCTTCACTCAGCGCATCCTCCCTTCAGCGATGATAGACCGCGGTGGCGAGATGTTAACTACCTCACCTGGTATACATGATGGTCGTGGGTTCGATCCCAACCCTGACGCCTGTATATTTGTAGTTTGCATGTTTTTTCCGTGGTCGTATGGATTTTTCTCTGGGTCGTCCGGATTTTCCCTCCACATTGAGAAACATGCGTTTAGAGTATTTAGCTGTTATACATTTCCACATTAAAAACATCCTATACATTATTTTTAATTTTACCAGGTAAGGCCCACTGAGATATGTAGCTCTTTTACAAAAGCGACCTGGCTACAAATGATAGCTCAACGAAGTAGCTTATCATGTGGACATTTATATCAGTCAAATATTGATAAGCCACTTCGTTTAGCTATTATTTGTGGCCAGGTTAGTTTAGATACCATAAGTGGTGCTTTGTGAAAAGTAATCGGTGTTTTTAAGTTCCTGCCACAGGAATGTGAAATGTATACAACTGGTTCAATGCTATAACAATAGCCACGGCCTTTATTGAGTCACATCAATCATATTCACAAGTTCAAAATGAAGTGATATAAGAATTAGAAATCAATTCCTAAACCTGCCACTTTTACTACAGTACGTGCCAACACAAATTCTGCAGAAAATTCAGTTGGAAATCAAATTAAATGGATCAAAGGCATTGATTGCTATAAGCTCAAATGCATTTTGGGTGTCAATATCAACTGTCAATATTTTAGTTTGTTTAGGGTCCCTTGCGTGCAGCTGAAATAAATCTGTACATGAATTCTGTGCCAGATTTTTAGGAATGTAAACTCACCGAGGTAAATTCTCATGCTTTGAGGAGGGAACTGTTGTGGTAAGGATTCATATAAATCATCCATCTTTATTATCTTTGAACCATCAAAAGCAGTGACAATGCTCCACAGTGCTCTATATTTATTTTAACAATAAATATCCACATAGTAGTGCAAGAATCCCACGTTTTGAATAAAAAATATGAACGTTTTAACTACAGCACTGTAATTGCATTTGCAAATGTGTAAATAATATGTAAATGCCTTATACAACTCAAAATAATATACTCCTGAATGCTGCGAATAAATCTAGAGTGAAAAGATATTAGCTCCTCCAAGCCTTCATGTATTGTGTAATTATGAAACGTGTAGACCCATCTCTGCTTTGCCGTAAATAATAAAGTTTGTCTTGTGTGGATTTATACGAGTTTGAAGTTCTCATAAATGAAGCTGCAGGCTTCACTTCAAGCGTTACGGATTGAGCGGTTTTCTCACAATATCCTTGATGGATAAAGCAGTGTTTCTGGATACCCACTCTTCGCGTCGCTGCGTATGCTCCAGCTGCGTTCATCCAAATGAAAGGAAGTCCTCAACGCGGCGGCCCATGTTTCACAAGCCGATGATTATCCGGGATGGCAAGCATATAAATGAGGACAAAGCAATACACTTCACTTTTGCATTTTGCCACGGAACTCCCAGGGGACATTGTACACTAACGGAGGCAACCGTTATTGTGTTTCTACTGCAGAGTGCGCTCAGAGAGGGATGTGGGAATGCTTCTCCGACAAGAGCTGCATCAATCTCGACATGCACTGCGATGGCTTCCCGGACTGCCGGGATGAGGAAGATGAGAAATTTTGCTGTAGGTTTGTAGTTGTTGTTGTATTACAGTACAGTATTAATGTCACGTTTCTGAAGGCGATTCCAAATGCTCGTGTGTTGAGCTGTATATTTATATGTGCATATTCACAATATTAATAACCCCCCACAAGCATCATTGCTCTGGCATTTGAGTGTTTACCACAATTTTCAAAGAGTTATGTCACATTGTAATAAAAATAATCAAAACGCCTAAAAACATTTGTTCAGCATAATTCAATATTATCTCTGAATATTATACTTCACATGAGGTCAATACGTTAAAGAAGCTGCAATTAATTGGTGCACTTCATTCAACGCAACCACAATGCAACAAAGTCTGAAAGCTCTCTTATTGCATAATTGAGTGTCATGGACTGCATCGCCATTAACCCCTTTTGAACGTGGTTGATTGTAGACATTGTGAGACATTGCATTTTATGTAATAACTTTAAAAAGACGGATATTTAGTTATTCATACATGATTTTTCGGTTAGGCCACGTAACAACATTGGTGTTGTTAAGACTTTCACCACCCAATGCAGCCAACAATATTAACTGCAAGGGTTTAACTACGCAACACTTATTATTACTGCAGCTCACTGACAAGTTGAATAACATGCCTAAAAAACTAATATAGCGATTTTCTTGCAGTTAATTTTGTTGTTAATATTTAGATGAAACATTGCAATGTATTCTTTATTTAAAGCTTTCGTGACTGCAGGGATTCATATTCTTGGTTCTTTCGGTAAAGTCACGTAGAAAGGAGATAATAAAATAATATAAATATAAAACAATATATTGGTTCTTTCGGTAAAGTCACGTAGAAGGGATATAATAAAATAATATAAATATATTGTTTTATATATTGCAATGTATGTATGCATTTTGAACTTATTTCACACCATACATGCTAATTGGAGGTGTACGACATGAAACAAATATGTGGATTTTTTTTATTAAGATGTTGTTAGAAGTCAATCGTAACATTTGTACCAGTTATTGGATCTTTAGGTCTCCCCATAAATATAAATGAAAATAAATCTCTGGATTTTTTCTACACTGCTTTTGTCAGTGGCTGGCTATGAAACAAATAAACGATGTTGCCCACTCGTAGGAAATTACAACAATTCTGTTATATTACTCTGATGAGCACGGTTGGCTGCGTACGGTGCGAAAGAAGTTCAACAAACATACATATACGTAATAATCCGCGTGTGGTTTTCTGGGATGGAAAAATCGCACAACCTGGAAAACGATGCTCAGATTACAAGTGGATGTATAAATACGTGATAAACAAGGAGTTGTTGATATTGGAAAAGAAACCAAACACACAAACGTGCAGCGTGCCTGGCCAGCTTCGGATTCCTGCCGTTTTCATAATTCATAATGCATGGTTTAGTTCACTTCTCTGAATCTTAGGCATTCCCAGTGAATCGTAGGATTCCTAACCATGGCCTATCTTGGTTTAACAACTCGTGGACATATTAATGCCTTTCAAACCCTCGCCAGTGGTGGAAACATTATTTTTAACTGTCACTTAATGTCTTTGGAATTGCTCTTTTGTGTTTAGTTTGTTATCCTTCCCCCCACACCTCCGATTATCACGGTTGACTACGTACAGTGTGAAAGAAATTCAACATCCATACTTTAAGGATAACAGAAGGGATCTGGAGTGAACACAGAAAAACACCCAATGACTGACTGCATGTTTGTGACACATCCAAGGTCCACGCTTGGCCACCATGCGGTGCTTCGCTGTTGTACCAACGCCAGTCTCTTGTGTGTTGCAGCCCAGTGTGAGGTGGAGGAGGTGGCCTGCCTGAACCACCAGTGTGTCCCGCAGAGGGCCTGGTGTGACGGCGAGAGACACTGTGCAGACGGATCTGACGAATGGGACTGTGGTGGGTATCAACGTTGTGTCCTAAGGAACTGTGGCATGGGCAGCATGGTTGCGTGGGTCACATGGACCACATGCATCCATTTGTTAAGCCAATTACTTTTACTGTAATGGTGGTGTTTCGGGGCCAATGAACGTATCATGTGAGCGTGTATCATGTATCATCTGAGCTACCATGCCTTTTGAGGTGTGCACAGTAAGACAGTGGTTTCTGTTTTTGAAACTATCCAAACGCAACTCCCCTGTGAGGTTTTTAACTTTAGAAAAAAATCTGGCATAGCTTCTGTCGTTAGACCTAATCTTGAAGTCTTTTCTTGGATGCCGATGCCTTGGTCTATTCCAGGCAGCAATCTTAAAGGAGCTCTACTGACAGAAATGTGCAGGAGCTTTGTAGTCTGATGCGATGTTTTAAATTGCATGGTTTGTACACTGGGGCTTGATACATTTATTATAGAGTGCAATTGTTTGCCAACTTTTGGTAAAAAATGGCCAAATATGCAGAAAATATCAATTTAGCCATTTCAGTCTGTCAATCAACAGTCGCAACATGCGAGGGGACACCCTTAGTAAGTGCTATTAACAATACATCGCTGATGATGAAGCAAATTAATACCCATAAAAATATTATTCTCTTCTAAAGGCTTTGTGGGGAAACCTCAGGCATTTTTGCATAAATAAGGTAAGCGGTAACACATTCTCATGACACCAGACTTTATATAATAAATTAGATATTTTGACCGCAGCAGGCTATGCGAGTTGTGTTTACATAACTCCACCTTGCGCTCATCCTCCCCTTGATGGGCGCCTCTACTCAAGGCCTTCTACACGTGGTGAGAAAATTCCAAACCAATGATAAATATCATCTTGTTGGAGTCAGAATGATCTCTAGTCACAAGTTGGTTCCCCAATGCACGGGCCCCCAACTTGTTTTCATAAGTATTAATATTCCCTGCTGCCCTGTACATACACATTCATTGATATTCATTGACGAGCTCGCAGTGAGATATAGTTTCTTAAAAATGCACCGAGTCCTGAATTAGTATAATATACAAGCAGTCCTCGGGTTACGAACACAATTCGTTCCTGAGACCTGTACGCAAGTCGAACGGTTCGTAAGCCGGAACACAATAATGCACTATTTAAATTCCCATACGGTCAGTGTAACACTATAAAACTAAAAAAAATAAAAGTAAAAACTTTTATTTTCACTTACCTTGGGTCCTGATACTGGCTTGTACTGTCGTCGGAAGGGGGCAATGAGTCATCACAATTGCACACACACGGGGCATGCGCACACACACACAGACACACATCCCAATGACAACGATCTTCCGTGTAGCCTTCACCAGGCTGTTGGGGCCAAGTTCTGTTTGCGAGTAGCGCCTATGAGGGCCGGCACGATACACGAGGGGGGTCAGTGGCCAGCGCCACGCCTGGCCGCCTTTTTTTACACGCTTTTATTTAACTCACTCTGTTGTCGTATCCTCAAATCTTGTAACTCAATTTTAACCCACTTCCCAATGTGGTATCGACTGCAAACTTGGTGTACTTATGTCATACTGATGACAATACTATATTCTATCATTAAAATAAAAACACATTTTCAAACAATCTTTTTAATATTATGTTTCGGCTTGGGTCTAATTGTCAACGCTCAACTCACGTTGGCTGTAAAATCACATTATGGCAAGCCTTTTGGGCCACTTCCTGGAGTCGTGGAATTATGCCATTACCAGTACGGTACATTTCATGAAAGCGTGTTTTTAAAAAAGTATTTATAAATATTACTTTGCCTCCCCAGTGGTGATGTTTACACACGACACCAGGTACTGCTGTTGGCCGTGAGCAAGAATCGAACTCGGGTTTCGTAGCTAACCGCGACACTACCGCTCCCCACACACACACATACATTGACTCCTCGCTTGAGGCCGACTCATTACATCTCGCGTGGGATCGCTCCTCTGAACAAAATAATTCCGCGGTTCAGTTTGCAAGTTTGCGTTTTAAGTATTTTTTTTCTATTTCATGAAAGCTGGTTCGTTATTACGGTCGTTTTTAAGTTGGTCGTTCGTAAGTCGAGGACTGCCTGTGATTGCATTGTCCAAATTATAATTCTGCTATCCAATGTATCGGCAACTCATACAATGTTCAATGGTTGATAAATTTATTTTAGCTCAATGTGAGTCGCAAGTGGGCTAATACAAACCTAGCTGCTGCTTGCCCTCCCAGCGCTTGTAAACATGGTACCAGTTGCTCACTTCAGACTAATTTAAGCTGTTAGACAGGACCGCACTGCCTACAGAGACCAATTAACATTCGTAAAAGCTGACGTCCTCGTAGGCTATATGGTATTTTAAACTTGTGCAAGATGTCATAAACTAGATGCCACGCCACCCCGTCCATCAACACGACGATCACGTGGGACAATGGGATGTCGTCTATTTCTCATTCGCGTGACCAATTTTGGGTAAAGTTTTTTTCCATGGACTTTCTGTTGTCAGCACTTTCTACGAATATAGCAATGCCATAAATACGGTGCAATGCCACAAATAAGGGGCATTGCTGTGTTTTTTTTTACGATTGGTACATCACATTTATTGTGCGTGGCTCTGTCACAACAATCTGGGGAGCGCGCGCTCAAATTCAAAGCTGCTGCGCAAGCGGCGTTCATCACTGCGCAATAATTTTTCATGCGGAAAGCGATGAAAATGATTTCTGCCTTGGCCAGCGTGCACATTAGCTGCTACGCCGATTAATAAACCACATTAGCGTGCCTGAGCCCCCTTGTGGCACGGTACTGATGGATTGCGTATGTATTGTTTGTCACCGTTCCATTACTGCAGCAACAGTAAACACTGGCTGGTGCCAATACACTGATTGAACAATATCACGTTTGCTTAATGGCAGAAACGATTACCAAGCGCTGCATTCATCGTTGATGAACGTGTTGTTTGTAAACGCCTAATTGCCCATGGTTCAGGCATGTGGTAGAGAGATTTGAGCATATGGCTTGCAATGGGAAGATTGATAATTTAAATCCCACTGGAGGTCAATTAATTATTTTCGGGTCAACACAACGATTTTCATTTTGTGGGACGTTCAAGCTGGCTGCCCAGTCGACAGTCTCGCCCCCATCCTAGGAATCTTTCCAACACCAGCATCACTCATTGGGCCATTAACAGAAGATGATTACCACCCCGTGCTTGTTAGTGTAATACACAATAATAAAACTCCGTTTAACACGGACGTTTATGCGAACGTATCTCAAGACGCCGTAGATACTGTGGGGATGTGTACATGACATGCATTGAGGGACACCTTTGCCAGTGCCGGGGTTTGTGAGAGGAAGACTGTCCTCGTATGGGATCACGGAAGCTGCCACTTGAGAAGTGAGAGTGGAACCAGACGAGACAGGTGCCGGAATACCTATACAAGTTGTCTGTGGATGTGTAAACCAACAAGAAAATAAAAAAGTTTTAACTCATGCAATCTGTGATGTTTCGAACAGTGGGGATGTCGGACCACAACGCAGAGGTGACGCCTGGTCCCCGGAGCGCGCTGCTCGTCCACAGACACGCACAGTCGCGCGGGGTCTGCGCGGACGGGTGGAGTGTGGCGCTCAGCCACTTGGCCTGCGCTCAGATGGGTTTCTGGTGAGAGTGGAACACTTGGCGTGACGGCCCTTGGTGACTCGGCAACACCGATTCACACGCATTACACACACACAGAAAAATATCATCCTTGTAGTCTTTAACAGAATATTGGAGCAAGTACTGTTTGCAAGTAGCACCCATGAAGGTTGGAACAGCACACGAGGGGGTGGGTGGCCAGCGCCACGCCTGGCCGCCTTTGTCTCCCTAAGTGGCGATGTTTACACATCGCACCAGTCACTCATTTGAGGCTGAGTCGACCTAGAGGAGGAAGGCCTAGGACTGGTTTAGATAATCGTCACCAGTGTTGGTGGCCGTGAGCGGGAATCGAACTCGGGTCGCCGGGTTCGTAGCGCAGTGCGCTAACCACTATACTATCGCTCCCCACACACACAAAGACAAATATCCCCCATATTAGGTGCAATGCTGTTAGCGAGTAGCACCTCCACACACATACACATCCAGACGTAAAAAAAATTGCTGAACACAAATGACACGCAGCTCGGTCTTTCGGCGTAGGCTGACTGGCGAGCGGGAAAATTCAAGCAACGTCAAAACGGGACGGGGCAGAGCCACATGTGGCCCGGCAGTCTGTTGTACACAGCGACAACAACACGAGAGACTTTACATAGACTGGTAAATGGCTGATTGTATAGGCATCTAGGCCGTTGACATTCAGTACGTGGACTATATAGGTTTTAAAGAGTATATTTCAGTAGTAATTATTGTCGGGTCATATCCTGCTTTGACGTGTTTTCATGAATGTTTTCAGCTTAAATGTATTAATTTGTTTGAGAACGCACAATGCGACGACTTCAACATTGTCTATTAAGTTACATAATTAATCTCCATGAGATTTGGTGATCCTTAAAATAAATGCTCTCTTTATTCAGAATTCACCCTTTGTTCGATCACCCCTCTTCCATATAAATATATAACCAGGTAAAATGTAACTGTGCACAAGCAGATACAATTATTTAAACCTTTTCGTGAAAGCTCTTGGGCGTAAATATATTCCAATGTTAAATTCAACATTCACATGTGATTCACACTCTACTATCATTTAAAACATGTGCACGGTGTATTTTTTGCAAATCCTGCTGCAGTGAACTGCACACAACAGGTTCTGCCTGGCAAGTCTGAGCGTGGGGCTGAAGAGTGACATAGCTGTCAGTGTAGTAGAATATTACAATTGACAAAGCCTCTTTCCCTGTCCCTCTGAAACTGGTGCAGTGTGTACTGTCTACCACATATGTTACGGGCTCTAAATAAAATCACGTTTGATCCATAGCTGCCAGTTCTAAATATAATTCTGTAGACACATCATCATTGTGACTGTGCTGGTCAACTAGATTGTATTGTGCAAAATCTAAAGTTGAAAGCTCTAAGCACGTAACACTAAGTATAGTTGACGTAGCGTATGAAGTGCAGCTGTCTTGTGGAAATAACCATGTGGGGAAAATGTGACGTTTTGTTCAGCATTTTCTTCCTACACAATATTCTACACTTTGCTGGACTGCAGCCAACACTCGTGTCAGAAATGTGCAAAGTGCAAGCCTGTTAATGCTGGCACAGCTGAACAGCATGGAGAGTTGTAACTTACATTACAAGAGGAAACTGCTAAAGTAAGCCATGCACTGTAGCTATTAAGACCCTAAACCATTATTTATGAGGGCAGACCAATGTATGTGGATCACATAGCCCAAATACCAAATAATAATTATAATAATAAAAATCTTCATTCAAATGCCCTCAAAATTACCAAAAAATATAATTATTATGATTGTCAAGCTATGGACACATATCTTGTGAATCCGATAACACGATAAGTTGTGATGTTTGATATCTCAAATAGCATTGATTGGTGTTTTGTTGCTGTTGTTCTGTTGCCGTTGTTGTTGTTGTCCAGGGGCGAGGCAGACACCCACTTTCTTCAAAGGGCAGTGAGGAAGAAATTATTGCCTCCTCTGCACCTGACACCTGGATGGCATCAGACAAACACCAGCACCGTTCAGGCCGCCCTGGCAGAGGGGTGAGTATTTGCTGATGCAGCCCCTCCCCACGCACGGGCGTGAAGGCAAGGTGACCCCACATTCGTTTCCAAACCAACCCGTGCCATATCGCTTTAAACGTATCACCGTGCCTCTGGTTGCCTAACTTGCTCACACACCTGGTTGCAGGCAGACAAAAAAGAAAGTGGCTTATCATTTGAAAATTAATAGCAGCCAAATACTCTGAACGCATGTTTTTAAATGTGGAGGGAAAAACCGGAGGACCCGGAGAAAAATTCACGCGACCACGGCGAGAACATGCAAACTCCAAATATACAGGCGTCAGGGTTGGTTTCGATCCCACGACTTAATGTGTACCAGGTGAGGTAGTTAACATCTCACATGCAGTACAAGTGTCACCATCCCAAAATGAGCAATTGGTCATTCCTATCTCCACTGCCGACCCTGAACCATTGGTGAAAATTGCATATGCAATGGAGAGGAACAAATCTTTCCACAGCGTACACTCCCACAGATAAATAGCAAATGACAAACGGCACGTACTAAGATGTGTTCATATTGCAGAGGGACAATTTTCCGGTGGTTGCTCTGGGGCACAAAATGCAGGTGCTCCACTCACCTGCTGTGTAAGCTTCCATCACTCGATGCGGACACTCGCATATTCACACATCTCGTCCTGTGTATACCGCTGTATATTTATAAATAATAAGAAAAAAACATTGTTGCTGTGAAGAATTCTATATTTGTGAGAAAGATCATTGCCACTTGAAATCAGGCAATCGGAATCGGTAGATATATTCAAGTCTGCTTTGAAAACCCATCTCTTTACTGTGGCCTTCCCTCTTTAGTTTGGAGGCTGCCCTGGTTCTCTTTTTGTTCCCTGCTTTTCATGCATTGTGCATTGGGATCCTAGGATTTATATCAGAATCAGAATCTTTATTCATGCTGGAGGAATCCTATGAGCTATGAAGCTCTTTTTTCACAGATGTCCAGGAGATGTCAATTTCACGGGCCACATCCTGCCGACGGGACTCACAAAGTAAAAACTGGCCCAGTTTTTTTTTTATTTTGATAAAAGTTGCTGGATAACATTGGTTTGGAAGGCCTTCTGGATGATGGACCTTATCCACTATTTTGTTTTATTATGTGTTTTTTATTTCAATTGCCACCTTTTCTCTCCCTAGGGTTCCATGTGACAGCGAGAGCATAGTGTCTGTTATCTGCCACAGAAATGGTGAGTTTAAAAATGTAATCATGTACATGTAGGCACTGTTTTACTCTTAATATTTCATGTGCAATAAAAATGCTCGACTCTTGGTGCTTATGGACGGCTTGTGGGGATGCTGTGAACTCACTCGTAAAAAAATGCTGCGTTGCTCCGAACTTTTTGTGGAACCATTAAAATAATGGCCACATCATTAACCTTCTTGTTCGGTTAACAACCTGTGGATTCTACATTGTACTATTCGTTATGCACGCCAGTGGCTACACGACTGCAATCTCATCTTCGTTGCGAGACAAATTGTCACAACGTGCTGAGAGTCAAGCACACGTGACAACGCATCGGTTTGTCAACTGCTGGCTCTCGCCACTGCTGTCAGAAAGGCCCACCGTGAAGGGAGCTCCAGGGAGCACCCTCCCGAGCGTGTTTGGGCCTACTCTTCCACACTGGCCAAAATCTCTTTGAAGAATTTAGAGTACCCACACTTTACCCCACCGCATGTGGTCTGCCGAGGGATGGAGGAGCGGTCGATTAAAGAAACTTGCCCCATTGTTTTGAACCAGCGATGTCTACATTGCAAGTACAGGGTGCTTCGCAGCAGTGGCTTTTTTGGCCGGCCATCGAACAAAGGCTGTCACCACATCGCGCGCTTTCACATGCACTTCTGCAGCCGTCTTAAACGCTCTTCCTTCCAAAATTCGGAAGCCACTGGAGCTATGCACTTTTAAATCTAGATTGAAAACTCACTTTTTTAGAACTTATTTTTGTTTTTAAGTTTGTTGTCCTTCCTGCCTGCACCTCCGATTAGCACGGTTGGCTGCGTTTGGTGCGAAAGAAGTTCAACATACATACATATTAGAGTTTTTTTTTAGGTTAGATCACATAACTATAAATGTATCATTAAACCCGCCACCACTCGACACAGCCAATTAATAAGGGTTGTCACATAAACAGAACATGCCAATTCGTTACTAGTACAGTACACCGGTGTGTTGAAGAGTACATCCACAACACTTACAACGCCAGTAATTATAACTAGCCTCATCTGGCGACAGCCATATTTGTGAAGAAATCCTCCTGTTTCATTCTTAAATAGAGGGGTTATTGTAAACCTCTCAGATGCGAAGGCCAGAGGGGGCTGGGGGGGCGGGGTTAAATGTGAATGTTGTGGATTTGCTCTCCAACACACCGGTGCGCTGTACTAGTAACGAATTGGCACGTTCTGTTTGCGCGATAAACTTTACTAATTGTCTGTGTCGGGTGTGGCGGGTTTAACGACACATTTATATTTACGTGATCTAACTCAAAAAACCTCTTATGGATAATTTTGGGGTCGTGAAAGCCTACGTGTTAAACATACATACATACCTAGAGGTGGTTTTGAACATTAACACACTTATTTAATTCAGCTTGCAATTCAGTTTCTTGAAAAAATTGGTCAATATCTGCCTAAAAACGTTATTGTTAAAAAGGCCTGCAGTTGTGAGTTTACTACATACTCAACTTAAATCTGAGTACACTATTCCCATTTGTGCAATGTGAGGTATGAGTGATGCTGAATTAGTGAAGCTTACTTCACACTTGTTTGCTATTTGCCACACGCATACATCTTGTCCTCACAGGGGTTCTTCGCCAATTACAAAATGCTTTCTGCCCACATCTATCCATCCCCGGACGCAGGGGAGCAACGGGGCTATGCAAGATGCGACTGTGGGCCCCCCTCCTTTATCCCAACTCACTTTTAATGAAATAGCCACGGTTGTTTTTCATCCATATACATTAATGTGTAGACTATAACGAAATCCAGTATTATTGTTGTCATATTTTTTGTTAATTTTCTTCACGTTTATTTTACTTGTTTACCTGTTGATTCGGGGGCCCCGTTGTGTCCGACTGGAGTTCCCGTTATGCGTCGCATGAACGCTGCCACACATACCCCATTAGTTGCGCCCCTGCCCGGGATGTGTGCGCAGACTGTGGCCGGCGCTCAACGTCGTCGCCGCGACGCATGAGCAAGAGAATCCTGGGCGGCCGAGCGAGCCGCGAGGGGCGCTGGCCATGGCAAGGCTCGCTGCGCACCGCGCTGAGGCCCCACTCCTGCGGCTGCACTCTCATCCACCGCAGATGGGCGCTCACGGGGGCACACTGCTTCACGCGGTGAGGGGGTTCGCGGACACACATTCGCCCGCGGGGTTACACTGGTGATGGAAGATCTGTGTCGCTGAGCGTGCCCCCGGGAGACGGACGTCAAAGCGATGGCTGGTTCGCCGCTTCTTATCGCGCATTGATGAGTCATGCGACGAGAGGATGACTGGGTGACACGTTGCGGGGGTGCCATGCGGATGTTCTTGTCTTGCCCACAGTATATCTGCGAAGCTGATAATCAAACAAGCAGATACTGATGGGGTTTCATTCCCAAAGTGAGCTCACGCACTGCTTATACTACAGCTCTGCGGTCGGCTTCGTATGGAAATTCGTGAGTCCATGTGCAGGTCTGAGAGCTGAAGCACAGCCTCAGGGGAAGCCATATTCAGTGCCTTTACTGACTGTCTGAGGAACGCAATGGTTCACAACGCAAAGTCAAGAGGGCTCAGCATGTAAGAGTTTGGTGTGATGCCCATTTCACTGAATAATCATAATAATTTAGACTTCCAAACTGCGTTACACCCAGAGGTCACGGTATGCTGATAGTGGCCAGTCTCTCTATAGGAGGACGATTTTTTGTTACATTTTACTTACAACTGTGTTAGAGCACTGGATCTGCAAATGAGAATAGAACCACACGAGTTAGTATTTCACTCGGGCCATCATCCCCGAATATTACGAGTACCACTTTGTTGGAGGTGAACATCGATTGTCTTCTGGAGAGGCTGGTCCCTGCTATAAGAATGTGGAATTTCCACCTCTAGTCCAGGGGCCATCGATAGAGATGAGTACCCCTCCATGCTCATTTGAGCAGAGAGATACTTATATTCGCTTGACACACACACTCGGTTCAGCAGATTGTCATCTTAGTCCTCTTCTTTTGTTATGACGGGGAGTTATTCAGTGGAGCTGGTCTGCCCTGTCCCTCTCCTCCTGTCGTGAATCCTTGCAAGCGGGACAGCTTGGCGAAACAGACGACAATAGCAACAATAAAAATTATTAAGTTCGGAGACGATGACTAGAGACCCTGCGTTGTGTTCTGTCCTCCGGAGAAGTGGGCGACTCCACAACAGCTGAGCACCAGGGGTTTGCGAAACGGCAAAACTTTATTTCAAAGTGTTCTTCAGTAGGGCAAATTGCATATCTGAAATAGTGATCAGAAACACCCTCCACGTCACAACACCACTTCTCAATTCCTCAGCACCAAGTCCACCCAAATATAAATTGAGGGCGTGACTCATACTCTACTCGTGTATTGTCGCACTTGGGGTCCAATCCTTGATCACCATGGCCTTTTCTTATAATAACCAGCAGAGTGCTCAATCATACGTGCGATTCATCACAGGCGAGCTCACACCGACTACATCAGCAGAGTTCATATTTTTTATGTTGAGGTTGGTGGGCCTGTCAATGAATGGATTTCGCAGTAGACTGCTGAATAACATAAATTTTGCCAGCAAGTGATTGAAACAGCGTAGTGGCATAACTATGCAGTTCATGGTTTGAGATTAATATCTAACTATTCAAGCAATTTGTATTTTACCAGGTAAGACCTACTGAGCTATACAGCTATTTTTTTCAGAAGCGACCAGGCCCCAAATGATCGGACAAATAAGTGACATCATGTGGACATTTTTAGTAGCCGAATACTCTAAACGCATGTTTCTAAACGTGGAGTTAAAAACCGGAGGACCCGGAGAAAAATCCACGCAACCACAGGGAGAACATCCAAACTCCAAATATACTGGCGTCAGGGTCGGGATCGAACCCACGACCTCCTGTATACTTGGCGAGGTAGTTAACATAAGATCGGTGACTGCAGTCACACTGAGAAATAATCTTAATTGTCCGTTGGTGGAGGAGCAAATAGCTGCATCTGCCACGCAATGTTCTGATGTAGCTCAATACAGAACATTGTTTGCTGGGTAAGTTTAAACCAGAAGGACACTGGCATTCACTGAGCCTCAGGATTGAACACGAGCCCTTAGAGAGCGTGCGCGAAATCTCAAGGTGGATCGCGGTACTTTCGTGTGGCCCACCTTCAGCTTCTGAAGCAGTTCTCCGCCCTTGTTAGGCAACATGACCCGGAGGCCTGGACGGCCGTGTTTGGGGTGAACAACCTGGGGCACCTGTCGGCATTCCGGCAGGAGAGGAAAGTGCGGCGCATCATCCGCCACGAGCGCTTCAGCGCACGCACCCTGGACTACGACGTGGCGCTCGTGGAGCTGCGGGAGGAGGTGTGGGAGAGCCCCCACGTGCAGCCCGCCTGCCTCCCGCACAGGGGTGTCGGCGTGCCAGATGACACCTACTGCGTCATCACGGGCTGGGGAGTCACCAGCGCCAAGGGTGAGCACGGGGGATGCAGGTCACCATTTCTCGCAGGCAGCTCGTCTGCAAAGTTGCGCTGAGAAGGTGCTGGTGTTGGTGGTGCCAGGAATTCTCCTTGAACCGCTGCAGTCGTCGGGCGTGAGGGTACACATATAATCAATTTAATCATCATCATCCATAATCCATCAATGGTTAGGTGAGGGCATTCCCTAGCTATCCACTGGCTCTTTCCTTTAACCAAGGACTTCAACAATTCTGGTTCAATAACCTTGCACAGATTAACTTTACCACTCATTTAATTCAATCACATAATGTTCCGATATTAGGAAACCACTGGAGCTAATTTTCAATCTCGATTTTAAAGTCATTCCTTGTGACTGCTTGTTGTATCTAGTTTGTTGTCCTTCCCCCACACCTCCGATGAGCACGGTGGGCTACGTATGGTGCGAAATAAGTTCAACACATACATACACACATACGTGCTGTTCTCCAGAGAGTTACACGATTCTGACCCCGGATGAGCGCGTACACATGTGCGTCACATGGCATTGCGTAAGATGGCATCGCGTTCTTCAGGAGCTGATATGTCAATGTCAAGTTCTGCTCGCCATGGCAGGGCATTAGGAGAGAGTTCGTGTAGCTTTGCTACTCACACCTCTGTTTGAACGAGCGCAGACCTATAATGTGCTACCACCACAGTAATGTTACCACATTGGACTTACAATGCACAGGTCGTCCGTTTGATTTGACCTCACAAAACGGCAGTCGAAACGACGAGGCAAGTTTCTTAAATCCCCAGCCCCTTGCGTCGTGTATATTAAGAGGTGTGCATATACACGGGCTTTCCCAGGTATTGTTACTTCTTTCTTTCAATAAACAGATATGCTCACAAGAGCAAACTAGTTTTTAACAACTTGAGCAGGATACTCCTACAAAAGAATCTTGAGACTCGGCGACTATTTTCTACGTAAAATTTCAAATAATTGTACAAAAAAATGCAACGTTATAGATACCAGTCTGCAGACAGTGACTACATTCTGAAGAGTTGTATCCCAACGGGCTCCTACCTGGTTAAGTAATGGGGGCATTTAATTGAATGCCTCATCGGCTGCCAACAGATGCCACTCTGCTGTAAAATAATGCAAAGGATCTCTCGTGACTGTGAAATCCTGCCGTGGTGCGTGCGCCTGCTTCTGCTCCAGTTGTCCCGTCTAAGCTGCAGGAGGGCGAGGTGAGGATCATCTCACCCAGCGCCTGCCAGGGCTTCTTCCCCCTGCGCCCGCTCACGCCGCGTATGCTGTGCGCCGGCTACGAGGCGGGCTCCGTCGACTCCTGCATGGTGAGACGACGGCGCTTCCGGACAACCGCTGTGCATGCACCGGCAAGACAGGCGCGGGGAGCTCTGCGGCTGAGGAATTTTCCTGAGCGATGCACAGCTCACGGTCGGGCAGGTCATGAGACAAGTATTGTATGTTGAACTTCTTTCGCACCGTACGTAGGCAACCATGCTAATCGGAGGTGCGGGGGAAGGACACAAAACTAAACAAAAAAAGCAGTTCGAAAGAAATGAGTTTGCAATCTGGATTTAAAGGGTGCATAGCTCCTAAAATCGGAAGGAAGAGCATTCCAGAGGGCCGCAGAAGTGCATCTGAAAGCACGCAATGTAGTAACTGTCTTTGTTCGATGGCCAACCAAAAGCTGCTGCGAGGATGACTGGAGTTCGTGTGATGATTTATGGTCCTTGACGAGATCAGCAAGGTATTGTAGTTAGTTTGTGGCGAGCACTTTGTGTTATTCCGTCGACCCAAGGTTACTCTTGCAAATGGGACTCATCCTCATCTCTCGAGTTCTCACCTGGATAAACAAAGTAAACTTGAGCTTGAAACCGTTCATCATTGAGGCGGTTTAGCCAGATGCATGAGTCAGGAGCAGCAGAGTGGTGCATCGCCGTATGATCAGTCCTCCTTCGTATTTGTGAATCGGGCATTGCTTCGTCGTTATATGTTCCACGGTCTAGTCTGGGTAAACAGTCGCACGCTGACGGGAGAGATCTCACTTCCCACTTTCCGCTTCAAGTATCCGCATCTGCTCCCGCCGCCGGTGTGACTTTGTGTGGCTGTTGCTGTGGCAGGGTGACAGCGGGGGCCCACTGGTGTGCGAGGAGACCGACCGGCGCTGGACGCTGTACGGCCTGACCTCGTGGGGCTCCGTGTGCTCCTCCAAGTCGGTGGGACCGGGCGTCTACACCAACGTGACGCAGCTCCTGGGCTGGATCGAGAGGCACATCTTCCTGCACACTTTCTTTTAAACAAAAAAGAAACGACAGCTGATCCTAGGAGGAGAATGGCCGTTGAGGGCCTCAAGTTTTTATTTTATTTCGCTCGTTATATTCGTCACCCCCCCCCCCCCGCCACCTTGGTTAGAGAAGGAACCCGGTTGGTGCACCAAAACTAGCCCCCGTTCAGGGAGGAAGGACTACCCAGAGGGCGCAATCCCTGGACACACAGCAAGCCTTACTCTGGAATGTTCGTGTGCCCTCTGTTATGGCTGTTGATCCGGGTCCGTATGTGTACCGTGATTAATCGGAGGTGCAGGGGAAGGACAACAAACTAAAACACAAAAAACTGTTTGAACGATATGGCTTTTCAATTAAAAAAAAATATATATATAAAGCAGGTGACGCAGTGTACCGCTGCGGTTAGCTGGACGCGCAGCCGAGTATATAACGATATTTATCATTGATAGCCATTTTAGATCTAATGCTGGATGAAAGAGTCCCCATGTCACCTGATGATGACGTATGAATCAACGATGGCACCGAGCCAGACATGGAATGAGATGGTTTATTGTAAGGAATGCGCGTAGAGAAGCTTATATTAAGGTACATAAATATAAACAATGCTCACATAATTGTTGTCATGGCAGCTACCAAATATTGTACGATAATATGTATTTTTTAAATATAAGTAATAGTGTGTTTCCAACCACATTTCAAGATACTATATATATATCATTAACACAATTCCCAACGAATTTTTTTTATATATTGGCAAGAATAATTAATGGTGTATTAGTTTTAGCAAAAAAATGTGAGAATTTTAAGTCACCGATTTGTGTTAATTGCTTGCTAGATATGGAGCGTTGCTGAATCTCCAATGAACTCTTGTAAAATATCTTCTCATTGTTGGAATGTGCACATAATACAGGGCCTTTCAATGCGATTAGAATGTACATGCTTAAACGGAGATAGCATCCATCCCTTCACGCGTATACATATCATGCGTAGTGTGCTGTTGCCCGCACCAAATCAGTTATATATATGCTCTTATATAATAGTAATGCCCTTTATTTATCCAGGAACACCTCAACATTTCTCAAGGCTTTTTCAGGAGGGCCCCGCTTTGGGTGTTTGCTTCACCTGAGGAAAATGGGGTACACCCACGCACAGGCACAAGCGGGCAACACGCTAGAATCCGTACCGCTTGCTCCACGAATTGCTTGCTGTGCTGCCGTAAAGAGGCCAGCGCGTAGCTCGGTGGGTTGTGTTGTCCTCTTCACTGGTGTTTTTTTTTACAGGAAATGCTCACGTTTATTTTATGTTCGCCCACACTGAGCACGCGCTTCTGAAGCTGTGCAATTTTATGGCGTCACAAGAAGCCACGGAAAAAATTACAAGCGCAAGTGTAAAAATTCAAACAACTTTATTCTACAAAATATATTATTTTTTATTACACATGCAGATTTGGATGCGTAAACCAGTTTTGGATCAACAGTTAACATTCCATAAAATTACTTTAACGCAACAGTGACTGTAAAACCATTTTCCTTGTAAACTTAGTGTTTATAAAGGTCAACAAATCTCCAGTACAGAAAACCCAACATATTGCCAATTTCATTTCATATAAAACCCTTAATATTGTTTAAAAAACTTTGTTTCATTTAAGCACAATATTACACAAACAGTAATCCTTCATTGTAAACATTATTCATAAGCATTCTGAAGCTTCAAATGCACCAGAACTCTTTTGTTTTTTACATTTTACCGCCATTGGCGGTTTCATGAATCACAGTGACAAATATACAAAGAAGTCCTCCAAATAAAATTAATATTTGATCCCATGTTGAAATATTGCATCATTTTCTTTAAAACCAACATAACATCGACAACTACCACTCTCGGTACTGCTTTCAAACACGTACAATATGCTTATCATTTTGTTTAAGCATTTAAAGCATTCATATGGTAATGCACATTTTGGTTTGTATAAAGAACTATAATTCTAACAGAGCAGATTATTATAAATAACATGGCTTCAATCGTCCCACAATACGGATGAACATTTTGCATAGGTGTCCTCTGTATAGCCCTTAGAGAACATTACAATTCGGAAAACGCTAAGGCACATCTGTACTATATATTATAAACGAGTGTCATATAATCTATGTTACCGGGGCCCTATCCTGACTGGGGATCATCAACCCAAGGAGTCCATAGATGTCCCGCTATAACCGGTAATGTTATGACCAAACACTGGTGTTAAACGCTATCATTTCAATGCTGTCAATTTAAAACCTTTATTAAGGGGAACCACCCATTGATTAAACGTCTGCCAATGGGAAACGAAACTAAAAATATTGTATTATAAAGCAATGAACTTACCTCATATTGTTGCATACAGAGTGTGCAGTAAAACCTCTTGAAGCCGGACTGAGCCATATTCGAGTTCAGTCGGAAAGGCAGCCCCGAAATAAATCGATAGATAGCTCGGAAACCAAATCTCCTCCAGAGTTACCTCTCGTTTTTGTTCCTTATCCTTTAATTAAAAAAATATTTAATTTAAAAGGAATATTTTTCACAGATCAACAAGTTTTACTTAATTTGTTTGGGAATTTAATTTGAAATACCAAGGGTGCGATGTTATCCCAAGTAGACCACGTGGTAGACCCGTGCAACCTGTGCCTCCAGTCATCCACACGCCCTGACAGAGCTCTCCCTGGCTTTTAAACATCTGTATTTATTTAGTTTGCAAATAAACTCAAAACATTCTTGAAGCTCATTCTCAGCCTTCCCAATCCAGCGAACCTCAGTCTTCACCATCATCCTCTGCTCGATGGTGGAGGGAAGTTACTAAGACTAACCTGTACATTAGTAACTTTTTAGGTGTTATTTAACTGCGAATATTCAACTGTATACATTCAGTTGATTTTTTATGACGTTATTGAGCGCAATTAAATGTGTTAGGTGTTTTGTGTGAATGTAATGTGCAATATACTGTACACATTTTCAAAATTGCAGCACGTTCCTGACATCCCCATAGCTTGAAATTCCCTCCGCCCAGTCAGACTTGTCGAGGTTCTAGCATCACTGTAAGCAGCTGCTCTAACTATGATGAGTGACAACAAAGGACGTAGCTTCGTAAAACATATAGCAATATACATTAAATTGGTGGGATTTCAAAAATGCAGACAATGTAATGTTGCTGACCAATAAAAAAAATACACGCAAATGTTAACATATACCGAGTAATTGCCAGGAAAGAATGTCTCAGCTTAGCGTGGAGGTGAGCCCTATGTTGGCCCAAGTCCTGATGCCTACCCTCGTTGCGGGAGGAGCTGTGTCCAAGCCCCATCAATGAGTGGAACTGGGATAATGGGACAGCCAGCACGTGGCCCTTTGTACAAAATAGAATACACTGCAAGTTAATCCTCATCAGTGATTGTTCGTCTTTCAAATCACATCTTATCAGTTGGAGTGCGATGAGTAAATGTATTCAAGCTCAATACAGATTGGGCGCTAAACACAGTACGTAACTGCAAGTTGGATTATGCTGAAATACACGGGGGGTTAGGGATAAATGAGCCCCATCTCATCAGGTCTCGGAAGCAAAAAGCACGGGTGAGCCTGCCTGGCGAAAAACAGGTGCTGTGGACTGCTGTGGGGGCCACATTGTCAGCAGGTGGCAGGGCAACAAAATATTTTGTTGTACCATATTCTACTCCCAACACCTCGGCTCTCCGTCATTTTCCAACTCAACCCGACGAGCGTGGTGAAGTGTCGTCTGATGACCCACATGGCCTGCGCCACATGGAGAGGCCCACATCCAGCAGGTGAATGACAAAACAGCTGGACATGCACATTGGGTGAATGATTGTGGCCTCTCAATGATATGTGTGTTACTTAGTTCGTGAATTTAATATTAAATACCAAGAGCGAAGGTTATCCCAAGTATGCCACATGATCGACTCTTGCAACCTGTGCACTGGCAGGAGCACATTTTGAATGTATGTTACCCCACAAAACCTTATGACGCTGTTTTTGCAGGGAACGGATGAGGTAATTCATCGGAATATCTTTTCAAGATGAAACATTCTGATCCACGCACGTGGAAATCGGATGAGTTAAATAAGTACAGTCACATATAAAACATTTAAAATTCACGAGAACATTTGTATTAGATTGGTATTGTGGCTTCCAATGAAAACATTCTTGATTGCATATTGCTTAACCCATGAAAAAAGAAGAATAAAAAATTGTTTAAAAATATTTGCCTTGCATGAAGGCACAACGTAGCAAAGAGTTCCATTCTCTTTGCTAAATGTCGACCACTTTGGCCAAAGGACATCTGCTTGTAAATTAAGGCCAACGTGTGCATTGCTTACTCAAAGCAGGCATTGCATTTACAATATAAATATTCCTAGCATCAGGTATGAAACATTCCTGTAAGACAAACTCGTGGTACAGTGATGGGTACCGCAGTGCTGTGTGTAACACGACAGAGCACTGCAGTGCTGTGATGCAAATTACCGTTTTGCAATTTCACGAAATGTTTATGCAATTTTGCTTTAGTTAGAATCATTTGCTTTGTTACTGGCCCTATCCAGCCGCCACTTTTCGCATTCCACTTCAACTGATAAACTGTGACCCATAGCTGTGTGATGTTATTATTAAAAGGTGCAGTGATATGGTAAATACAGAGGCACTTATTTTTCTGGTTTCAGCATGTCCGTTAAGTTTGCTCAGACAACATTAATTTGATGAATAAATACTGTAAATCTGGAAAGATTATGCTTTGGCCCTGCTGTGCTAGGAAATGACAGAAATCTTCATTCTTTACCACTGCACGTATGTAAAGCAGTCAGTTTGCCTTTCTATAACGAAAACAACTTTGCCTTGTTTGGATGTGTCACGCTAATAAATGGCTTTGTTGATAAAATCAGCAAGCTTTGTCCAGGTGTTTTGTTCGCGTAAACACGTTTAAAGCCCCGCCGATACTACAGCTTTGAAGTGGACACATTTTCATAAATACTCTCATCCAAATAAACAACAGTCTCTTGCATTTCGGGCAGGCCTAGTGGATTCGAGAATGACCTCCTTACGCTTTGGGCTCCCCGTGTTTAGCTTCACAAAGTTAGACATGGCGATAGTGTCTCCTGGCTCAGTCGCTCTCCCATTGCTGGCAATGTGGCACAGCTGCTCATTCGTTCTGCCTCTGTGCCCGCGCAGTGAAGCCCTCGCCGAATTGGTTGTTTGCGTCGTGACAGTGTCTGTGTCCGACAGAGGGGTTCCTGGCAATGTGTTTGTGTCCTCGCTCATTGGCGGGCTCTGAAATCCCGAGTCAGCTTCAGAGGTGCTGACGGAGTGCAAGTAGTTGTGGTGGTGGCGAGAGGACTGCACGTCCCACACCGTTTGCAGCGCTTGTGGCCGCTTTGCCGTGCCGGTCTCAGGAAGCGGTGCGTAGTCGTTGCTTGGCGACTGTAGGAAGTCTTTCGCGGCGGTGGCGGCCTCGCACCGGCTGTTTCTGACAGACAAGTTATCGAGCGCAATGCCCGAGTCGGCGGCAGTCGGGGAGAGCATGGGAGATGCGCACTGGGCTCGGCCTATTTTGGCCCCGAGGGGCACAGGGGCGGGTCCGGGGTCTGGGTCAAGACCCGCCCGCAACACACCCTGCCGGATGTCATCGGGCAGCTTGTCCAACTGCCGCCCGCGCAGATTCTCAGATGGAAAGCAGGAGCCTTCCAATGTCCGGTAGACAAGCCTGAGGAATGGGAAGTCGGTGAGATACACAGTCGTGCCTTAAATAATAAGTGTGTAACAATGAGTTCGTAATTTTAATCTCTCTCTGTGATGTCCGTGTTCTGGGGTTCATAATTTTTTTTTAAATGTGCAACAATGCAACACCACCGAGCGATTCCAGGGCCACAATCATATTTAGTGAATTCATTAATATATGTACATTGTGGTGTAATGTAATGTCTGTAGTGGCAGAAGGGATCGCTTTAATCAATTACAAGCTATACGGTTTAAAGATGATTGATTCTCACGCACACAGGCCATTCGATCTGTATTACCTACAATTTCTGTGTAAAAATTTTTTTACAAAACAAAAAACGAGGGCTTATTTATCGGTGCGAGGTCAAGCTGCAGGGTGCGGCGAGTAAAGAGCGATTACCTGGGCAGCAGTGCGACCAACGGCGTGACGACGCAGACCAAGTAGAAGAGAGGCTGCGTCATGAGTATCTCCATGATCATGTAGGGGTTTGAAGGGAGCGGCGCAGGTGATGCAGATGGCGTTGTAGGCGAGCACAAACAGGAAGTAGAGTAGCAAGCTCAGGGCCATGCTCCCCCAGTGAATCCACGTCTGCAGGGAGCACACAGGGCACAACATACATGAGCCTCATTTCACTCTTTCCAGTCTGTGTATCTATGTATGTTGAACTTCTTTCGCACCGTACGTCGCCAACTGTGCTGATCGGAGGTGCGGAAACACTCGTCACTTATCATCATAAAGCCCCTTGTGGGCGCCATGGTGGCAAGATGTTAACTACCTTGCCTGGCATACAGGAGGTCGTGGGTTCAATCCCGACTCTGACATCTATATATGTGGATTTAGCATATTCTCTCCATGGTCACGTGGATTTTTCTCCGAGTCCTCTGGTTTTTACCTCCACATTTATAAACATGCATTTAGAGTATTTGGCTGCAAGAAATATCCACGTAATAAGGTCACTTCTGAAAACAGCTATATTGGTCAGAGTAGGCCTTACCTGGTAAAATAAAACATAGTTTAGTTATAGAGTTTTTCGGAGAATTAAACTCCTGAGCATCCGCCATCAAATAACACGAACTATGAACAAGCGTGCGCCGTACCCAGGTCTTGGTTTCGATCGCCAAGTGCAGAAGAATGGAGAAGAGCGAGACGGTGGTGATTGGTGTTCCCCACGTGAAAATGTCAATGTCGGATCCACGGTAGGCCTTGAGAACAGCGTACACACACAGTTAGGGCAGTCGTTTGTGTGACCCCACCGTTAACTCTCTTTCCTTTACCGAACAAACCTTCTACCTGGCCATCCTGGGGTACTGGGGTACAGCACTCAAATGACAAATCCATGGTTGGTAGGCAACTCCGTATTACACTTCCAAGACTATTGAATTAGTACCACTTTGTGAGAAAATTATCAGTGGTTTGAGAAAATACTGGTGCTGGTCATAGGAATGTGGAGTTGTTTCAACCACTGGTTTAGGGCCACCAACAGAGATGAGCACGTGCCCATGCTCATTTTGAACAAGAAGCTCCTTTATCAATGTGGTGAAAAGTTTACTGAATGTTTTGTGGAGTAGACTGTTTTAGTAGATAGTATAAGCATGCATCACCATGTTTTAGGAATGTAATGATTTGGTTAAATATATCTAAACTTGACCATTTGTCACGGCAGTGCATTATAATTAAGAATTAAAAAACATTTGCCAAATTACAATTTAAAGAAAGTCAAACTTTGCACGTAAAGTCTTTATTAATATCAATGTGAACGAAAGAGTCAGAAAGTATAAAATACATTTTAATCATTCATATTTACATTATCCTATTATTTTCACTGTGTAAGCAAAACTGATGGTCATCATCATACGAAACAGGACAGAAAAAAATACACGTGATTTTTCACTTGACGTCGAATTCTGCTGAAGCACACCTTTGAACAATGCTGTAGCGCTGAGCAGTGGGTGTAATTGAGATGTGTTGAAGAAACGTGTGGTGGTGGTGGTGCTGGTGGTTTAGCAGGCGAACGGAACGCTTACCAAATAGGGGAGGAAGAAGCAGACTATGCTCTGGTACAGTGCGTCCACCATGGTCACCCAGAACAGACTTGGTCGGTACGCCTACAGGGAGCCCGGCAAACACAAACCAGTGTGTCGTCAGTGCTTCACGAGGGTCTGAGAGGGCTGCTCTTCTCTTACCTCTCCAGCACATCTCCGTGGTTTTGTTTGTATGCTTTATTTGCTCAATCAGCATAAGTGTAACAGCATATCAATTATACATCGACCATTGAACTATTTTATTAACGCACACAAATTCGAGGCGTACAACATGAGCATGAGACTCGATCACCTCATACGTCATTACACACGTCTACAGACTACGTCGCGTGGTACTGCGGAGGTTAATTTTTGCGTCGTTGCTGCGCGTCGTTCGGCACAATGTCCACCGTTCCGCTCCATGCCCTGAGAAGCCTCTTCGGGAACCGAACACGCACCCAGCGTGTGGAGCCGAATGCCAGTTCGGTTCCGGAGGAAGTTCTCGACAACATAGAGCGAAAACCTCGGACACCGTGCCAAAGGACGCGCAGCGTGAGACCCGTGAACGCACCGGAGAGCCGCGGCACAGTGTTTGCCGTACGCACCAGCGAGTTCTGGCCGTTCTGGTACAGGTGGGGTCTGGCCAGCAGCGTCTCGGCAGAGACGTCCTTGTCGAGCACGCCCGTCACCAGGGGCGGCAGCGAGCAGAAGAGCAGATTGAACATCATGAGATACCACTGGTCGATCTGAGATGAGCCTGAGAAGCCACAGAAGAACTGGTACCAGAAGAGCAGCGTCACGAACGCCTGCGAAGGGGGAACGCACGCGCACACGCACACGCACACGTTAAATCCACGCCAACTCCATACATGCACAGTTGCTACTGAGGAAGCGTAGAACTCACTACAATGACATGCTGGCACGATTATGTATGCATGCATGTTTAACTTCTTTCACACTATGTGTAGCAAACCGTGGTGATCGGAGGTGCGGGAAAAGGACAACAAACTAGACAAAAAAAGTAGTTCAATTTATAAAGTTAGTTAGGAAATTAGTTTTCAATTTATTATCAATATCACTGGTCATATTTATCATTTTTAATGTATTTTTTTGCAATTTGAAGTAATATCCATTGTACAACAATCCAGTTCATTGTCCTAGTAAAATCAGCCTGTTTCAACCTCTTGTGGAGCGGGGGATAACTCAGAACTTGGGTCCTCAATCAGTTTGTGTGCACATTAGGGTTGCCACCTGAGGTACAATAAAGAATCAGGATGTATTGTGGGATATATATGATGTTTTAATACCAGAAGAGGGGAAACATGCATGTAAATGCATAGTCTTTTGAGTGGTGTATTGGCACGCAACTGATTTGGGTTCGAACCTACGACCTCCTGTATACACGGCGAGGCAGTTATCATCTCGCCACCGTGATGCCCAGAAGTTGCCTTGGTGAGAGGACGATCCTGAAGAGTGCGTGTGTGTGCGTGTGTGTATGTGCAGAGTGGGCAAGCTCGTACCGCATTCTTGTAAAAAAAGTAGAGCACCATGTTGGCCAGGCGGTCATAGCACCAGTGTCCGTGCACCAGCAGCAGCTTGTGAAGGTGTCGGAAACGCGGCATGGCATAGTCGCTTGACATCACTGCCTGTTGGGAAATGAATCATAAGGTGGCTCATTTTAGCCAAGGAGTTTGAAATAACAGAGATTGCTGCAGCAATCACACGTTCATGTGTACCCACAAATACACTGCAGTGGTTGGTAAGCCTAGGTTTAGAGTTGTCAACATTTAAAGAAAAAATATTTCTTATTTAAATGTATTACAAACATCATTCAGTTTATCTCAGAAGCTAAGCAGCGTCGAGCCTGGACAGTGCTTGGATGGGTGACCACCATGCAGAGAGATTTTTTCAGCGGACGGCAGTGCAGAAATATCCACTGCCTTCATGAACCTACAATGGCCAGCATAGTGAAGCATGGCCAATTAACCCTGATGACTTGTATGGTGTGGGGAGGCCCTCATCCAGCAGTGAAAGGGCAAAAGGGCTGTGCATGTACACATCCTATTTCTCAAATTAACCAATTTGCATCCACAAAACAAATGTCGGTCCATTGCAGCTGCAATAGACAACCAGAAAATGATAAAATTCGATTGAAATTATATTATGAGCGGCTACGCTTTGCTCATTTGTGTTTGGCTTGGAAGCATATCACGCAGCATTTCCTTGAACATTCACAGATCATCTTCTTCACAAACTTCACACCAACCTGCATTCCTTCTTGACCAGAGATTCCCACTCCCACATCGGCCACCTGGATCATGCTGACATCATTGGCTCCATCCCCTGCGGGGCAGTGGAAGGAAGACAGAGTTGATGTAGCAATGGTCACGATGATGTTAAACAGGGTACAATAAATGCGTACGTTATTCACCCTGATATCAAAATTAAATGCTGTGGAAGAAGCGCTTAATAAAGGTCGACATTCATTTCCCCGTTTGCCAAAGTCAGTTTACATTGCTACACCTCTCATCGAGCTGAATGCCACAACTACAACCTGGGAGAATTGGAAAATTTGGAGATTGGCTGATTGGAAATGCAATAATTGGAAACATTTCAGCTCAATCCTAAGAAGTCAAAACGTATATATTATCTGAGATTTAGAATCATTGAAATTTGTGGAGGTAATACATTTATGCATTTGTAAAAAAACTATTCTGATTTAATAGCCCATAGCCTAACTCATGTGTAGTCTGAGTGGCAATTCTAATCAGTATTTTTGTAAAACAGGCAAATTACTGCTAGAATATTTTCTACAGATATTGTATTGTCATTTCCTTCTTATTTTAAGCATAGAAGTGGTACCTTATGTGATATTATGTTATTTATAGACGGCCTTCGATCAAGGCGCATCTGCTGCCAACAAGTGAAATCCGGCCCTGAAACTTTTGTTAAAAATAAGCAAAAACAAAGTGTTTCCTGATATTGACCCGTTCACCGTCATTATGTTCAATGTCGCAGCGGCGTGGGCGTGCGCACGCGCGCTTACCGATAGCTAGCGTCATGACCTTGAGCTTCTCCCGCACCAGCTTCACCACCATGCTCTTCTGCAGCGGGGTCGAGCGGCAGCAAAGCACTGAGCGGCAGTGGCGCGTCAGCTTCAGGAAGTTCTCCTCCAGGTCCTTGTTGAGTGCGAACGACAGTGTCTTGCCGTCGATGACCAGCCCGCGGCGTGCGGTCACCACGGTACCGGCCATCGCAGATGACAGTGCCACGTCCCCCACGCTCAAGCTCTTGTTCTCGATCATCTGAAGCAACTGCTTCAGCAGCGCGTCGCACGCCACCTGTAGACGCGAGCAAGCACAACATTCGATGTCGGTGCTGCCCTCTGCTTCTCCGGTCATCCTCTCCGGTCCTCCTCATCGGACAAAGACGGTCACTGCATCGCGCGCTTCTGCGGCCGTCTGGAATGCTCTTCCTTCTGACATTAAGAAGCCTCTGGAGATATGCAATTTTAATTCTAGATTGAAAACGAATTTCTTTAGAACTGCCACGGAAGTCGTGGCACCTCTGGCTGGTGAGCTGGCGAGGGTACCCACCAGGCTCTCTGTGTTGAGAGTGATGATTTCGTCGCTGGCGTCCAGAAGTTTGCAGGAGAACGCGATGTTAATGGCAGTCTCCTGTTTGTCTCCTGTGAGCACCCAAATCTATCGTAGATTCATGACAGCAACAGAAAGAGGCACACGGTTTATATGTGCATTGTTCGTACAGTATATTCAATGCCAAGCACACAAATGTATTTCTCTTTGAAGAAACTTTGTTGTGTAATCAGAAATGTGAATGCCAACAATTCAAGAATGTATGCATAGTGTTATATTGTCCATATTTTCACCTCCACATGGAGTACAGTAAATACAGGTGATTCTTACAATAGCTGAGTAACAGCACACGTAAAAGTAGCATAGAATGCCTTTGGTACGTTGTTTAAAAAATGTAACCAAAATATTTTTTGCAGTTCGGATATTTATCTGACGATACTCCTGCTAATCCATAATCAGTGTATCCTTAGGGTCGTCAACTCCAATCCAGAGTGTGACCTGCGGTGTTGTGCTGTGGCAGTGTCCCTCTCACACTGTGAACGATATGAGTTCAAATCATCATCAAGGGGATCTATGAAACTATTTTTTTAATTTTACCAGCTAAGGCCCACTTAGCTATATAGCTAGTTTTCAGAAGCGACCTGGCCACAAATTATCGCTCAACGAAGTGGCTTATAATGTGGAAATGTATAGCAGTCAAATACTCTACATGCATTTTTTTTTAATGTGGAGGGGAAAAAATCAGAGGACCTGGAAAAAAATCCATGTGACCACAGGAAAAACATGCAAACTCCAAATATACAGGCATCAGGGTCGGGACCAAACCCATGACCTCCTGTATACCAGGCAAGGTAGTTAACATCTCGCCACCGTGGCGCCCTACTCAGCACATCATTCCTCTCAGGCCAATATAATAGGTACCACATTGTGGAAAGAATATCCTGGTCCCTTACATAAATGTGACATTTACACCATTACTTCAGGACTGCGAATGAAAATTGCTTAATATAGTGGCATTGACCTCTTGACTAACAATCATTTGTGTAAATAGCGCTGAAATGAATATTATTTGCAATGCCTCGAACCACAGGTATCCCTTGTAAAAGAGATTCCTGGCCTCACTTTGCTCTTATCTCGCTATAAATGAAGGTCATCATTCTCAAATAAACTCTGCTGATGATACCCAGAAGGTGATTGTTTACCTAAACCAATGCTGCTGGTTAAAATAAGTCTAAGAAGTCATGAGGCAGACAGAACAAAAAATATTTCTTACGACATCGATTAAATTACTTACCCACAATGCTCCACTTGTCATACTTTATTATTATTATTTTTACATGCACTGTCATAGGAACAGATTCACTTGGTGAGATAAAAAAATATATAATTTTACATAACTTCCTATGCTTTTCAGACTAACAGCTTTTGGATTGGCGATTGGCCGATGAGCGGCGATTAGCTGATGAGCAGCAATTGGTCGATAAGCGGCGATTGGCCCGACGAGTGGTGATTGGCCTGATGTGAGCAGTGACTGCATGTGAAGAGGCCTATGCAGAGAGGGTGTGTGCAAGCGAGTGCAAGGCGGGCATGCACCTGCAGGCCGGCGTCGCGCAGGGCGGCGATGGTTTCCGGCACCCCATCTTGCAGCCGGTCTTCGATACCCGTGGCACCTGCAGCACCGCACCGCACCATCGCTCGTCAGCTCGCCGGTTGCACTTCGCCGCATCGATGCTCACCATTTGACATCATAATTCTCATGTTTTCCCTGGCTCTTAACTCGTAATTTGTCATTTTGCCCAAGGTGTCTATGAACCTAAGAAAGATGTGCAACCTGATTGTTGCATGTTGCTAAACCTACGTTTGTGAGTATTCTCCGTAGACAAGCAGGTAGAGTAATGGCTTCATAACGATCATAAACTAACATTGAGATCATCCACCACTGGGTCTTCCAGACCAATATTTTTTCGTTGTTTAAAAACAAATGCTGGATCAGTTTCTACATTGCAGTCTCATCAGGAGGGTGCAGCCGATTAAAATAATGCCATGTATTTACAATGCCGTTGCTACAGGTCAAGCATCTTCAGCCTAGTGGTATTTATTTAAAAGGCCATGGCTTCCTGAAAAGACTCAGAGAGCTCAAACCTGGCCCAAAGTTTGCACAGTTCACACAAATACTACTGACAAACATTGGTGTTCAAGGCCCATAGTTCCATGAATCGGTCCATGAATTTTAATATGATTCCATATAGACACATCACAGCAATCGGTCGACTTAGTCGGCACGATGCCTGTGTAGTGGCGGTGCGCGCCGACAAGGTGGGGGCGTGGGTGTGCGCGCGCCGGGCGTGGCTACATCGAGTGTGGGGGGTGTTGACGCACACTGACAGTGATGGATCACGGGGCGGCGCTGGGTGCGTGGTTGTGCACGCAGACACGATATGGGAAAGAGGATCGTAGAGAGAGCGCTGGGTGATTGGTCAACTTGGGTGGGTGCTCTCAGCGACGTCCGCATGGAGGACTATAAAGGGGGACGCGCGAGAGCACTCGAGGAGTTATTACCAGCTGAAGATCGAAGACGGAGTTGAAGAGATAGGGCCCTGAGGCCCCTAGCCCCGCTGTCCTTGTAAGGGCCGGGACCCTGTGCGGCTCAGAGGCGAGGCTGTGGGACCCGGGGCCTGGTGTCCATGTGGAACCAGGTTGTGGGACCCAGAGTCGAGACTAATAACCCAGCTGGGTGTGTTCCAAGAAGCTACGGGGCGTGAGAGCCCGTGTGGGTATAGCTCAGGGGAACCTCGTGGGTTATGTGGCAGTTGCCACCCGTGTAACAGTTTGGTGTTAATAAAAAGGTGTGCTACCCGTCAAGGTCGTCTCCCGCCAAGTGACTACTTTACAACTGGCGTCAGAAGTAAACCTGTCTTCACAAACGATGGATACCAGGAAGACTACCCGAACCCACGACCGAGATCGGGGAAACGACGACGTACCGGAGCCACAAGCATCGGGAGGCGAGGAAGATGAGACGCCACCGATGCAGCACCGCGCGGCGATGGACGACGCTCCGCTCGCCTCCAACACCGGCCTTCAGGAAGCACACTCCTGCCTGGCGGAGTTGTTGCTCGCCGCCGCTTCGATTTTGTCCGAAATCACGGCTTCAGGAGCCGGGACGGCGACTACGAGGGTGGAGGAGGGAGTGCGGCCGCCAGGATCCCGCCAGAACGCGCTTCGCGCCAAAAGTTTTGAAATTGGCGCCATTTTCGAGGGTCCACCTGCAATTGGCGGGAAGCGTGGACACCACGTGCTCGGAGACATCCACTCCACACAGCCCGCGTCATTGGCGCGTGACGAGACTCTCCACCATGCGCCTGCCGACGGAGCCGACATTTTCATTGACTACAGCGGTGCGCGGGAAAAGCATTCTTCGGGGGACGACGACCAGGTCCTCCAACAGAGACTGCCCGCGCTCACGGCATTCAAGGCGGACGGGGGCGACTGGGGGGCCTTCCAACGAAGGTTCCTCGCGCATCAGGAGATGTCGGGGTGGTCCGACACCACTGCCCTACGCGCGCTGCCGGCGATGCTCGACGACGACGCACTTGCGGCCTTCACATCCGCCCCAAGGTCGTCCCGCTCTACGCTCCAGGCCGCGCTACATCTCATGGCTAAGGTGTTCGGACCGCCCTCGACCTGTCGCCACCAATTTTACGAACGACGTAAGGTTGATGGAGAAACTACACTCGCCTATCGCACATCGCTGCTCGCCCTGGCGGACGCCGCCTTTCCACGCATGGACAAGGAGGGGAAGGACGCCATGGTGACGGAGCAGCTGCTGGCATTGGCACACGGGCTGGGAGTGCCCATAAATACGGCCGACGAGATGGACATCTGCTCCTTGGGGGTGGCGACAAGTATTCACGCACACGAGGTCCTCAAGCGAAAGCGGCCGGTCATCTGTGCATCGGCGGGGATCGCGACACCAGCCGCGACGGGCACCGAGCCTCAGACTGCGACGGTTCGGGAGGAGGCCTTCACCGTCTCAAGACCGAGGGAGTGGAGATCGGGGGGTCGTTCGCCCGTACGATCCCGCAAGCTGGAGCAACCGAAACCTACGACGTCCATGGTCTTGTGTTACAACTGCGGCCTCCGGGGTCACGTCGCGTCCGGGTGCCGGGCTCCGCGTCAGCGCGCCTCGGGACCACGTCCGGACGACGACCAAGGCCCCAAGTCGTCCCAGCAAACCCCGGCAAGTCGCGGCACCCCACACGCTCGGTCCACATACACGGCACACTCGGGTCGCCGCTTCGCGGTGGGGGGACCGCGTATGGGTACCGGGGATTCGGTTCGTCGAGGGGGGTTCGTACACGGGCCGGGGGCAGTCGAGTGGTCAGAGTTGGCCCACAGGATAGTGGCTGCGTCGGCCGGGTCGTCCGTAGTAACGGGGTTTATTGACGGGGTCGAGGTCCGGGTGCTGGTGGACACGGGTGCGTCGGCCACCATCATTTCGGACCTTATTTATAACATCCTTCCGGTCCAATGCCGACCCCTTCTCCCGGTGGACGTACCGTTTTACGCGGCGAACGGAGGATCCTTGGGAATAATCGGACAGATTCGGGCCACTATTTGTATTGGTGATATCAAATTGGCGGGTCCCATTTTTGTGTCATCGTCTCTGGCGGTTCATTGTTTACTGGGCACGGACTTTTTGGCTAAAATGCCCATTAAAATTCTCATTGATCAAGCCTGCATTGAACTTCCGTCGGGTCGGCGGGTTGCATTTTTAACGAGTCCTACCAAAATACGCACGGTTTGTGCAACGGTTCAGGCGCTGGCAACTCAGCCTGTGCGGGTGCCCCCGGGATCGCAAATGTTGGTACCCCTGCGGTTGCGAAAACCCCTGGGGATCGACGGGGGGGACCAGGGAGTCCTGTTAGGGCCATCTAACAGAGCAGTTGGGGGCCTCGACTTAGCAGTAGCTCAGACCATGGTGCGGGCGGACAGAGATCCGTTCGTGATGGTTCTGAATACGGGGCCGCGGACGGCTGTAATTACTCAGGGCACGGTGCTGGCTCACGCGGCGCCGCTGCCCGTCGACGGAGGGCTCGTTGCGCATGCCGACTCCAGCCTCGATACACACCCTCCATCGGATGAGGGGACAGAATGGCTCGACTCGTTGTGTGCTGGGTCTAGTGACTTGTCTAATGTGCAGTTGGGAGCGTTGAGGGGCCTGCTACTCGAATTCGCCGACATCTTTAGCAGACATAAGTACGATATTGGCTGCACGGATTTGTTGCGCCACCACATAGCGACCGGTGATGCGGCCCCTATTCGGCAAAATCCCTTCCGGCTCAGCCCGGCCGAGAAGGAACATGTGAGATCGGCTGTTAACGACATGCTGGCTGCCGACATCATTTCGCCCTCTTCCAGTTCGTGGGGGGCTCCCATTGTCCTTGTTAAGAAACAGGACGGCTCCTTGCGGTTTTGTGTGGATTTTCGCCGCCTAAATAAAATCTCTATGGCCGACGCGTATCCACTACCTAGGATGGATGAGTCGCTGGATGCCCTGGCGGGAGCACAGTATTTTTCGACGCTTGACCTGCTTTCAGGATTTTGGCAATTGCCCCTCGATGAGGAATCAAAACCTAAGACTGCTTTCCGGACACCAGGAGGCCTATTTGAATTCAATCGCTTGCCCATGGGCTTACATTCCGCTCCCGCCACGTTCCAGAGGCTCATGGAATTGGTTTTGTCAGGACTCCAATGGGACACCTGTTTGATCTATCTCGATGATATCATCGTTTTCAGCCGGACTTTCGAGGAGCACCTCCAGCGGTTGAGAGGGGTGTTCCTCAGGATGCGTTCCGCTAAATTAAAATTTAAACCCGCGAAATGTCACCTGCTCCGGGAATCGGTCCGGTACTTGGGCCACATTGTTGGCCGTTCAGGGATATCCACGGACCCTGCTAAAACGCACTATGTCAGCTCATGGCCAACGCCAACCTCAGTCACGGAAGTCCGCAGCTTCATAGGATTCGCCTCCTACTACCGCCGGTTTGTCGAACATTTTGCCACCATTGCCAGGCCCCTACACGCTTTGACGGCTAAAGGGGTAAGGTTTCACTGGGGCCCAGATGAGGAGGCCGCGTTCTGCTCCCTTCGGGACGCCTTGGTGCGAGCTCCCCCCTTGTGTTACCCCGATTTCACGCAACCGTTTCTGCTTGACACGGATGCCAGTAACACGGGTATCGGGGGAGTGCTCTCACAGGTGGTCGGGGGGGTCGAACGGGTGGTCGCCTACGGTAGTAGAGTTCTGTCACCTGCGGAACAACGCTACTGTGTGACTCGTCGTGAATTGCTTGCGATCGTTTTCTTTATACAGCAATTCAGACCGTATCTCTACGGACGTCATTTTACGGTTCGTACGGACCACGCGGCTCTCCAATATGCAATGCGGGTGGCGCAACCCTCCGGCCAATTGTCCCGATGGCTGGAGGTCCTACAAGACTACCAGTTCACGACGATTTACCAAAAGGGATTGCGGCACTCGAATGCGGATGCCTTGTCGCGGTTGCCGCCTCGCTCGGAATGCGCGTGTCTTCTGGGATCGGCGCGGTGTAAACCCCCTGTCGCCGCTCGCGCCGGAGTTTTGCTCGCCGCCACTGATGCTCCAGAGGTTGTTTTGACCGCCGCTCCCACGGGCGGGGACTCGCTGCTCGCGTTACCTCTTATCGAGTGGAGCCGTCTCCAAATGGCCGACAGCTCCCTACTCACGCTACGGCGGAAGGCGGAGGCTCCCGAGGGGGGGGGACGCGGGTCAGTTCGTGGGTGGTCAGACAAGGCCTCCTGATGAAGTGGGACAATATGTCCCGGCGCCATACGCTCGTTGTGCCATCTGCTTTACGGGGTAGGGTCGTTCTGGCTGCTCACGAACGCCTCATGCATTTGGGATTTCACAAAACGCTTGCCCTACTCCAACGGGACTATTATTGGCCGGGTATGGGGAGCGACGTGGAGAACATCCTCAAGGGATGTGTGGGGTGCGCTCGAAGGAAACCGCCACAGATCGCGGCTAACCCACCGCTACAATCCATTCAGGTTTCGCGCACGAACGAATTGGTTGCGCTCGACATTTTGGGGCCCTTTCCCGCTACACCTAGGGGAAACAAATACCTGTTGGTCGGCGTAGAGTACTTCACCCGATGGCCTATGGCGTGGCCACTCGCCAACCAGTCGGCTGCGGCGGTGGCGGACGCCTTTGTACAGGGCTACGTTTTGGACAAAGGCGCCCCAGAACGCTTGCTGACGGACCAAGGAAAGAATGTTTCGAGCGTTTTGTTGCGCGAGGTGTGTGACCTGTTGGGTACAAAAAAAGTGCGTACCTCCCCGTACCACCCGCAGACTGATGGAATGGTGGAACGTCTGAACAGAACGATCACTTCTATGCTGTGCCAACAGGTCTGCAATGATCAAGTTGATTGGGACTTACAGGTACCCGGGGTACTCGCGGCCTATCGTATGGCCCCACATGCGGCAACGGGCTTTTCCCCATTTTTTCTCATGTATGGGCGGGAGGCTGATCCGCCTATGGATGTCCAACTGGGGATTTCCCAGCCACGTGCGAAATCCAAATTGGCCGACCACATTAAATTTAATATCGCCAAGCTGGCTGAAGCGCGAGAGGCTGCAAGGTTAAATTCAAGGTCGCGCCAGGTCGCTAACGAAAGGTTGCATGAACGGAAGGTGCATACGCACGATTGGAAAACAGGCGATAAGGCCTGGCTGCATTGTCCACATGCACCGTTGGCCACGTCCCCTAAGTTGTTGAGACCATGGAGGGGACCGGTGGAAATCGTGCGTGTTGCGCGACCCCAGTGTATCCAGATTAAATGGGGAAAACGCCGTTGGTACGTACACCCCTCCCGGCTGAAACCTTTCGCGGAAACCCATGACCTCCCTGTGTGCCGTAACGACCGAGCGTGTGATGGGGCCGTCGGCTCGGGGTGGCAGGTGTCGCAGTCTGATCCTCACGTGTCTCCGCCTGACCTACTCCCAGGTGTCGCGGACCTGACGGCGGCTGACCACCGAGAGCCGGAATCCCGAGGCACGCACGGATCTACAATACCTGGCCCGTGCCTCCCTGGACTGCCGGCGCCACCGGACGGTCAACCGCGTCTGGCTCCGTATGACGGACCGGCCAGACGGACTCGTGCTAAGACTAGCCACTTTTCCTGAAGGGGGGGGGGGGGGCCCGAGATTGCGGCTCGGCGCCACGTTCCCCTTCTGCCCAGTACATTGCCCCGTTCAAGGGGTGATCGGAAAATGAAGGGACGCTGTATGAGTCATTTTTGTATATACGTTTATTGTTGTCTCTCGCCGCTTGTATATATTGTTCTGTTGTTGCGGTGATTTGCTCTGCTTACGGTGGGCGGAGTTCTTATTGTGTTGTTGTAATTGTTGTTGATGTTACGGGGCACACACTAATTGGAGGGGGAAATAAAAAATAAAAATTTTAGCAGCCGGGTCGGCTGCGAGCTATGTGGTAGGGGGTGATGTAGTGGCGGTGCGCGCCGACAAGGTGGGGGCGTGGGTGTGCGCGCGCCGGGCGTGGCTACATCGAGTGTGGGGGGTGTTGACGCACACTGACAGTGATGGATCACGGGGCGGCGCTGGGTGCGTGGTTGTGCACGCAGACACGATATGGGAAAGAGGATCGTAGAGAGAGCGCTGGGTGATTGGTCAACTTGGGTGGGTGCTCTCAGCGACGTCCGCATGGAGGACTATAAAGGGGGACGCGCGAGAGCACTCGGGGAGTTATTACCAGCTGAAGATCGAAGACGGAGTTGAAGAGATAGGGCCCTGAGACCCCTAGCCCCGCTGTCCTTGTAAGGGCCGGGACCCTGTGCGGCTCAGAGGCGAGGCTGTGGGACCCGGGGCCTGGGGTCCGTGTGGAACCAGGTTGTGGGCCCAGAGTCGAGACTAATAACCCAGCCGGGTGTGTTCCAAGAAGCTACGGGGCGTGAGAGCCCGTGTGGGTATAGCTCAGGGGAACCTCGTGGGTTATGTGGCAGTTGCCACCCGTGTAACAGTTTGGTGTTAATAAAAAGGTGTGCTACCCGTCAAGGTCGTCTCCCGCCAAGTGACTACTTTACACCTGCACAATTTTGTATCCCTTGTGCAGGTGTTTACAAATTAACATTTTATGACTGACATGGCCTGGCTTTAAACCCACATCAGATGAGCAATGATCAGCAATGTGCTAATCACTGCTCATCTCAAAGCACTAACCTATAAAGACAAAGATGCCCCTTATAAAATTAACAGACTGTTGGGGCAAGTGCTGTTAGCGAGCACATTATGAAGGGTTGCGTGACCAGCACCACGCCTGGCCGCCTTTGTCTCCTCAGTGGCGATGATATTTACACACCGCAACAGGTACTCATTTGAGGCTGAGTCGACCTAGGGGATGCCCACGACCGGTTCAGATAATCGTAACTGGTGTTGGCCATAAGCGAGAATCTAACTCGGGTCGCAGGGTTCGTAGTGCAGCATGCCAAGGCACACACACCTCCAATCAGCATGGTTGCCTATGTTCGGTGTGAAATAAGTTCAACATACATACATACAAACACACACAAATGCCTACAAACACCCTGTCCCTAGCACAGCTGATGTCTGAGATGAGAAAAAAAACCAAGCCTCTCCACTCGTCGGTGGCTTCCCCCTTTAACGGGTGGCACTCATCCAACTGCCTCGGACAAAAACCCCGCGGGGAGCGTGGTGTGGCGCGGGCACAGGTGGGGGGGGGGTGGGGGCACCCACCGAGCAGCTGCATGTCCCTCTCGAGGCGCAGGGCCGACTCGAACAGCATCTCCTCCCTGCAGTCGATGGCCGCCTCGGCCTCCAGATGGCTCTTGGCCCACGTCGCGTACTCATCTTCCGTCAGCTCCTGCGAGTTCACACACAGCGCAGCCACACGTTCCATGCTCACCTGCGCTGCCATGCGTGCGCGCGCTACGACACGCGCTACATACGTGCCTGTGTACAGACGTGTGCGTGTGCTTGTATCAAAGATTCCCCCGTGTATCCTGAACAGATTGTTGGGGAAAGTGCTGTTTGCGAGCACCTATGAAGGCTGGCATGGTACACGAGGGGGCGGGTGGCCAGCACTACACCAGACCGCCTTTGTCTCCCCAGTGGCAATATTTACACACCACAGCAGGTACTCATTTTGGGCTGAGTCGATCTAGCGGAGGCCCAGGACCGGCTCAGACAATCGTCACTGGTGTTGGCCGTAAGCAGAATCGAACTCAAGTCGCCGGGTTCGTAGTGCAGCACGCTAACTGCTATACTAACGCTCCCCACAAATAGTGACACACACACACATGCAGACACACATAAGCTGATGTATAGTTTAGTCCAAGCGCACCGCTACCAACGTGAACCTTGTTATTTTTTAAGTGTGGGTACTCCCACACCTTCCAAGATGTTTGGCCAGCGTGGAAGATTAGGCCAAGTACCCTCGAGAGGGCTCTATTAAAGGTGGACCGAAATCAAAATTACGAAATAAAGATGGAGAGAAGAGCAGTTTGGAGCACTATTGGGAAGCTGAACTTAAAAATGAAGATGAACGTATCGGTGTGATTATTACTCAGAGGCTGTGACATGCATTATAAGCACGATCATTCACGACACAATTTAAGAAAAAGTGAAGAGTGTGGAAAGAAGCACGGAGAGATGCGTGCTTGTACATTGAGAGATGGAACGAGGCACATGTGGATTAGAGAACATCCGCAGGTGGTCAATGACTTCATTCAAAATGTGAAGTGAGGGGGTTTGGGCGGATGGGACGATGGCTGATGGCCAAGATAATCATTGGAGTGGCAGCCAAAGAATGGAATGTGTGCGAATGTGAGCACACTGAAGAGATGGAGCAATGAAATTAGTTCACGTGCAGGTGCGAGGTGGATTAGTACTGGACATCACAGGATTGTGAGAGTCGCGGCAGCTTGAGGAGGCTTTAATATGGCAGTGGATTGATCATGGCTGATGATGTGATTACTTACATTACACTTACAAACATACAAGTAGCCATGCGTACCTAACTACGTGTGTGTGCATGCGCACGTGTACAAACATTGTGAGGAGCGGTAATGCAGCAGTTAGCACGTTGCACGTCGCTCCCAGTGACCTGGGTTCCATTCCCGCTCATGGTCAACACCAGGGACGATTATATTATCTGAACCGGTCTTGGGCCTCCCCGAGTTCGACTCAGACTCAACTGAGTACCTGGTGCGGTCTGTAAACATCGCGAAGGCGGTTGGGCATCTTACTGGTCACCCAATCCCTCGTGTGCTGTGCAGGCCTTCATAGGTGCTGGCTAACAGCACTTGCCTCAATAGTCTGTTAAGGCCTACACGGGGATCTTTATCTTTGTTTGTATGTACGGGAACATACAACTTCCTTTTTTCACTTGAATTTTAAGCAAAATTGCATTGTGAGCCAGTACACAAATATCTATTTACGTCATGGGTGAAGCATCCACTGTAGAAAGGGCTTAGAGATAAGTGTTGTGTTTGTGTGGGGCCTCGATCGATAGCGTACAATGTAAGAGGGACAGATAAGAGCAAGTTGTCATGGAAACATCTGCCGCTTTGAGATTCGAGTTGTAATGGACAGGGGTCAAAGGTGTCACTGGTGCTAGACCTGCCCATGAAGAGAGGACAGAAGGCGCCCAGCAAGACGAAAGCTATTGCCAGGTGATCACAATTCAATTGTCCAAATCGAATTAAAGCTTCTCCGACCTATGCACATGTTTGTGAAACGAAGCTGAGGCAATAACTAGAGGCAAGACAAATATATTAAAGGCAGACATAAAGGACCGGGGAAGGTGGGCGGATGTTATAACCTTACGACAGTAACACCTGGATATACGAAGTAGATGCGTTTCTGGAGCTTTGTATAATTTAAACTTCGTATACCGAATAACGTATAACATTAGGACTATGATTATGCGCTCCCAGCCTTCGTAACTTACCATTTCATACTATAAACACGTAATAACTTCCCAATGAAAGACACATAATGAATAAATATCATTTTATTCTTATTCCTACGGAATCATAGATCGATTTATTAATCAATTTCAGTGTATATTTTGTTGAGCTTACTGCATAAAATAATGGTACACAAATCTAAACATCGTGATACCAAAACTTCGTTAATTGAATACACGCATATCGAGGTGTTACTTGAAATGCATTGTTCCACCGACAGTTAAACCTGCCCATTGTACTTCTTTGCCACCGATTTCCATTGTATTATAATATAATATAATTGAAAGTCTTACCCGCTTGGCGATGCACAATGTCCGCAGTCCGTCCATGGCGTACTGGTTCAGGTCAGCCTGTGTCCGTGCGTGCATTTTTGCCTTATCTTTGTCTTTGTCAGAGTTTCCTGTCATAAGAAGAAAAACATATATAACATTCCCTCTCAAGGAACTGCCACTCAGCTACAATTGTCAGTGACTGGTGAAATGTCTTGATAAAAAAATAATTTATATGCTTCACAATTATCTAAGCCGCATTTATTCACAAACAAATACAAAATATATTTGTAGTTATTTTGCGATATATTTATTAAATGCCTTTCAGTGTGTGTGTGTTTTTACATGCATTACTGTATGTCAACATATATGACCTCGTGCCAGCTACTCTTCTACATGACACGTGGCCTCAAATTGCACCTAGCCTGGCGCAACCGCCGTAGTCATGTCACCGCCACTTAAGAGGTGAAATGTCGGTATGATCTAATGATGAACCAAAAGCGGTAAACCTAAGCTTAAATTCTTATGTAGAATTTGCCAATGAAACATGGCAGATTAATTATAACAATTACTTATTATATAGTATATTAGTTCAAAAACCCATGCAGTCAAATACAATTGTATTAGTTTAATTTTTTACGGTTGTTCACCCAGGACTACCTAACAGACTCAGGAGGGTCAGGCCAAGTGTTTATTTTGTAGTAGGGGCGATGTTGTGTCATCCCAAATGAGTATTTTTTTTTAACACAGGGATGTTTGGCTAATGCCAGTTACATGGTGCATGTGTTGTTATCTATGGGAGGAATCAGTAGCTCTGGGTGAAACCCTTGCGGAGCAAGTTGAGAGAACACACAAACTCCACGCAGAAAGGCGTCCGAGTCCGGAATCGAACCCCGGGGCCCTTTTTTTGCTGCATTACTGCCACGCCGCCCACCCTCTCTTGTCAAGGACCACAGGCTGCGGCCCTGAATAGGCGTGATGCTCGTAAGTGCCGCCCGCCATGCTCACCGGTGCAAGGCTTCAGGATGTCCATGATGACGTTGTCGGCCCCCTTGGTGTACACCACCATCTCGTACGTCAGGGGGTGCCGCACCACCACCGACATGCGCTTGCGCGTCGAGTCGAAGGCCATTACGTGCATGAGGTCGAAGGTCAACCTCCCCACGTGCGGCACGTCGATGGTGACCTGGTCGGGCGATTTTGAGACGAGAGTGAAGTTGTAGGCCCTCGCTGCGTACACTAGCGCGGCCTCGTCTGGGCTCTCTGCTTCGTAGCGGAGCTCTGCCATGGGCAGTACCCCGTTACTCATCCATAAAGGACACTCGTCTTCCTGCGTAGGGGAAGGAGTATTCCACCCAAGCCCCGGGATTTCCAGGCTCGTAGGCGTGCCAGCCGCCAGTGGTTTGGCTGCCAGCGGAGAGCAAGGGGTTGGTGGGTGAGACACAGGCCTCCCCGTCTCCGCTTTGGCCTGCAGGTTGTCACGGTAGGCAGCTGGGGAGCTCTTGTCCGCTGCCTTTGAATGCAAACTGAAGCTTGAGCTGGGAGTCACATAGCTGGGTCGCAGCTTCTTCAACTTTTCCTCGAGTTTCTTCATCGGTGATGTTACTGCTGACGCTTTCTTCGTCTGTACGCAACGCAATCGAGGCAAAATTACTAACGTGACAAGCGACGAGTACAGCATACTACAAGAGCAAATTTCAAAAAGCACTGAAACTCAAGTGACAATGCGTGACACTGAGTATTAAAATAATTATAATAATGACATTATTTGTATTTGATAGGGTCTCCATTATACCAAGGCATCTCAGAGTGCTTTACACATGATGACTGATAATTTGGCAATTCGTTAAAATGGAATTACATTTAAAAACAACCCCACAAAAGAAGTTAAGCTGAGCAATGAATGCACTACATCTATTACACATTGATATGCACTTGGTTACAGACATTCCACAAGATGTATTTTTATTTTCGTTGCATCAAGCTTTTTCTAATTTGCAGGTTTGCAATAGAGAACTCCTTTTATTCACAATCCTATTACATGTGCCTCCTATTATCCATGGTCGCTGTAGGGTCTGCAAAACTCCTGTTAGCCTCGGCCATATTTCTTCCTGTTATCCATGATTATTTGTGATTTTACCCATGATGCATAGTTCCCTATACTCACAATGTTTCTGTGGCTTAGAGGGTTTCCACAGGAAATGTGTCCTATTCGTGATGTGTTTACCCCACAGATAAGACGAGTAATATCATGGATAATGAGGGGGATAATCAGATCCATGACATTGGTACACCTTAGCACCATGGATAAGAGGAGCTTTCCTTTATTAAATATTTGTTTTTATAGAAATTACATTCTTTGGATGTGAATTGTTGTGCAGACTAGTAATCCATTACCTTGGAGCGAGGTTGCTAATTCAAGCAGAAATTTAACTAACATGTTTTTGAGGCTCTAATATAACTAAATAGGAAGTACATCAAGTAGGGTTCTAACATGCCATTTGTGCAGTGTTTGAGTGCTCTTACATTGTAAATTTGAGTTTTTTCTCGATTATTTCTACATGAATAAAATACTAAACATTGCACTGGCTCAAATTATAAAATGAGGAAGGACCCTCCTGAAAAATAATGTTTTACTGGTATATACCAGGTAAAGCCCACTGAGCTATTAACTCGTTTTCAGAAGTGACCTGGCCACAAATGATAGCTCAACAAAGGCTTATCATATGTGGGAATTTATAGAAGCAGCCAAATAATATAAATGCATGTTTCTAAATGTGGAGGGGAAAACCAGAGGATCCGGAGAAAATTCCACTCGACCACGGGGAAAGCATGCAACCTCTGAATATACAGATGTCAGGGTCGGAACGAATGCACAACCTCCTGCATACCAGGTGAGGGAGATAACATCTCGCCACCCCGGCACCCCAACAGACAAAACCCCACCTCAAATGAGCATTGCCATATCCCAACGACGGTCCTCAGCTATTGATCGAAATTTTCATCGCAAAATCTATTCGATCCATAGGATGACCACTGTATACCTCCCATGAAGTAGCGCTCATTTTAATGGAGCTGGTAGAATGACTGGTCGAGTCTATCCCTGACCGGGATTGTGAGACGATCACTCTGACCGCTTCTCATGTGGCAGGATTGACTAAACGGGTAAAGGAACATCGTTTTCTTCCGTGCTACATTCTGGTCGAGTCTCTGACCTTGATGCGTGGTTGGTTCGAAGACGACACCACGACGGTGTTGCAGATGGCAAGCGTGATGAAGAAGTCTACCACGTTTGCAACGTCCTCGGGAATCACAATGGTGCCGTTTTTGCTGGGGAGAGAGTTGAGATTCTTGAGGTACATTCTGACTCGCGACTCCAGCTGGGGATCTGGTGTCACATCTGTCTCCTACAGAAAAAAAACACATTAAAGAGCAAATCAATTCCCTGTAAAAACCAAAGCGAATCTATGTAATGACAATGCTATGTGTTGGACACAGTGAGCAAAGACACAGCGATTATGTACCTCTTAATGAGTATTATTATAGCAGTGGATGGCAACATGATGCATTCCAGATTTGCTGTCGGCACAACTGTTCTGCATGGTCTTGGAGCATGTGTGCCTATATCAGGTGTTGTCCATACAATTGTTAGACATTGATGTGACCATGCTTCAATCAGCCACAAATGTACTTCAGGTGTGAATAATTTTGCGTGTGACTAAGACTGAACATAATTCCACCATCCAATTGCATGTCATTCACACTCCCCCCCCCCCCAATACCCTAAATGATCGATCTGATTTATTAACAACAAAAAGGCAGCCACGGCCAATGCCAATGTAGCCCTATATTGGGATGTTTGGCCAGCTCCGCTAATGTGGTTATACAGATGGGAGGAAACCGACGCACTCAGGGAAAACGCATGCGTGTGAGGGGGTGGGTAACACTCAACCTCCGTACAGATGGAACACGGAAAAAAATGTATCTGCTTGCTGTACCGCCCGTACCCTGGAAAGCCAGGAGGTGGCGACCTCACGGCCCCAAGCGGGTAGTGAGGGACTTTCACGAATACGCGCGCGAACCACCAACCCTCGTTGCCTCCGCACGGCGCCGGACGCCCGGCGCGCAACTCACCATTGGGCTGCTGAACGCGGCCTCCTTGGAGAGTACGCTGGGCTGCCGGCGGTGGCCCATCTGGCAGGGTGTGGAGCGGGCGCCGGGGGCGGAGCGCGTCGAGTGGGCACTGGGCGTCCTGCGCAGGCTGCGCCGGTGCCGCAGGGTGCGGTTGCCCGCGTGCCGCCCTCCAAAGGCGCGTGAGGGTAGGGTGCGTGCGCGCTGCGATGCGGTCAGTGCGGTGGGCGGCGGCTCACCCAGCTGGAGCGAGTCGCCCCTCGCCCACTCGTCCCCGTCGGACTCCGAGTCCTGGTAGGCGGCCAGGCGCTGCGCTGAGAGGGTCGACAAGAAAAAGGAGTGGAGGGTGGAGGTCCGTCAGTGAGGGCATGGTGGGAATTGTGCGGCCATCACTGCATGGCAGCTGCCGCAGGGCATTAGCGGGGCGCTGGGTTTGCAGGTCGGACGTCGTTAGGATGGACTCGGCCCGTCATTCATTAAAATGAGCACTACTTCATGGAAAGTGTGCAGTGGTCATCTTATGAATAGATTTGATTTTTGCGATGGAAGTGGAATGTCGGTCAATAGCGAAGGACCGTCATTGGGAGATGGCAATAGTCATTTGAGGCAGGGTTTTTTCTGTTGCTGTGCCGTGGTGGCAAAATGTTATCTCCCTCGCCTGGTATACAAGGAGGTCATGGGTTCAATCCTGACCCTGACGCATGCTGTATATTTTGAGTTTATATGTTTCCTTCGTGGTACGGGTCCTCCAGTGTTTCTCTCCACATTTAGAAACATGCGTTTCGAGTATTTGGCTGCTGGACATTTCCACGTGATAAGCCACATCATTGAGAAAATATATGTGGGCAGGTTGCTTATGAAAAAGAGCTATGTAGCTCAGTTGGCCTTACCTGGTAAAAATATAATAGTTTAAATAGATTGTTTTTATTCCATCTCCTTGGCAACAGCAGTTGAAACAATGGTGCAAGTTTATTAAATTGACCCCATCTACTCAGTCTATTCGGCAATATAAATGGGTACAACCACAGTTAGCCGGTCAGGAGGTCGCGTGCGGTGGGGCTAAGTGTGGGTACCCCCACCTCTTCCCAAGACATCTGGCCAGGTGTGGAAGAGTTTGCCAAGCACGTACACATTACTGTATCAAAAATAAATAATTGTGACTGCATATGAAAGTTAATTAACAGTGCGTGCACATTTTTCTATCTTGACTTAAAAAGCACAAATATTATTTAAATAAAACGACAACTTACGTGTATGTTCTGTAACGTTTTACTGCTCACAGTAACACAAACATGCATCGTATTCGGCGATGTCCAAGCCACAGTTTGAGTTTTTGGAGATGGACAGGCGTCACATGGGGCTAATGTCCACATTAAACCACTGTCCTTTGTCCTGTTGAGACCATGGGTTTGCATCTGGATGATGAGATAGTGTAAAGGTGGCTCCCCGGTCGTGGGAGTTTGTTCGCCTCAGCCTGATCACCAGTGAATGCACAATAAATATTGCACGATGACTGGTTTTCACTGCAGTTGGCCTGGCTTAGTTTCCAGGATGTATATTTGCATACAAACCCAACCACATGACTCTTTGGAGATCACTGAGGAGCACAGCCTGTTGTGTCTTTGTGCGTGTGTATAAGAGAGGAATAGTAGTTTAGCGCTTAGCGCACTGTGTTACAAACCCGGCGACCCAAGTACCATTTTCGCTCACGGCCAACACCAGTGACAATTATCTGAACCGGTCCTGGGCCTCGCTAGGTCGAGTTCCTATTGCAGTGTGTAAAAACATCGCCACTGGGAAGACAAAGGCAGTTGGTTGTGGTGCTGGCCACCCACCCCCTCGTGTACCATGCCAGTCGTAATAGGTGCTCGCTGACAGCACTTGCACCAACAGTCTGTGAAGGCTACACCAGAGATCTTTGTCTGTATCTGTGTGTGTGTGTATAAGAGGCAAGCTGAAATGACACAAGAGTATGATGCGTCATCTTCTTGGGCCGTTTCCTGTCACGTCATCTGTCAGAGCCATTCAATGACACGACGTTACCGTCTGCTGACTAGGGGACTTCCTCCAAGAGGATGTTGATCAAACCTTGCACTGTGACTCTGATCGTGCAATAATGATGTGATTGTTGATATACAAATGGTTGGGCAAACTGTTTGACATACCATTGTTACTGTGCGAGTACTCTTTTCCGGCAACAGTGCAGCGGCGGAAGACCATCTTGTTCTCGGTGAGGGTGCCCGTCTTGTCGGAGAAGATGTATTTGATCTGGCCGAGGTCCTCAGTGATGTTGAGGGCACGGCACTGGAGGGGTGTGTCGCTCTCTGGGTCGTACAGCTCCTCGTCCTGGTGGATGAGGTAGATCTGTCCAATCTTGACGATCTCGATGGAGACGTAGAGCGAGATGGGGATCAGCACCTGTGTGGGGGTGGGGCAGAGTGAGTGGAACGTATGTAGGTATGTATGTTGAACGTATTTTGCACCGTACATAGCCAACCATGCGAATTGGAGGTGCGGGGGAAGGACAACAAACTAAACACAAAAAAACTGTTCTAAAGAAATTAGTTTTAAATCTAGATTTAAAAGTGCATAGCTTTAGTGGCTTCCTAAAATCGGAAGGAATAGGATTCCAGACGGTCGCAGAAGCGTATCTGAAAGTGCACGATGCAGTGACCGTCTTTGTTCAACGGTTAGCTAAATGCAGCTGCGAGGATGCCCGGGTTTGCATGATGGTTTATGCTCCTTGATGAGATCAGCAAGGTATCGTGATTAATTTATGGCAAGCGTTTCTGTGCAATCTTCCATTAAGGATCATCTCTAAACTAAACAAATTTCATTGTATCAGGTAAGACCCATTGAGCGACCTGGCCACAAATGATAGCTCAAAAAAGTGACTTATCACATGGAAATTTTTCATAGCGCATGTTCCTAAATGTGGAGGGAAAAATCGGAGGACCTGGAGAAAAATCCCAGCGACCACGGGGAGAACATGCAAACTCCAAATATACAGGTGTCAGGGTCAGATCGAACCCACGACCTCCTGCTTACCAGGCGAGGAGAGAAAACATCTCGCCAATTTCATCTTTGTTCTTCGGAGCGTCATACTTGGGATTTTTTTAACTATTCACAAATGAGCAGCAGCATTCTATCTTGGGGAGGAAATGAGTTCTTGGACAAAACCCAGTACATACTCAAATTGCAAGAAGAGACACCTGCTACCTACATAATGTACTGACAGAACAGTTGATGATTCCGACAACTAAAGAATTTCCACCATGCGCTTGTGGCTAACCAGCTGAGATATGTACTCAGCAAGGTCGGACCGCAGACATTTATTTCTGTATATATTATATTAAAAAGGTGTGAAAATTATTCCACATTCTTTTAAAAGAGCAAGAACATCCACCACCCAATGTAGCCAATGAAATAAAAGTGTTTGGGTAGAGGATGTGAACAATACATTAACTTGGCCAGAGTTTTTTTTATCAGCTGCAGTCGAAACGGGCTTGTTTTCTTGCACGGCTTTGAGCTTCCAGGTTTACACGCATTCACTCTGCATAGTTTTCGCGGCAAAAAAACGCTTCACGCTACCTACCTGGAGAAGGATGATCATGGTCCAGAACATGTAGAAGCCCGACAGCACCGGCGAGATGTGATCGCCGTCCTTGTTCGCGACGTCGAACGGCGGATTTTCCTCATACCCAGCCATCCAAAGGCCATGAGCTGCGGCAGCAAAGTGGGTCCGAGATTAAAAACAGCCATTGGTTCGGGGCTCGCTTCAACCCATACTGGTGGCACTGCCAGATGTTTATAGGCAAGGTCACCCAGAGAGAGACAAAGACTTACCAATGGCAATGAAGAGGCACATCACGATCAGGATGACCACACACCAGATGATGTCCATGTTCATGTTGCGCTCCAGTTTGCTGCGTTTGTAGCGAGGCCCGTTGTTGTTCAGCATGGCCTTCGTCTCGTGACCTGTGCAGATTAACAATGGGTGATATTAACAACGGTAATAAAGCACAGCCCTTTGTTGGTTCACTGCTGAGTGAAGGCCTGCCCATGCCATCGCGGTCGTGAAGGTTAATTGACCATACTTCACCACACTGAAAAATACAGTTTAAGTGAAGCGGGAGGCCGCATCATCAGTTCAGACGTCACTCATCATTTAGGGCTTTGATGAGATATTATTCAAGTAATATTGATTGGCAACTTGATTACCAAAATTGTTGATTTTTGGGTTATTACATGCATCAACACAAACCTCAAAGGTAATTTCCAGGTGCCTTGTGTAACTATACAGTATATAAGTCCATTAAATTGATTACAGTGTATATTTTGTCATGTAGATCTGTATAGATGAAAGTATGCAACCCGTGCACATAGGAAATGCTTTTCATGAGCATTTTGACAAAAATGTCAAAATGTAAACGTGAGAAAAATAAATGATGCATAAATAGATGAATGTATAAACGGGTGGATGCAATTACAGAAGGAAGCATGCCTCATATAAAAACGGGCATTTATTTAGTCAGTATTATTTTATAATGAGCTGTTAAGAGCAGTGGTATTCACTAACTAGCCTTTTGCCCGTCCAAGGACGGGTGCTCCATGTGGAATGACGTCACCAGCTCAAGATTATTAATGTGCGGGGGTGCTCCATGCAGAGTGACGTCACCCGACATGATTATTAATGACGGGGGGGTTCTTGTGGAAGACCCCACCTGTTCATGATTATTAATGAGGGGGGCTGTTCGATGTGCAGTGACGTCACCTGCGCATGATTATTAATGAGGGGTGGGTCCATGTGGAGGACGTAACCTGTTCATGATTATTAATGAGGGGAGCTGGTCGACGTGGAGTGACGTCACGCGCGTTACACACTGACATTCTTGGGTAAATATAGTAGTCAATTTTCAGAGGGGGGGCACTTTTGCCGATAAGACATCAGTCTTGATTTGAAGCTTTCGTGACTGCAGGAATCCATACTCTTTGGTTCTTTCGGTAAAGTCACGTAGGTAGAAAAATAATAGATCACGACGTTTCGATCGCAACACAAGCAATCGTCATCAGGTGGGACAACCACAGCAAGAAAAAACTGCTGAAGACATCAGTGTTAGGGCTGTCACACATTTGAAGCCATTGGGGTTTGACAGCAGCTGCACGATGATGATGGGGGGGGGGGTGTTTTCAAATGTTGTGTATTGTCGGAGGCCGCACGTCAGGGGCCGCACTAAAGGCCACCAGGGGCCGCCAGTGGCCCCTGGTGGCCTTGCAATGAAGAACACTGTGTTAGAGCTTGCAGTGGCTCTGATCTTACCGCCATAAACAACGATCCCCACCACGTACTCCGTGTTGCGCACCGTGCATCCTCGCAGCAGCAGATTGTCCTTGCTGAGTCCGACCTTGCGCTCGTTGCTGTGCAGCCTGTGGAGAGACGGCCAATCCTCAACCCCTCCACTCGGCACACTCTCACAACAGACACTTTACGCGCACTAGATCCGAATAAGGTGATGACGTGCCTCCAAGACCACAAGGAATACTCACATGAAACCTTTAAATTTATTGAGGTCGTTGTTTGGCCTCTCACACTCTACGGTGCTTGTGTACTTCATAGGGTCGAAATCGCACTCCTGCGCACACACGCAATGATACAAGTAGCAACATAAAAATATAATATAAGGGATCATAACATATTTTTTTTATATATATAAGGCCCTTCCTGAGGCATGATGCATGGCCTCTTGCAAGGGCAACCTGGGTTATATCAAAAGGCACTTTTAATACAAGAAAGGCATCACAGTAACGATGATACACTCTGTTACTCCTGACACAATCATCTGGCTCATTGTGAAATGCAGAATATTCGAATTATTTAACACAAATTTTACTAAGAGTGAGGTGAATTGCACTTAAATATTGAAATATACAAGAAAAAGTTACGAGATTCGCCACATGAACTCGACAATGTACACGTTGTCCTTGTTGTATCCATGTGCACTAACCCGCGCCCGTAATATTGGTATCCTGCGCGAACTTTGCTGGAATCAGTCACCCTTTGCAGAGTGAACACGTTTTTATTTATTTTCCTCGCTCCCCTCGTCGATTTCAAGTAATCATGAAACAAGCGTTTTAATAAAGCGCTTTTCAAGTCAATGAAGGGTGCACATCTGGAGCCCCGCAAATTCTAACTTGAGATCTTCACAAGCAAATGTGAAGATTATAAAAATATGACCTGCACAGATTGCGTCAACAGCAGGGAACTCAATGAAAAAAATTCTGTTTTCAATCGTTCAGCCTGCTGTTGTTTGGATTGTCGCCATAGAATGCAGTGATGGGAGGTGTTAGGTAGCCAAACTCAACAGACAAAACCAGGAAGTAAGGGCTCCACATGAAAGAAGTTATGCCAATAAATACCATGCAAACAGGTTGTTCAAAACTTCTTTAGAAAGCCCACATTCTTTCGTCTGAGACACTTTATCCAGTGCCAATTGTCCTTGACAGTTCACAGAACTTCAAAAAGTCGTGAAGCTTAGAATTGACTTCGTAAAACGCCTCGTATCCAAATATATTGGTGGACAGATGAAGTTTCACTGGATGCGTAGCTCAATAAAAAATTAAACAACTAAATCTGAAAATTAGAAAATGTTACAAACTTATTTTATTTTAGGTATCCTCGATGGCTCCCACCTTTTCCACTCAAACAAAGGAAAGTTTCTTAGCCAGCCTAGATCTATGAAAACTGTGCAGTAAAACATATTGCAGCTTAATACAGTAACGCCGGTACCGGATCTATATGGGTACGAATCAATACCGTGCACCACAGCACAGATGCTGATTCCCAGACTGTCTGGACAGGTGGCGACTCAGCACACTCTGGAATCCAATATTTATCTGCATTATCAATCATGTAATGCAATGTTTACACTGACGTAGGCCATACAATCGCTGGATATCGCGGGTCTTTTTAAACGACGAGGGAAGTATAGTTCTAGTTACAATGACATGTTAGTTAGTACTTGTATTTATTATTATCGATGCTTATTTAGTTTACATTTTAAATCATTATCTATTGCCCAAAAATCTAGTTCATGTGCAGGATTTATCTCAGTAGACTAGCAGGCCCCATAATTACGAAATCCGAGATGTAAACTCCTAGCCAGGGTCAGTGAAATGAGTAGCTCATCAATGGCCTGGCACTGCTTGGGTTGGATTTCAATTGCTGTCATCCTGTGGATATAACAATGTTGCCATAGGAAGGTAGAACTCCCACCAATGGCTGTGGGTGCAGCAATTGAGATAAGCGTCTGCCTGGACTCACTTGAGAAGGGGCATTTAAACCTGCTGTCATTGCTGTTTTAGATACTGTGCGTTGCTTGTGTAGCTGACCTCAGATGACCGCCGTGACACCTGCGGCTGTACTCGCTGGAATTTACAGGGTTCGTGCATGCAGTGTGTGAAATATAGGAGTGTAGAGCATATTTGCATGTGCAAGCATGTTGAATATGGTGCATGAAAACATTCCAGAGATATGAAATGTAGAAGGCTATGACGTGCCTGCAAATCAGCAGCCATTCAGCACACAATGATGCATCGAAGGGTCGTTGAATATTAACATTTTTGTAGAGCAGATACAAAAATGTACAAATGCATGTTGAACTTTTTTTTGCACCGTACATAGCAACTGTGCTGGATGTGCAGGGAAGGGATAAGACACTAAACGCGAAAAAAAGTTCTAGATGCTCTAAAAGATGTAGGCTGCAGTGATAAAGAACCCACTACATCTCTGTGTTTAGTCTATCTTAACCCTCACAATCCATACTCCCTGCACCACGCAAGATGATTTCTGAATTTGTTTCTGTTTGAGAATGTGAGCCACTTGGTTAACTATTATGTTTCCCGTAAAAAAGGATCAGGATTTGATTGAGATTAATCTTACACACTATTTCTATGTGATATATATTGGCATTGTTACATAAGAAAAACTTGTAGTATATTTGTGTCACTCCATTGCTGGATCAATGCCTCCCCCATGCCGTGTTGGTCATGGGAGTTGTTTGACCATACTTCACCGCGCTGGCTAGTGTGGATTACTGAGAATGGGTCTGCTGCCGTTTATCTTCTGTCAAAAAAGTAATTTCTCGTCTCCTTGGGCAGAAATATCGTGATCGCACTATTACATTCCTGTGCTATAAATTGCTGCCAAAGTGATACATTTTAACGATGCAGTCATTCAAACCGACTTTAAAACATTGCGAGTTGAAAATCAACGGTGCTGCTATCCTGTCCGTGAAACTAACCTACATTTTCCAGATAATATTTTTCACAGATAACCAAAAAAAAAATTGGCAGATGAGCAGTGGAGCAGTGGATCACACACTGGGCTCTGAACTTAGTGACCCGAGTTTGAGTCTCAGCCAAGAGTAACATCAGTGGCGAGTGACGTATCTGCCAGCAAACAAACATGTGATCAAATGCGAATTATATCAACTACCATTTTTATTGATACAGTATTTTTAAACTGAACATATTGTCAGACGGTGGCATTTCCACCACTAGCTTTAGGGCCACCGCCTAAGAAGGCAAGCAGCAGCCAGCAAGCAATACTCATAAATGGGTGAGAGACATTTACTTTTGCCTCGTCTTAAATTTAAGAAGCTAAATCGTGATAACAATAAGAGGTCACTTAGTGAGCCATGCACGAACACTGACGTAAGGCAGCGATTGGATAGGAAAGAGCGATGGCATGGGTGGAGAAAGGCCTCATAAGCAATCCTCGCTGCATGTGGGCCACAACTATTTATAACTTTCTGAGGAAGGTTATGACAGATGCGTATTTCACGATGCAGGTGACGTGCCTGCGTGCGCATTCAAGGATATCCATTCTGAAACATCCTGCTGAGTGGGATACATTTTTACGATGACTCGTGAAACTCCACATATTAATCTTAACAGTTGTATGGAAGGCACAGTGCAAGAGGGCCCTTCACGGCTGAACCTCGTGAGTTTCAAGGTAAGCGTTCTTGAATGGGGTGGCGAGAAGAGTCCTCAATAATGCGTTGGCATGAATGTATTCCAACTCAGAGCACAACGGATACCACCAGTGTTGTTGTTTTCTCAGCACAATGTGCTCTTTCCCTTTGACCTCTGAGCGTGGCAACATTATTATAAGCATGTGTTCACCTGCACTAAGAAAATGGCACCCGACACCAGCAACGAAGAGACGCGCACAGTAGACCACAGCGCACAGCTCGACTTGGCTCAAAGGATTTGCATTTATACGCATTAAAAGCCTCAGCGATTCATATTGCATTCCATCATATATTATCTCCACCCTTCCATCGCCCTGCTGTAATCTAGCGAAGGGGACCCCCAGTGGTAGGTGTCCCTGTGCGGTACAAGGTGTATGCAGGACCGGCCTACAAACGGGCATGAGCCTGTCCATCGGGGCAAAAGCTCTGGGCAGTGAGCGTCACTCACCAGGTCGGCAAAGCCTTTGACGAGCTGCCGCAATTTGAGGTTCGTTTCACCGTCCAGATTGGCCGTCTCCAGGTGGCAGAGCCCGTCGGGGTCGCTGGAGGCCAACAGTAGCACGTCGGCTGGGATGATCTCATTGCAGCGCAGCTTCAGGAAGTCCCCGACGCGCACGTCCTTCCAGCAACTCTCGACGAACCCCTGTTGCGCCCTGCCAGGACCACGTCACACACCCACCCCGGTCCACATTAGTTAAGAGTCCTGTGCATGGCACTGTGAATAAGTCGAGTAAAAAATATTACAGAAGTTCCAACGCTCAAACGAGCAGTGCACATCTCTGTTGAAACCACGCGGCAACGTTGGCGAGCCTCTTCACAAGACAACCGCTGCTTGCTTTACTGTGAAGCGGTGCTCGCTATACGGACTCGCAGTGATGATGAGCTATGACAAACCCTCGACAACAAGCAGCATGGTTCCCTTGTGGACTGCGACGCAGTAGCAACTTACTGCAGAGATTCACGGTTCGAACCCTTTATGGCTGCAAATAACAATGCAAACTGTTTATAATCCTTTGCACGTGGTGTTTGAGCTCAGTTTTTTGTGTTACATAGTATTTTATGTGTAAAACTTAAATAAACAAGGTCCTCGACTTATGAACGCCTGACTTACGAACATCCGCACTTACTGAACGAGCTTCTATAAGATAAAAAAAAATCACCATCCGACTTACAAATGTGAACTCGCACCTACAAACCGAACCATGGAACTATTTCGTTCACCAAATGTACAATATTTATTCTTATTTATGAGTTTAACAATGCTTCTCTTTTTTGTTGAAACGTAACACATTTTATAACAATGACCGCAAAATATATTTAAATACAGTACATACATTATTGTGTTCCGACTTAGAAACCGTTCGACTTACGAACGATCACCAGTTGAGTCAGGAATGGTGCGTTCTGCACACACCTACGACAGGAATCTTAAAAAGCAGAGAGTGCAGTGGGCACCACTACAAGGAAACTGCCTCTACAGAAATGTTATTGCTTCAAGAGTAGTGATCATTAGCACACAATCACCTGTGCATCCAGTATTTTTTCTTTATATATTTGTTTGTCGAGATTTATTCTTAATTGCTTGTGCGTAACAGGTACACCTAGGGACATATGCATTAACTGTCAACTCTAGGACAAACTGACCCGAGCCGGCTCTGACCTCTACAACTGACTACACCTACTGGGTAATTCAGACACCCAAGTGCGGTGTAATTCACAATGTGCCACATGCTTGCCAGTGCTCGCTTGACGGATAGCACCCTATTGCTTTAGAATATCAAAGCACCACAGTTTTCACGGAGTTTTAGTTCCACGTGATTGTCTTTCTTCAGCGCTGTACTTGGAAATTGGTTTAATATTCATGAACATTTTCAGTTCATAAGAATTGTTATATTGAGTGATACATTGCACCAATAATATGAACCAAAATTATCCACCAAAAGGAAAAGTGTTGAGTATGATATCTCATAATAAAGCAAATGTTCTCCGGTGATTGCTTTTCATGCATGTCTTTGCCAGAGACCTGAATATTGATGAATATCGTATTCAGCACATTCGCCGAGAAAACATCGTAAATACTTAAAGGTCGCACATTCACGGTCGCCTTTTATTTTGTGGTGGGTCACAGCAGTCTGCACACGTCAGAGGATCACAAACAACCCAAATCCCTTTCAGTCGTTTTGGTGATGTCAAACGGTCATGGGTGGGCAAAGGTTACCATTCCAAACACTGTAATCAATGAATAGAAACCAATCACGTGTGTTTTTTTAAGCTTGCTTGATGGTCAACTTTTTTTGTGAGGGTTGCTTCAAGCCAAGGAAATAGAAGTTAACAATCGCGAGATTAATTATCTGGCGCGTTATAAATGTCATTATTAACTATTATTAAATGTCATTATTATTATTAACGGTAGTTATTACACTGTCGCGTAAACAGTAGATATATATGTATCTATGTTTAAATTTGCATGTAATTTATATTTCCTCCAAATGTTCGTGTAACGTAAAATTTGATTGGCAATAATTGTTCAGATATATGCTTCAAATATTACAGAAGAATCATGAATTTTGTATGGATATGCATTTACTTGTGTGATTGCAGGGAATACAAAGGAGAAATCACAGTGGTTGTCTGGCTTGAACACCTGAATGTGAAAATTGTAGTTGTTACTCTGCATCTTCATCAGCCATATGAAAGAAGATTGGTGGGAATATTCTTCCATGTGTATGTGATGCTATCAAATTATAATTTGAAAGAAATACATCACAATAATGTGCGGCCCTTTGTCAATCTTCTGATGGTTGAAGGCTCCCTATGCCGCATCAGTCATAGAGGTTGTGTGGACCAAACTCCATAATGCCAGTCAGTGAAGGTTGGTGAAGGGCGGGCCCCAGGACTGATTCAGATATCACTCGGCACTGATGTTAGCCATGGCTGGCAATCGAACTCAGGTTTGCATGTGTACGAATCAATGCCAAAAGTTTACATAGGCTACGCTGCTGAACATGTTCACTTTGACAAGCTCTGCCACAATGCGCCCTAATTTTAAACATGATGCTACGGAAGTCAAAATCGTATTTAATTAATTTATTTTTGGCGACTCCATCCCACCGCGCGCATAAACGCCGCGACCCACTTGGCGCGGATCGTTCTGTTGTCATGTCGTGTCCAAGCGCAGCGAGAACGAGTGCGCCGAAGAGCTGAACAAGCGAATGCACTCTATGCTCGGGCATGGGCAGGATCACAAGTGTTATCCAAAGCTGCTCAAACTACCTACACGACTTAAGTCATTTATTTGTCATAACAGTCTGCATAATACACGGACACTGCTCTCTTATCTTCATTCTTTTTTGTGACCTACCAATGTCTGCAGCCAGGATCAATCTATGACAATCCTATTACCTGCAGATATTTAACAGATGAGATGCGTTGCACCGTTAATTCCTCCTGTTTGATAATACTTCTCTTTTCCGGTGGCATCGGTGCAGATAGGTTTTTTTTTGCGGTTAAGCCACAGTCCTCACATACTGCTCGTATTAATGCGGATAAGAGGAGCGGCGACCCACTACTCTGTTACAATGTGAACAGCCCATTGAAAACGAGTACTATTGTATTATTATTACACGCTTTTATTTAACTCACTCCGTCTGTTGTCGTATCCTTAAAAATATTGTATCTAAATTTTTACCCACTTCCCAATGTGCTATCGACTGCAAACTTGGTATACTTATGTCATACTGATGACATTGACTATATTCTATATATTTTAAAAATATTTTTAAACATTTTACACGCTTTTATTTAACTCTCTCTGTTGTCGTATCCTCAAATCTTGTAACTCAATTTCAACAGTCTTTCCAATTTCGTATCGACTGCAAACTTGGTATAGGTATGTCATATTAATGACAATACTACAGTATCTTCTATCATTAGAAATTAAAATTGTATTTTTAACCAATATTTTTAACGGGTCTAATTGTCCACGCTCAACTGACGTTGCCTGTAAATCACCACGGCCCCTTACGCTGTGGCAAGCTGCGGGGCCACTTCCTGGAGTCCTGCCATTACGAGTAGGGTACATTTCATTAAAGCGTGTTTAAAAAATATATTTTTATATTACTTATTATGTACTGTTTACAAAGTGTGTTCACAAATCCACACTGAGAAACACGATAATTGACAGAGGGGTGTAAAAAAAAATCGATAGTGTATTTAAATAGATGTACTGCAGGTAAGTATTTTTAAGTTTTAAAGGCATAGTTTAACAAGACAACACATGCCACCATCCTTCAAATCCACTGGTGAAAAAGAGCAAAGTTTTTGTTTACATTATAATCTAATGTTTATGCAAGAGCCGGGGGCTGATGGGATCCCGGGGTTCCGCCATAATGTTCAGATGTTTAAATGTATATAAAAAAGTGAAATCCATTAATATAAACGAAATTCAATACTTGTAAAGGATTTGAAGACATTTACCACATTCCTGTGCAGTAAATTGCGCGTGTGTTCGGCACGCCATAAAATGTACACCGGTCGAGCCAAACCTGCCAGGCAGCATCGCTGCAAGGCGGAAGGGGTTCACGAGGCCGCAGGTAATTTGCATTGCGAGGCTGCGTCACAAGGACGTCACAACACCCTTCCCAGAAGTTGAGCAATAAGCCGGCACTTTCACGCATGCACACCCATGTATGCACTTTATATATGGAACTGAAAAAATATGTTAGGAAGCTTACTGAACTGCTTAATCATGAAAAAATGACTTTGTGAATAGTTTTGCAATCATTTCCCCAGTAACATTGTATTGTCTGGTTTAAACTTTTCAGCGTACATGTATTTGGGCATACGGTCACGCACCTCTATACCTGTGATTTGGGTGCTTGACAAGTGTAAAACGGATAAAAATCCGTGTTGTTAATAATTGTATTATGATTTAGAAGATTATTGCAACCTCTCTTTCCAAACAATTTCACTCATTTCCTATCTTCCACCATATACATAACACGTGAATGTCTGTATGCATAATATATGGCAGACTAGAAACATTAAGTTAAATCATTTTAGAAATCTCACAATTGGTAAAATATTGTTGAGGATGTATTTCTCTATTCATCAGAGATGAATGGCAACCCATGCTTCTTTCAGCTAAGAGAAATCATTACACTCACTACTCGTGCATGTGCTGTAAGCGGTGTTTCTCTTACAAGCAACGCAGGTGGTGTCACCTTTTGAGCTATTCTAATACAACGAGGACATTTGAAGCCAGACAGCATTCACATATGGTAATTCGGTATTATCATACATGCCTCATTAACAGCTCTGAGCAACGCCAAACTCGTGAAACCTGGTTTAGCCATGCAAGTTAGGAGACCGTGGAATTGTATAGCACAAGCACAATGGTGAGTCTAGATGCTGGGCAGATAACACGAGAACATAATGTCTCACACTATAATGCCAAAAAGTAGATTAATATGCCAAATGTAATAGTTGCTAAATACATGCACAAAACAATTATGCCTGTCCATTGCATGGGTATGAAATGGGTTTTGCTTTGCAGGGGCTCATGTAAATGTAAGAGTGTATACGCAGCGTCAGGGCTGATATTTTATTGAATTAAAGTTTTCTTATTTTCCTTGGCACTTTCGCCGAGTTGATA